CACCGCTTTTCACTAATTGTCTTGAAAACGTTTTAGCTAAATTCCTGAAGCTACTTGGGTTCAGCCTTCCGCGTATAACAACATATCTGGTTCGTGAGTGCTCGTGTTGCTCTGTCAGTGTACTGAGATGGATCCATTTAACTGGCAATTCAATGTTCTCTAGGTCCATGTCGTCCTGTAGTGGGATGCAGAAAATAGAAATGAGTGTTAACAGTCAATCAATTATTGTGTTGACGGCTCCTAAAATGGCTTTAGCATTGGGCACGGTTTCAGTGGAGCGACTTTCCTCCAAGTACTTCAGTTTCTGCTGCCAGTAACGCATCTACCTATGCTCCACAGGCCGTACCAGCCGCCGCTGTATCGAAACGTCCGCCATCACTTATGGCTGGACCTTAGATACGATGAAAATAAAGGTAAAGTTATCCCTGTGTTTAATTAGTTAAACACCACGCCAAGATGGCATATGGGGGAGTGGAGGTATAGCTCCATCATTCTTGATCTCGTTGCTAAATGGAGGTGAGTGGTCAGCTTCACGCTTCTCCACTTTACCCCCCGGGAAAGAACCCCTCCCCGTCCCCATTGGATGGGTGGACCCTAGAGGCGATCTGGACGTCGTGGCGTAGAGAGAAATTTCTTACCCGTGCCGGGAATCGAACCGCGGCACTCTATCCCGCAGAAAATACGATAGATTAATAAAAGCATCCATTGTCATGAGGATGTCTCTGTTCTGTCCTTGGCTCTAAGATTCCAACCTTGTTCTGAGTACGTCTTTTGAAACTGGTATTTTTGACGTAATGTTAGATGCTGGATCAGCGCTTTGAAGTATGCTACAGTCGCATCCCACCCGGTGCTGAGTAGCGGGCCGGCTCTTCGTGTCGGAGTTCAAGAGTAAAGGGAATAAAGTCTTGTAAAATGGCAACAGCGCCCATAAAGCTTCTCCATTACTGTAGAAAACCTGAAATGAGAAAGTGTTCCTTCGGCCCCGCGTTCGTAAAGGTTAAATGTGCATGTACAGTCTGATTTTTTAGACGTGGCCAGTATCAGCTGAATGCGCAGTGGATCTGGACAACGGACAGAACATGTAGGCGGGGAAGGGGATAGGAGGGCGGTACCCATTGGCGGCGGAATCCACATACTCGATCGGGGTGAAGAAGAACAACAATGCGAGACTCATGGCCAGCCATCAACTGACGCTCAACCTAAAAGTAAATTGTCTCTCGGATCATATGGAATATACGTTGCAGGGATATTTTTAATTCAGAGCACCAGTGTGTAGTAACCTGCTGTCCGCGGGCCAATTTCTTGAATAGAAACTAAAATATTAATGTTCACAGAAACTGTATACCCCGAAGGTCATGAGGATAGAGACAATAGGTTCCTCCGAAACTTTTCTACACATATACAAGATTATACGGTGTTATAAAACAGGAAGACTTTCTTCTTCCGTGATATTACAGATACAAATGTTTCCTTTCATTGTATCAATGTTCCTGTTAATTACAGAAACAATACCAAGTTTTCTTCAGTTACATGTAGTTTGATTTTTAAACAGGACATGATTTCGAGCGCTCCAGGTTGTCTCCTCTGTATTGAATTCTCATCAAGACTGGCGTAGGGTTTCATATCCCTGTAGTTACCGTGAAGACTGATATTCCGACGTACAGAATATATAAATTAACACCAAGAGGCACGGGAAAATGGAATCTGAAAATAAAAGCAAGCTATAAAATTAAGGCAGCTTTTCTCATGTATATGAAGTTATAAATTTGTCTGTTAGATGTCGGGAGAGGATTCTGAGGCAAGGGTGCGCCGTCTGAGAAATGCTCGGACGAGAGACGTTGGTGGCGGTGGGGCTTGTTCTTTGCCAACCGAGTTCTGAAAGTCCCCACCAAAATAGACTCTGGCAATATGTATCTGGAGACAAACTGACGTGGCAGCATCCCATAGTTACAGTCGGCTTGGGGAACAATAGAAGAGGTAGGGGCGCCGCAGCATCCGGTTGTCATGTGTTACGGCAACAATTGAAATGCAAACTCGTACTAAATTAGGAAAGGAAATAAAACATAAAGACAAAAACTTGAAAGAGAATAGGTGAGGAGTATCTCCGTGATGAATTAGGGATACAAGCAGACCTTATTTACAGCAAGTGCCAGTGTGTCGTGTGTGATGTGTAGGCCTCTTATGTCCCTTTGAAAATTTGTCTAAATAATGTATAAGAATTCAGTTCGTACCTCACAGAAAACAAGTTATGTCCCCATAAAAATGACCTGCCGGTTAATGTTGTTTTTTGGGGAAATATTTGCTTTTTATTATGAGAATCGTACGAAACGTATAAGAACCCTTCCTTGGTGAAATTAAGAGCAAATATTAATGCAAGTGGTGCATATATTTACCACAGAGTTTTAAAAGTTTAAGATATTAATTAATTTAATTATGCATCCTCAGCATTTCCGATACATCTGACTCGGATTTCTTCAAAGCCCAATTTCGCAAAACTGTTTCAACTCCGAACAGATATACATACATCAACACGCACCGCACTGAGATAGGGCGAAGCACCTGTTACAGTGTTGCTTACTTTCAATTGGTGCGTTTATAACTTGAGCTGTCTGGTGTGGGTATATCAACCGGAGAGAGGAAATTAATTTGGATTCTTGGCGGGGTTACCATTTGTCCAGGCTGAAGTTTCTGGTTTAGAGCTTCCTCAGTTTGTGTATGTATATGACCGAACAATACCATAAAATAGGTCACTGCCGTCTCCTTCCATATCCATACCTAGTCATCAGGTCATTATTTTCTTACCATCTCATTTGACGATGCATTGGCTTATTCTATTGAAACGGCGTCATCATTTAATTGAATAATCAACCATTATGCTAATACATAAAGCTCTTTATATGACAGTGGTAACTATATTTACCACATGCCTTGACATTCAGTAACTTCCGTATTTCCACAGAAAGAGTATTTATGTGTTTAATATATCTCAGTAACGGAGGAATATATAGAAATGTGTCAGTGAGAGAGACGTTTCGTGGGTTAGGTGCAGCTGCTTTAGTTAATTAGTTACTACATATAAATCCTTCGGAACCGTGCAGCGTTTCCCCATTAGCGTCTTTATTCTGGCGTCGTGGCGACGCGTCTTGTTTCTAAAAGCTAACTTCTGTCACACAGTCCGAAGCGTCTCTGTATTGATTTCATACTGGGCGTGAAGTTTAGCGGCTGGGGCACGGAGTGTCACTCCGGAGCCTGCTGCACCCAATCACGGACCGGCTCTAACAGCAATGGGGTTTCCAAGAATGCGTCCCCCCACAGCCTGACATTTAACTGATTATCTCTAAGAGTTAAGTCATTCTACAAAAAGTAACATGCGCTCAACTGCTTAAGCAATTCTCAGAATTTTGTGGAACCAGAACGTTCATTGCCGTATTCACAAGAGCCCTCCACTGATCTCCATTCTGAGTCAGATGAATTCAGTCTATAGTCTCCCGCCATATTTATTTAAGATCTGTTTTAATATTATTCTCCAATCTGTACCGATATCTTCCTTACAGTGTCTTTCCTTCTGGTTTTCCTACCAGAACTCTGTAACGAACACACACATACACAGACACACCCTGCCCAGCTCATCCTCCTTGCTTTGTTCCCTCTAACGGAATGGATTATGAAGCTGCCCACTACGCAGTTTCTGTCAGCCTCCCCTCACTTCATCCCTCTTCAGTCCAGATATTCTCCTCAGCACCCTGTTCTCAAACACCCTCGGTCTATATTCCTCCCTTAATGTGAAACCAAGTTTCACACCCATACAGAATCACAGGGATTTTTTTATTTTGTTTGTTTTGATCTTTACAGATGGATGGTTCAGTACAGATAACAATGTACACGTATAGTGATTAGTAACATCTCCATAAGGTCCATTGGCAATACAGAAATTAACGTCTTTTTGTTGCAGACAACCGACACGGAGCGCTCGCAATTAAAATAATTCAAGAGCGAACATGAAGTTGTTCTGCATGGTATGGTAAATTGCTTGTGGCCCTCGTCAGCATAGTCCTTTTTGGTTCCGAATCCCACGGGACTCGTGGCCATATTTTACGAGAGGACTATGACAATGCATAAGTGGGATTTATGTGACGGAAAGTTACCTGAAATCTGCCATGATCGCTTCTATATTACTACTAAATCGGGGTTCGATTCCCGATAGGAGTAAGAATCAGCCTTTTATCTCTAATGTCCGTGCTAGCGTTGTAGCTCGCCCAGATTCCTCTGCATTGGGAATATGGTTCTTTTTCCACGGGTAAAGCTGGCTATTCACTTCCGTCTCTTGCCGAGCCTAGGATTACGTGGGTTTGTACCTCCACTTCCCATACGTATTCATGGCAGTTTTACCGTGTAGTCAAGGCTATTGCGAACATCGCTAGGTAAGTAAACCGTAAATGCGTGTGTACGAAGAAGCGAGAGGCCGCCGCGGACAGCGGCTGGCGGAATTTCGGCCGAGAGGAATGTTCTTGCCGTGAGGCGCGTGCCCCCGCCTCTTTTCTGTGTTCTGCTTACGTGCGCACATGTTCTTTATTTTGTTTGTCCTGTACTAAACCCCTACTAAGAAGAACGTGATCTAAAATCTTGAAGTTGTCCTTGGGCTTAATTAATTGAGCACTGTGCCATGAAGGCGTATGGGAGAGCGGAGGCATAGCTCCATCATTCTTTACCTAGGTACTAGAGGGGGAAGGGGTGAGTGGTTAGCTTCATGCCCCAGCCACTTTACCTCCGGGGAAAGAGCCCCCAGTATCCATTGCATAGGAGGCTGCTTGGGCCCCAGAGGCAGTCTGGACGCTATAGAGAAGAGAACATGTTTCGATCGCGCCGGGAACCGAACCCCGACCATCCAGCTCGTCGCTATATCGACCGAGCCATCGCGACTCCGAAGAATATGAACTGGCATATATATTGATCTGGTTGGCATGGTAACAGTGGGTTGTGCGTGGGTCTGTGTGTTCCAGGTGCTGGCGAACATGGTACTGCTGACGAGCACCAATATCGCGGGTGTATTCACGCACTACCCCAGCGAACTGGCGCAGAGACAGGCGTTCTTGGAAACGCGCCAGTGCGTGGAGGCTCGCCTCACCACCCAGCGGGAGAACCAGCAGCAGGTGAAGTATAATATTAAAATGGATGTTAAGGAAACAGGTCACGGCGATGTAGATAGGGTTGAGTTTTGCTCCGGTTTGAATTCAGTAATGGAATTCGTTGAATATTCATGTTCTTAAGGAAAGTCCGTTAGTTAACTGCTTTAGTTGACTGTCGTACGAGTAGTCAGTCAGTCAGTCAGTCAGTCAGTATGCTTGAGCTACTCCAGATTTTGGCATGTCTTCTGGGACATGATGCCATTTTGTCCGGTAGACATTCACCAGGCTTTCGGAGAAACACGCTGCCTCCAGCTACAGGATGAAAAAGTCGGCCCCATCTTCAGAGTTGAAGAATAATGACTCTTCTACTTTGAAGATGGAGTCTGCAGGTTTCTTCGAGACGCTGGTAACTCTGCCAGAATACACGGCGTCACGTTCGAGAAAAGAGCATTGTGCATATTCACCGCCGCCTGTAGAACTTCAAGCCTTTACGTATGACTGAAGGCGTTTCTGAACGTGGCTGAAACAAAGAACTCGGTTTGCTGAAGGAGAAAATGTTTTTCAGAAACGTGCAACAAAATCAACTTGCTGGACGGTATCAAAGGCAGGCTTATACATCTTTTTTCGTTCCCCGAGGAACTCATTTGAAGAGAATGCAATTTGCTGTGTGCCGTGTGTGTTGCCACTCTGTGCGACATGGAACATGGCGTCCCCCCGTCACAATGCGGAGTGATCACACTGTTGCTTTCTTGATTCTAAGATAGCAACGCGAAGGTGTGGGCGCTGTCTGTCTGTCCTCGGAACCCGTTAAACTTGAAATGGCGGGCGCCAGGCGCACTTCATGCTCCAAGTTATTCCTTTTTTTTCTAGGTATAGCCACTTCTAGAGCAAGTTGACGGCTTTTACGCTCTGAAACAAGCTATGTCTGGCCTTGCGTTTATTTACATTTCACGAGCCATTGTACAGGCCGCACTGGCGTGTTTAATGATGCAATTATCTGCACGTTAGCGCCAGCAGCCAGCTGATTCCGTGCTGCCCAATTTCTTGGTCTGTTTGTAGTTATTTTACGTAATCAGGAAATTCTTTTCTCCTTGTGCCCCGCCACCAGCAGCGGCAACCCTGCAAGACAGGAGAACGAAACTAATTGGTCTCTCTTTCTCTTGTACCTGTTATGCCCGTCAATTGGCAGCAATCTCAGCGCATTATTCAGCAATGTAAAACATACTCTTTTGGTAATTACAGAATCAGTGAGAAAGTTGAACTGTTTTTAATCGTGGAGGGGAAGAATTTCTTATCATCTGCGGCCATATTTACACACGCGTCGGCCCTGAACACGCTCTTCGGAAAATCAAATAAATTGGACAATATTTGGAGACGCTAGGGTCCATCTTGCCCCTAGCAACCCTGTCTCTACATTTCTATTGGATCCGCACACGACACAGAATCCGTTTTTAGCACCTTTCCTTATGTTTAAAAAATAAAATGAGGTTTATGAGCTCGCCTGACCACCTTCCTGTCGGTCTGTGTATCCCCCCCCCAAAAAAAATTCCTGAGGTTTATGAGGCGTATGGGGTCACGTTGCTGTCTGCTTGTGTGTGTATCCCACATACGTTTCCGTTTTATATGCGGTCCGTCTCGTATCAAAGGGAATTAAGCGATTAGTTCTTCCCAGAACTTGTTGCCTTCTGTTCTTTTAGTTTCTTGTGCAGTTCAATGTACTTCGCGCTTTCTATGCGCCCTGCCCATCTAACTGTGCTTGATTTGTTGGTTTCAAAGAATCGACTCTACGGAAACTTCTCTGCCACTCGCTTATCAACAATGGGTCTACAAGTCACATGAAGCTCCTCAATGTGTAATTTTCTCCAGCCCTCTTACTGCCAGATATTCTCATCAGCACCCGTCAGTCTGTTCAGGCGCGAGACCAAGTTTCACACCCGTATAAAACGGCTGCACTGATATCCCTTCTCAATCTTCCATATATCTTCTTTCTAAAATTCTTCCCGGCCAAAATTCTCTAAGCATTTCTTTTCTCTCCCCGTTATAGTTAAGTAAATGCAGACCTAGTCTATAGAACACGAAATTGGTGTCCCTTTGAAACTTCCTAACTTCGTTGTAGATTCAGTTTATTCTGAATTGCGGAAAAGCGATTTTAACCTGTAAACTGAATATTCTGTAGATGTCAGTGCCGTAGTCTGCGGCAAGCTCTTCATACCGAATTTTATTAAGCCCTATCTTTATAAAGTACAGAAACAGGCCTGTCAGTCTATTTTAAAACCGTTTTCCTGTGAAACATGATCAAGATTTTACATAATTCTCGACTTTCAGCTTATCATTTTAGTGACGTCAAAATATGTGTTGCTGTTATCTTCTCATGTACCTTAACTGTTGCGTCATTTTGCCGGGAACCTCCCTGAACTTGTGTAGCGGGAGGGGTCTGCTTGCGAGAGCAGGGCACATTTCTGTGGCTTCCTCTTCTCGAAGAAGTCGATGGAAACTTGGTTGTAGACGAACGGATGTTCAATATTCACACGGAGGCAAATCGAAAATCCTGCGCTCCGCAAGTTTCTGTCGCTAGGGGGATTCCCTACATTTAAAGAAATGTTACGCGTGATATTCCTGAGACGCAGGCGCATGCGTAAATCTCAGTAATTTCATTCCGAACCGAACCACACGCGAAGCACGAGAACTCATAAAACGTGTTTTTTTTCACCCCTAAAATTACATCGTAATTTTAATATTAGAGGGCCATATATGCATATGATCATTTCTATATTAGTGTTTCGTCCATTCATGCTATATACCCCACCTATCTTAACTTCATTGATTTGCTCACCATGTTAATGCTTAGGTGAAACGTAACGGTAAAGGTAAAGTAGTCCTGTACTTAACCAATTAAACACTGTGCCATGAAGGCGTATGGGGGAGTGGATGTATAGGTCCATATTTTCTTCACCTTGGCACTAGCTGGAGGTGAGTGGTCAACTTGACGCCACGGCCGCTTTACCTCCCGGTAAAGAGCCCCCAGTACCCACTGGACAGGAGGTTGGTTGGATCCCAGAGCCGGTCTGGACGACATGGAGAAGTGAACAGTTTTTACCCTACCGGAACTCGAACTCCGACCCCTCGGTCATCCAGCCAGTGGATGAAACATAGAAGCAAAGAATTAAATTATATTAAATTTTAGGTTTTTGTGTGATGGAGTGTGGCTGAGAAACATTGAAATCATTTTGTTTTCCTTATTTCATGGCTTCGGAGCGCGATGTGTGTGGTGATTTTGACACTTTTAAAACTGTCAAGGGTGAACTAATTGCATGGCCCTTACCAACACACATTTCTGTTGCAGGAGCGCCTCCTTCTGTCTGTGCTCCCGCGTCACGTGGCCATGGAGATGAAGGCTGACATTGCTGGTAAGCCGAAAGACACCATGTTCCACAAGATCTACATCCAGCGCCACGAAAACGTCAGGTGAGCAGATGCTGCACTAACAAAATTATATCAATGAGAGGTTTTGTCGTCATCAAGTTTGTAAATTTTCTTTTAGATATAGTAGGTCATGGCATTGTTTCTTGTCTGTTCTTACTGCCAATTCCAACAATTGTTAATATAATGGAGACTAAGTATTTAACATCGCGAAGTTCAGGGTGGATTTATTTTGTTTCAGTGGCGGAAAATATGTTCAAAATTTGGTATAAAACTAACTCCGTGGTTTTAGTCCGCAAGCGAACTATACCGACCGAGCGACCGCCGCTTGTCGGTGAAGTTAGTGCCAACTTTAGCGGATAGAGGGTCTCGCGTGATCAGCGTAACGAATCCCCACGGCCGTTAATTTCGGTTTTCTAGACCGGAACCGCTATTTCCTTGAAATATCTCCTCAATTATCCTCATGAGGCTGAGTGGACCCCGTTCCAGACCCAGTACTTCTCAATTTTTAAAATTACGTTCCTTGCTATTTTGTTCAACTTATTGCTGTTGGGATTCGATTATTGCAGATAAATATTTACTGTCTATTTGATCGTGTTTCATTAAATATAGTCTACATTGCACCCAAAAGAAAATTTCAGAAAGCTGATGGTAATCGAGTCTTTATGTTTTACAATTTTATTTGCTCCGTGGACCTGTTTCAATAAAAGGTCATTGAAATTTTTGTATGGAATGTTGGAACAATATTGTAACAAAATTAAGTTCGCCTGTTTACTGTAGACCATAAAATAATATTGTCACGTGATAAGTGACTATAGACGGGGTTTCGGTTGGCAATCGGAGTTGATATTGCACTCCTAAAGAACTCGTGACTGCACTTTACGCATCATTATCACACAGACGAGTCTTCGCAGTCACGCGCTTCACTTCGCTGCTTGGTAGCGGCTTATCTCTCCTCCCGGTGTCACGTCCTCGCAGGCTGGCGGCCATCTCACCAACCTTATTCTCTTCTAACTGCTCTCTCTTAAGTCAAAGTAAATGTTATGTTACGACTGACAGTCAGTCGGTCAGTCTGGCTTAATGTCAAGCACCCATCTGGGGCCGAAATCCAGATTTTTGCTACTCTCAGACAGTTGCGGGTTTGTTGATGTGGGGCGCCGTCTCTGACGAGAGACCTGGAGGGCCAGGTCCGTTTATATATATCCCCCAGGAACAGGATGGTCCAGATATACCCCCAGGCACTGGGTTCCCTTTTCGTCGCCTACTACGACTCGCAGGGTTACGGTAGAGGTATTCTAACTCACCCCCAAGAGAGGGACTGTCTCTTAAGTCCAAGTCCGGTTCTCTTTACGACTGGCGGTTTACTATCTCTTAACGGCAGCTGGTCCTAATGATATAACATCGGCACGGACCGCACAGAAAACACCACTTCCAAAGTTTATCCATTGTTGCTTGTTACACAGACGTTGCCTAGCAATGACTGTTTGTCTGGCTTCACACAGTTCTTGCTTTGAGTAAATATATCACAATAGTTAATCCAAAGTTGTTTAATATTTCAGGATATGAAATGTTCGACCGTGTATACACGACTCCCCGATGATGCCTTCATTTTACGCCCTTCATAGAAAGAACGGATGTTGAAACGTCGAATGCCTAGTGTACGCTGATTCGTGACGTGAGGTTTGTGCATTGAGGGATACAGGGCTAGAAATGTAATCGATTCCCCGAGTCCAGTTTGCACGTGTATGCAAATGTTAACGAGTTCTTGAAAAGCGTGCGTGGCATTATGTATGAAACTTTACTTACGTACAAGTTTCTGTAGAGAAGTTGTCGAGGGGGTAAAATTTGTATCGATGCCTACTCCGTTTGAGTCTGACTCAGAACTGCAGGAGACTACGTGTAACTGCAACCAAGAGCGACATATAGCGAGATTATTGAGTTCCGTCTCCCAAATTAACTGGAGTCAGCCCTCCAGAAGTTACGGAGCTTGTTCCTCGAAGTGTTTCAATAGACGTTCCATGTCGGGCTCTAAAATGTTGGCTTCCCACCGTGTGAGACCGGGTTCAATTCTAGGACAGTTCTAGTCAGATTTGTGGTGAAGAGACTAACACTAGGGAACACGTCTTTGTTTCTCCCCAGCCCATTACAATTTCACCAAAGTTCCTTGCCCTNCCCCCCCCCCCGAAATGTACAACATGCCTGGGTAGCCAGTGTGTTTATCAGCATCGCGCTGTTGCTGTCTACTGCTTCATATCGAGACCAATGATTAGCAGGAAAGTGCGAAAAATTTCGTTGTGCTCCGTAGGGATTGCATCACAAATTCAGCACGACCGAGTCACGTGACACATTTCAAAATAAATAATGTGCTTCTCGTATTTTTATGTATGAATATATTTGCGAGCGTCATGTGCTTCATTGCTGTCGTCATATTTCAAAAGCTGTTTTTGTTTCCGTTGTTATTGTTAGTATTCAAAACCTATCAATGCCACTCAGTTTTGGTTCTGTACAGCTGCTGCCACCTATGGAGCGAAATCGGAATTATTTGGACAGTCTCTGTCTCCCTCGTTTATACTCGACTAACACCAGTATCTGAAGAGACGAAGCATTGGTCTAGTTAAACCTTTAGGGACCGATGGTTACTATATGCACCACAGTTCTGTCTATGTGTTCCCTATGCTGATATCGGTGAAAAATGGGCATAAGAGGAATTGTTTGGGGTGCCTTTTCCTCTGCTTCTAGAGTAGTTGATATAGTGCGGCTAATGCCTTCAGATGTGTGGCTTTCTCTTGTCCTTGGTCCGTGGGAACAACTAGGGCATTCCACATTCCCGAGTTTTGCTTTCCTGCCAGCATGGGGTGCTTGCGAACTTCTGAGCTGGTATCAGAAGTAATGGGACATGAAGTTTGTGTTGTGTGCTGTGTTGCAGCATCCTGTTTGCTGATATATGCGGCTTCACAAGTCTGTCAGACCAGTGCACAGCTGAGGAGTTGGTACGCCTGCTCAACGAGCTCTTTGCCAGGTATTGTCTGTCTGTCTACCTGTCATTCAGCTCAGATTGTGACTGATGATGTAACATTTGCAGAGTGTGTCAAAATGTTTGTCACTATCATAATAAACATAATGTTGCTTTATGTGCTGTGAGAGGGGCTGAGTCATGATTGCGTAGAAGTTGCCCATGGTCTCTCGTCGTTACCCCCTCAGGTTGCTCTTCAGCAACCTCTGATTTTGAGACTGTTCCATCCATGTCCTTGCTGAGTACCTGCAGTGCCAGCTCATGAGTTTGCACAATATATTAAAATCAGATAAACATTTATGTGGATCAGTTGCTGCTGTACAGATTGTACTGTAGGTTATTTCACACTTCTGAGTGATAGTAAGTGAACATATCTTTATTTAACCTTCCTCATTCTCAATAAGATATCGCCTTGCTGTGTATCCCCCCCCTTTTTTTTTTGAGGCTTATGAGATCACCTTGCTCTCTGTCGATGTATCCCCTTAATTTTTGTTAAGAGGCTTATGAGATAGTCTTGCTGTCTGTGTCCCCCTACCATTTTTTTTTTGTATTCTATGCAGTCCATGATGCATCAGAAGAAAGTGTGCGATTAGTTCTTTCCAGAAATTCTTGTTTGTTGTTATTACACAGATTTGATCGCCTGGCTGCTGAGCACCACTGCCTTCGCATTAAGTTGCTAGGAGACTGCTATTACTGTGTCTCAGGGCTTCCTGAAGCCAGACCTGATCATGCGCAGTGCTGTGTAGAAATGGGACTCGATATGATCGACGCTATAGCGCAAGTATACTTATTACTTACACAGGGTGTTTATTTTATTGCGCAAGCAGTAGGAGTGCAAGGAAAGAGTGATGACATATATGTGGGGTCTTTGCAGAGCTCAAGTGTAAATCATTAAATATTTGTCAGAGCGAGATACACTTTGAATAAAGTTTTTAGAAAAAAATGAAACACATTTTTTGTTGAGTACACTTTTTCTAAAAGTGTTATGTTTTCAAGATTGTCAAACAAAAGCAAGCATATCAATTAGAATTGTTACACTATGTGTATATCCTAACTTGTTGAAAGTTTCCTTCATCACTGCTCACCATTCTGATCCATGCCCTAGCACCTCTTTAGGAATTGCCTGGTTTTGTCCTTGTACAACCTTATAACTTTAGTAGAGATTTTACGTACCCTAACCAAGGTTGGTCTACATGAAACATGATGTAACTGAGACAGTTTATGTTCCCCGCAGGCTGGTGCGTGATGTTATGGGCGTGAACGTGAACATGAGGGTCGGTATTCACACTGGCCGTGTGCACTGTGGTGTTCTGGGCCTTCGAAAATGGCAATTTGATGTGTGGAGTAACGATGTGACACTTGCAAACTACATGGAGAGTGGGGGAATCCCAGGGTAAGGCCACTGAGGTCAGTTGTTGTATTCTGATTCCGATTGTGTCCCTGAGCCATGCTGTCTGAGGAATGAAGGAACATCTACTGGAATAAAATATTGAACATTTAAGTATACTATATTTATATATTATATATTAATATATATATAGTTATTTATATCAATGAACTCTCACAACTTTGAAGTCAAAATCTCTTCTTGCCTCAGAGGTACACGACAATCCCATTACAGTGCTCTCTGCGGAAGTGAGAGGTGCTTATTCTCAGAATAATAGGAAACACATGGAAATATCCTTGTGGACATATTGTAGAGTTTTTAATGTTGAAGCAGCTGGTGCATATAGTTACTAGTCTACAGTAAATGTATCAGTAAGATATGTGTGTGGGAGGTGCATTGCAACAAGATAATGTATCATATGGTTAGGGATTCTGTGGACTCAGGGCAGAGGCTCCAGGCTGGCCAGGGGATGGCCTTACTAGGTGAGTGACTGTCAGTTTCTCAAGAAGGACTCTGCTCTGTGGAGTTAGTTAAGATAAAGTTTCTTATTATAAATTGTTTGTTGGCAAGACGAGTTCATATCACAAAGGAGACACTGCGGTACCTTGATGGTGACTATGCCGTGGAGCCAGGTCATGGTGGCGAGCGGAACGCATACCTGCGTGACCACAACATCGAGACGTTCCTCATTGTCCCAGCTGACACATACCGTACAGTAAGTAACACTGCTGGCATTAGCTACCCTGTAGTTTTGCACTCTGATATCTGCTGACAGTAGCTGTCAGTAGTTTTGCGCTCTGATGTCTGCTGACAGTAATTACCCTGTAGTTGTGCACCATGTGACCTGCTGACAATAACTACCCTGTAGTTTTGTATTGTTAGATCTGCTGACAGTAGCTACTTGTAGTTGTGCATACTGGCTAGTGAGTGGCCTCACACTTTTTGTCTGTTGCAGACCAAGCGTCCAGTCAACAATTTCTCAATGAATGGAAGCATCTCGAAGGAGCTGCGGGTCATGGGCCACAGTTCACAGCATGGCAAGCATAGCAAGTGAGTGGAAGTTTGTCACATTGCATGTGTGGTGGCCAGTAAAGGTAAAGCTATCCCTATCCCTGGAACAGACCATGAAGGTCCATAGAGTTGTGAGACGCTGATGCTCCCACATTTTCTTTAGATGTTCTGCTCACAGATGGCAGTAAGGTCGTGGGCCTTATGCACTGGCTGCTTTTTACTCCCAAGGAAGATTCCCTGGTACTCATTTCTGTTAGAGGATGAGTTGACCCCAAGGCCATAGTGCAGCTGGCAGGATTGGGTCAATTAAAAAATTCACCTCACCAGGACTTGAACCCGTGACCTTCCAGCTTATAGCATAGTGCCTCAACCAATTAAGCTACCATGTTAGTCAGTTGCTGAGTTAACTGGTAAAGCAGTCTGTTAATTGGATGTTTATTTTGTTAGGTAATTAATAAGTTGATTAGTGAGTCATTTACTTGACTAATTAATGATTCAGCTGAATATTCATATCTGTCAGTTAATGACTTAATTAGTTGTTTACTGGCCTGGTTAATTAGTCAGCTAATTAATGACTCAGTAAGTCAATCATTTAGTGAGTCAGTAGATCTGTCAATATGTTAGTCAGTTAATTAGTGAGACAGGCTGTCATGTGCATTGCTCCTCAGAGTGGGGTTTGGGGAGAGTCTGGAGGAAAAAGACCCTGAGGATGAGGTGAACGAATACCTGATGCGAGCCATTGATGCACGTAGCATCGACCGTCTGAGGGCTGAGCACTGCAAGGCGTTCCTGCTGACCTTCCGGAGACCTGACATCGAGGAGAAAGTGAGTCGCATATTTGTGCAAATGCAGATGTGACAGTTTAGCATGCCTTATGCCTGTCATGCTCACTCTGTGTGTGTTGTGTGTTGCAGTACTCAAAGGAACGTGACCGTATGCTGTCAACATACTTCTGCTGCTCCTTTTTCATCTTCTTGTCCATTGTCATTGTACAACTGGCTGTCATACCACAGTGAGTAGCTGAACATGTAGAATGAGAAAATTGTTTGTCCATTATGCCCCTATCTACCTGTCATTCTTATACTGTAATTTCCTTGGCAGTATCGTGCAGGAGCTTGTGATAGAATTATTGTTTAGCAATTCTGTTGTACCCCCCACTTCATATTTCGGGTTGGAAGAGGATTTCAACCCTTAAAACAACATTATAATAGTCACCTGTTCCTGTTTAAGCTACATGTCCATTCCATTATTACTTGACTGCACGAGGATAATCATGTAAATTTCTGAGTAGGTCCAGGTCTCACTGGGCATGTGTCAGTTGTTTAAGGTAGTAGTTAAGTTAGTTACTTCATGCATTCCGTCAGATATAAGAAATTTTAATCAGTGGATGAAATGTTTTGCTGCCTGACAAACTTGGCCTCAACTGGACTTTTTAAGAGGTGAACCAACAATAGTAAAAGGAAATACTTTATTTACATCTTTGTTACAGTACTAATTATCATGGAAACTTATTGAAGAGGTAGATACTAATAAGTGCTAGTGATGAAGGTTGGTTTTAAAATTAATTAGTTATATAATATTAATGTAGTTATCCTGTGTTGTCAGGAATATGATGAAGTAACAGCATTTGTAGTAGTCTTACAGTTGATAGCTTGAAGTTGGTTAAATTTTACAGTTGTAGGTTTTTTCCATCTTGAAATATAAGGTAAGGTTGTGTGTTAGCTCTGCAGCAGCTCTGGGTGTTTATATGTGGGGATATTACAGACATTCATCAGCCTTATCTCTGTGGTAGTGTTGTGTGTTTGTGCTGAGCAGCTGGTGGTGATGTCTAGTGTTCAGTAATTCACGTTGTCAGGACATATTTCTTCTGACAACACAGCACAACTATTTTAATAATTTTAAGTACTTAGTTTTAGTACTAACCCTTGTCTCTAGTACTAATTATATCTACCTGTTAAGTCTCTAAGAATATCTAATACTATAGTAAAGACTATTATTTCATTTTAGCATTGCTCACTTGGGTCTTGAAGGTGGCCACTTGTGGCTGAAATATGTATGGCAGCAAAAGATTGTATCCATTGTTTCTTGTTTTACACGATGGAATTTTAATTTTTATGCATTCATTAATACAGTGTAATGGTTAGGATGTCCTCTATAAAGTTAATTAGTGAATTAGTTAGTATGTTAATGAGTGAGTCAGTTGGTTGAGTATTTTGCTGTGTTGCAGCTCTCCCCTGATGTTTGGCTGTTTTCTGGTTGGTGGATGTGTCATCACTCTGATCAATATGGTGGTTCTCGTCGAGAATAGCCGGGTGAGTCAGAAGGCTACATTTTGACATGGCTCATGAGATATCGCTGCAGCACCGTGTGACTGTCAGTATAACAGGCTTACTCTATATCAGTCACTGACATTAGATTTATACTGAGGTTCAGGAGTCTGCGAGTTGTCTGTGGACAACACTGACATTTAGGGTGTATCAGCAGTAATTGTTGTGTTGTAGATAGTGCCTGCAGCCCTGCACTGGATGTGCCAAAACCGGGCCATGGCGCAGATGCTAGCCGCTGCTGTACTGCTTGTTGCATATGCTGTCACACTGTCTCCATTGGTAAGCAGCCAGCATTGTCCTGCCCAGATGTATAACAGACTCACCGAAACACTCGCTGTGTTTTATGCCAAGGCCAGACTGAGATAAATAACAGAAAAGAAAGAAGAATGATACAGTGTGGTTGCATCTTGTGCAAATTTGAAATAGCGTGGTATAAAAAATATTAATAAAGTCTCACTTTATGTGCTAAGTTTTAATTCATGCAAATCCCGTAAAATGTGGCAAGACTCACCCATGTGTTTCAGAACTTGTCTTGAATTGTGCGAGGTCTTCAGGAATGCATCCTCACATTAAATGTGACCGCACCATATATGTAAAACTATCAGTTTATTTGTGTCACGATGTCTCAAATTTCAGTTGCCTTTTTCCACCGTCCATTTGTCTTCTTTCAGTATAGGCTGTTGATAAATTTTGCATGAACCGTCATCTGAATGTACATTTTATGTAGGGTAATTACAACAAATGTTAACACCCCCAGAACATCCCTATCAAATGTGTTCTGTATGACAGTGAGATATACATCCATCCATATGGCAACCTTCCTCAAACCCACCATTTCAAATGTTTATCACTCTGTGTTTGTCTATTCAGATGTTCGTGTAATGTTCAAGCCCTAATTAAATACTAGTGCCAAAATAAATACAGTATTTCCAACACTATGCAAAGGCCATTAAAAAGAACATTAGCAGAATTCTAATTACAAGCTGAAACACAAAAAAAAGCAACTCATAGGAACATCAGAATGTCCATTGTGGCAGTATCATTACATTCCATTTGTCGATATGAATAGACTTTATGAATTGAAACAACCTTGTAATAAAGTTGTGTACTTCCTGCCACCAGTTTGCGCTTCAGTCAGAGCTGTGTCCAGTGAAGGTACTGCAGCAGCCCACTGTGCTGTCAAACTTGACTTTCACTGAATGGCAACTGGAGCCACAACTGACAGAGGCTGCAGTGCCCTCCCCATGCCCCCCACCTGTCACCGACCACAATGATTACATGGACGTGAGTATCGTCAGCTTCATATCTGTTTATTGTGATCCTTGTAAGCACATTTATACAGTCATAATGATCTGTTTCAGTACTTCACATACTGCGTGATGCTCGTAATGATCATGTGCGCAGTTTACCAAATCCTAATTAGCCTCGCCAAGTTGGTCATCCTGTCATGCATTGGTGCTGGCTACCTAGCACTCATCATGTTCCATGCAGGGTAAGTTGCCATGCTGCTCCACGTTCCTCTAATGTTGGGAGTTGTATGAGTTTCATGTCAGCAGCCATGTACCCTTGCAGGAACAGGAACGAGGTGCTGTGGTACCGCTACCTAACAGTGGTTGTTCTTCTCAGCTTTGTGGTGGCCCTTGTTATTCACGGCCAGCAGACAGAGGCCACCTATCGGCTAGACTTCCTATGGAAGCTCCAGGCTACAGGTATGATGAAACAGAGAGCCAATGTATGAGGTCTGAGGTTCTCTGGGTTATGACATCAGGTAGTCTGGTACCAATATTCTGGAAGAATATGCTGCCTCCACCTCTGATGTAGAAGATTCACTGAGAGAGGGAATGATATTAACTTTACACATTGGTTCAGTCTTACCCCTAGTTCCTGGCCTCCTTTAATTTGTCACTCACTGTCCTTCTCCACTTGACTCGCTCGTCTTCCCTGAAGATGTAGGCAGCAGTTCCCTCAAAGGCATCAGCCTACATGGCATCACACTGTAGAAGACAGTAATCTTCAAGAAGTAAGTAAGTAAGTTACAATGACAAGTGTACCTGTCAGCAAAACAATGATGTTAATATTCTGTTGAAATCGACAGTTCACAACAAGAGCAGTTAATGTATTGTGAAGGGCATGGCTTGATTAATAAATTGGCATGGTCACTCCTTGGTTTTTGCATGACAATTATTTTGTGCCAAGGGTTTGAAACAGCTCTTCAGAACTAGACAGAATCTCCAGATGCATAGAAACACACAGCTGCAAACACCTGCATTATGGCCATGTGATTTAAATTGTCTGTCTTGTTCAGCAGTGTGAACACAGGACTGGTTTGTGTTCTTGCAGAAGAGAAAGAGGATATGGAGCATCTACAGGCGTACAACCACAAGCTCCTGGCCAACATACTTCCTGTCCATGTGGCAGAGCACTTCCTGTGCAGTGACAAGCATGCGGATGTAAGTGTTGCTGCCTCCATATCTGACGTAAGTGGCACTTTGCTTAGTCTTCCTTCTTTTCCTGTCATCATGAAGTGGGATGCCCTTGCAGACAGATACATCTGTAAAAATAGGCTTGATAGTTGTTTAATTTAATAGAAATCATTATTGCCATTACACTGTCCATGCAAAATCATATTTGTACTATTTTGATGTTTTAAATGTGAATATATGTGAATAATTATTAAATAATTTGTACAATATTAATGACCAAATTTTGAAGTTTCCTTTTATAATTGTTTGAATTTCCTCTAGGTCACCTAATTGCACACAAACCTATAGGGCAATAGATCACATATTTTAGGCATGTGTGAGTCTTGAATTTTTAAATTGAATTGAAGAAAAATGTTTCTTTATCTGGGCTGGAATGTTCATTCTTAAGTCCTGAAATTTGAGAATATTCTGATAAATGTGTTTGCTTTTGTGTCAGGGTCTGATGTCAGCAGAGATAAAAATTATATTTGCCAAAATGGAATATGAGTTTTCTCCCCGTCTTTTGAGAATTACAGGAATGCCTGTGGGCATGAATTTTGATCCTAACTATATACATATTGACGTTTTTAATGTGTTTTAAACTTTTAGAGTATTCATGCCATAATTTGTGTTGCTGTGCTATGAGAGAGCAAGTTGAAAAGCAAGAGAAACATAAATATGTGTGTCAAGATCAGAAGTCATGAGTTTGTCCAAAATACCATTTACATTAGGAAACAATTCACTGGTATTGTGGGGCTGTGTGCTAATGCAAGTGTGATAGTGGAAGATTCTCTCAGGGTAACATGTAGTAATGCGAAAGGGAATAGTATGTCAAAATGTCCTATATCATTTGACTTGTCCTATATCGTGTATAATGATCCATGGATATGAAGTAAATAAATAAATAGATCAGGCACTGCAGTTATGATTTATACTTCATGATTACAATGATTAAACATGCAGAACAAAGAAACATGTGAAGCAGCAAGAAAATACAGTGTCTCATGAAGCAAACATCCAAAAGAGGAAATGATATAACAAGAATTTGTAACAGTTCTATGCAAATATCATAGTTTTTGTGGATTCAGTGGCAGAATGAAGTGTCAGTTTCGTGCAATGTCGTTAAAATCAATGAGCAGCAGAAATTTAAGTGCAGCACAGTGTGTATTTTCAAAATGCTATCCAGTTACACCCAGTATGATGTACATGCAACATCTGTTTTCTTAAACATCAGGCCATGAAAACATGCTAGTGACTGACATATTGGAATAATGGTCATTTATAAGCATTATCAGGGATACTCCTTTCAGCTTTACAGTTTCATTGGTAACAGTTCAACATCTAGACAAATTTGAGATAGAAAACTATAAAGGACATAGTTTGAAACTTGGCTAACCTTCACTAACACAGGCATGAAGACCCTCTAACTTGACTTTACAATACTGTGGACCCCACTGGTATTCCTCACTGTAAGATTTTTTGGTCATTTAGTTTTGAATTTTAATTATTAAAAGTTAATGATCTCTTTGTTAAATTTCATCCATTTAAGATTTCCCTCAGTTTAGTGTTCAGATTCATAGCTCCCCTTAGAAAATATAAGTAGGCATTTCACTCCTGTTTTAGTTAACCCAGCATTTTACGTTTAAATTATACACATCTTCAGAGGATTCTCTGTCACTTTGTTTTCCAACCTAGACTTTCCATTAAAATATTTAAAGATATGATCAATCATTGTTAAAATAGTTTTAAAATTGTTGATTTATCTAAATTAACCTTTAAACATATCATTTTAATTCCTCTATTAGGGTTTTACTTAAGTCTGTCTTGTAATTACTACATATAAAAATAAATATTAAGGAATGTGCTTGCACTTCTACTAGTGGCATGCATGCGCACTTCCACTAGTGGCATGCATGCGCACTTCCACTAGTGGCATGCATGCGCACTTCCACTAGTGGCATGCATGCGCACTTCCACTAGTGGAGTTTAAATGCCTGGCTGGCCAAAATGGGGTACTTTGGCCACAACGACTGTACTCATCAGTGGCCCGATCAGGGCACTTCGGATATTAAAGGTTAATCTCTGGTTATTTTCTTTTGTTCTCTGCATTTGTTGTCTTTGTTCTGTTGCCTCATCTTACCTAACACAGTTTATATTTAGTCTTGCAAAGGAGTTCCAAACTATGAACAAGAATATGCTATATGTATTGCCCATCTCTTCATTTTCAATTTCATTACACTAATATTTGGTCAAGATTAGGAATCTAAAGCTTCTCATTATGTAATTTTCTCCATCGTCCTCTTACTTCCTCTCATGTTCATGTTCTCAGCATTCTGTTCCCACACGCACCACTCAAAGCTTCTCATTTCTTCATATTATTTTGTCTGTTTTCTTGTCTGACTGTGGCACCAGGAACTGTACCACGAGCAGTGTGAGTGTGTGTGCATCATGTTTGCTTCCATCCCAAACTTCTCCGAGTTCTATGTTGAGCTGGAAGGGAATAATGAGGGAGTGGAATGCCTCAGACTACTTAATGAGATCATCGCAGACTTTGACGAGTTACTTGCTGAACGTCGTTTCCGCTACATCGAGAAGATCAAGTCTACAGGTGCCACCTACATGGCTGCCTCAGGTTGGTATAACCATGTAACCTATTCACAATGGCTGTGAGATGTGTTCCTGTTTGGGACACATTATCTGCTGTTATGGTGGTCACATGGAAATACAGATGTATCAGACAGCACAGTGTATGTGTGGAGAAAGCAGAATTGAGGATTTCATTTTGAAATATACAGGATTTGAATTTTCACAGCAGTGAATATTAACACTGTATTCTTTTGGGGTGATAGCAGTTTCAGATACTGATTGGTGATAAAAAGTTTCTGAGGAAGGATTTTGTGTGGTGAACATTCAAGTTTGATAACAGCAGAATATTTTTTGAACAGCTGAGTAACTATAATCTGCTCAGTGAAGACCCTGTACCATGAAGTCATTCACTGAATCAGTTGCAAACCAGTCATTTGCTTAGTTGGTTCCTAACTTAATGACTTATTCAATGAGTCAGTAAATTAACCAGTTAGTTAGTTATCCATGGCATTGCTCAGGTGGTCAGCCATTTATTTCTCATCACAGAAGCTCAGGTTCAGGCACATAGAAGTCCATATCAGATTTATGGCAGACAAAATGGTACTACAGCAGATTTACCTCCAAGCACTTTTCTCTCATTGCCATTTATCTTTCCATCAATACTCCATACTTGTTTGTCTCTCATTAGGGGCCCATTTCATACTGCAGTACTGAGGGTACTGAATCTCACCCCCTTCTGATCATTTCTTCACCAATGCTGCGTATTCCTTTGTCATCATAGACTGGTACAAGAAGCCCATGTAAGCCACAGTACCAAGGAACTCAGTCTCACCTCAACCCTGCAATTAAAAAGGAAACTGCTGTGTTACTCAGTTAAAAGGTTATTTAAATTCCTGTATCTCAGGAACCTATTCAATGCTATGTGTTTACTAGCAGTTCACTGTGTGACTGATGTTATGGCCTCTCTTGCAGGCCTCACAAAGAGCACATGTGACATGCGAGGGTTCCATCATGTGACAGCAATGGCAGACTATGCACTGAGGATACGAGAACAGCTCTCCTATGTCAACGAGCATTCTTTCAATAACTTCAGAATCCGGATAGGTGAGACTTCAGCATGTCGTATGTAACTGAATCCTTGTCTTTATATTAGAAGGAGCTCTTCAAATTTTGAGCAAAAATATTTATCAGTTACATTCTCGACTCCTTGGCTGCACTAGATAACAATTTATCTAATCTGTTGAAACATCTAATCAGTTTTTTAATTATTTTTTAATATATGTTATGTAGAAAATGTTTCACATGAAAGATAAAGATCATAATGGGAAATATCTTACATTATTTACCAGTTGTGTTCATGATGATATTATTTAGGACAATCAATGAAATTTGGCTATGCGCTATGTAAAATAGGGTTTATATTCAGAGCTTTAGTCGTACAAATAAAGATGGCAGGGCAATCTGCCCTGCAGTTCCAGGTTAAGGGAAATGGACTAGAAACATAATGTGAGTTTGTCAGGAATTAAATGAGCTATTATTTATCTATGTTTGATATCACTGAAGAGTACTATCCTCTGAGATATGATGCCATGTCAACCTCCCTGCTGGGATATAGCAACACTTAGTCCATTGAAAGTCAAAGTCCAACACTTGATATCCCTGTTTGTAACCTTTTCAATTCCTCAATCCAAAGATCATCTCAGGATACTTGTATTGAAACTGCCACAGCTTAAGAGATTGGCTCAGAGTTAATCCCTTACTACAGCATTTCTCTCAATATGTGACATCAAGTGTAACGTACCAATGTTACATTATCTATACATATGCTCTTTTGGAGGTAATGCAAAGAAGTATTCTGTGTAAATACATTTATCCCCAAGCACCCTTGTTGATTCTAGCGGGTAGTTCTGTGATGCAGTTTGGCAGTCATTGGGTTAAAGTAAGTGCAAGATGACACCCTAATACTCAGGCAATCAGTGGGTCTCAATTCTTGTCTGCCAAGGCTTGACTACTGCTCTAATTATATTGAATCAGTAGAAACCAAAATCATATTCATCTGATAAATTGTATTGCTTGCCCCCAGTGCTGAAATACATACAAATATGTGGATAGAGGGCCACGGTCTTCTGCTATGAAATGACTTATATTTTTACATTTCATAACAACATTGTGGGTTTAATAGGAAGTGATAAGCTACAATGGTGTGTTGTGTGTTCATACCAGGGATCAATATTGGACCAGTGGTGGCCGGTGTGATTGGCGCTCGGAAACCTCAGTACGACATCTGGGGAAATGCGGTGAACGTGGCTAGTCGGATGGACTCCACAGGAGTACTGGACCAGATTCAGGTGATGGCAGTGGTACTGCAGAGCAACCCCAGCGTCATGACAGTTTATAAAAGTCAGAAGTTGCTCACTCTAACAGATACTTATTACTTACTTATGGAGCTGAGCCCTTCTTGAGGAGAAGCCAAATCTGCAGCTACTCAAGAATTTCCCAGAATTTTATGGAACCCGAAGGTTCATTACCATGTTCACAAGAGCCCTCCACTGGTCCTTATCCTGAACCAGATCAATCCAATCCGATCCATACCATCCCATCCTATCTCTCTAAGATCCATTTTAATGTTGTCCACCCCCCTATGCCTTGGTCTTTCCTTTTGGCTTTCCCACCAATATCCTATATGCATTCCTCTTCTCCTCCATTCGTGCTACATGCCCTGCACACCTCATCCTCCTTGACTTGTTCATTCTAACTATACTTGGAGAGGAATACAAGTTATGAAGCTCCACATTATGCAGTTTCCTCCAGCCTCCTGTCACTTCATTTCTCTTTGGTCCAAATATTCTCCTCAACACCCTCAGTCTTTGTTCCTCCCTTAATGTCAGAGACCAAGTTTTACACCCATACAGAACCACAGGCAAAATTATAGTTTTGTATGTTCTAATTTTTATGTTTTTGGACAGCAGACGAGAAGACAAGAGGTTCTGGACTGAATGGTAGCAAACATTCCCCAAGTTCAGTCTGCTTTTAATTTCCTCCTGGATTAGGTTTTGACTTGTTATTGTCGTTCCCAAATATCTGAACTGTGCCAAATTTTCAAAACATCTGTTTTCTATCTTTTGCCCTGCATTTTGCTGATGAGACAGCAACATATACTTAGTTTTCTCTGGAGTGGTTAACATGGGTATATGAAAGGAGAATTTTTCAATATATTCAGCATTGTCTGAACCAGAGAGTTAAAGATTTTCTTTAACTTACATAACCTCTTCTGTCACAACTCTTCTGTGCTTCATGAAGGAATATCTTTGCTGCACACTTGCAAGTCATTGTGTGTGCATATGTGTGAGAATCAACTGCTTGACACTTTTCGAACTGGATTAGCAGACCAACACAGGGTTCATTTTAAACCTCACTGATACTTGACTTGTAGGTGTTACATTATGGGTTGTCTTCCATGCCACAACTGGAATACTAGCAACTTTTTGACAGTGCATACTTAAGAAATGGTTGGGAAACAACCACTGTACCTAAATGCTTAAAATCATTCTTCTGCCATAAAATAACCTGTTGCAATCTGACATATAACGAAGCCAGATGTTGAAATATGAAAGGTGGATAAACCCATAAAATAAAGAAAAACCAGTCCCAAAAACAGAAATAAACAGTATGGACCACACAATGACTAGTTCCAAACAATACAACTGCTCCATAAGGAAATCAAATGGGAGTAGAAATAAAACAAACTAGTCTTCGATCAAAACAACCCTCATAGATAACTGCATATTGTAGCATCATAATTGCAGTGATGAACCCAAACATGAATAGTATTTATGAATGAGACAGTTAAACACAACATAACCAGCAACATTTTAATTCATCTGAGTGTATTTTATAACTTAAAACTTTTATTATTTTTATATTGTTTTGATTTATTATAGACGTCTTTATGTACATCTCTAGGGACTCATTTAATGTAAAACTTTCAGTCCAGTTTTAATATATTTACAAGAACAGTATTCTAACAAAAAATGAATATATTAACCATGTATAAAGACATATACATTAATAATAATTGTTATATTGTAATATATGAATTCATATAAAATGCAATTCAAGAGTTTGAGAACAGTTGTTAGTGTATACTGTCTGATGATGGCTTTATAAGCAGAAACATGTAGCACACTGCCGTACTATTAGGACCAATAAACTCATTATACACAGTAAATGTGAATGAGCTTTTGATAGTTGTTGCACTGAGATGGATAAACAATGAAGAAAAAAATAACCTTCTGTTTAATATGTTAGGGAAGTATTTGATTTGTTTCATTTTGGTCCATCACACTAACAGTTAGAAAACTGAAATAGTCACATTGGATGGACTTGTCTTTTATAATTGTCAGAGAAGTAAGTTGTGAAGATGGGAGGACAATAAAACTTGCTCAAGATCATGTCCAGTGGTGAGCTTTGGTATCAGCTGTGTTGAACCTTTGACTTCTACTTTTGCTTAGTGTGGATGTTAGTTATTTTGGACAGTCAGTACAGAACTTAGTAAGTCAGTTTGTTAATCATTTAACTAGTCACTAAGTTTGTTTAGCAAATAAGTTGGTTATTGATTTAGCACTTAATTAGTCAGTTTGTTAGTTCATCTACCAGTCCCTTGGTCAGTCACTCTGTTCATTGCTGAGCCACAGTTGAATTTGTTTGCAGGTTACTCAAGAGATGTACCAGATCCTTCATGCCAAAGGCTACCCTCTCACCTGTCGGGGTACCATAAAGGTGAAGGGGAAGGGTGATATGGTGACATACTTCCTGAATGGATACTCCAACACTGCTGCTACCCCGTCGAGTGCAGGCACTCCTAGTCAAGAGCCGAGCTAGATGCGTGGGCATGTTGGTACCAAGCTTTAGGGTTCTGAAGGCTCTCTGCAGTAGACCCAGTATTAACATCATGCCATTGGAGACCTCTGTCTTAGAGGTGGGAAAACACTCTGCCATTCAGAGAAGGGTCATGAAATTCTTGTACGAAAGTGATAAATTCTGACATGGTGACTGCACAGAATGTTTTAGGTTAACATGCAGCTGAACACCAATGACACATGATAAACTTGTAGTATGAATAATATGCACACTTAAAATGCCTGATCCTTCATAACCCTAAAATTTAGCCTGCCATAGTGAGTCTACAGAACTGCTAACTGAAGCATCAAGAAGGTGGCAGATGGCTGTACCACATGCCTCGAATGAAATGAAAATGTGTGCCAAATCCCCCCTCCATTCATATTGTAGAGCTGTAGCTGTCATCTTTCAACAGGGTATGTAGTAAAGTTGTGTTTGTATATGTGTGTGCGTGCCTGAGGAAGGACAGAGTATCCCTGGGCCCTTGTGTTTGTGTGTATGTCTGAAATAAAAAGGCCAAACTATCCCTGGAACATTCTTTCTCTTTCCATTCTCATCTGCTGCACTGTGATTTATCTTACAAGGTTTTTCCTTTTAGAAACTTCTTATTTTCAGAATTGAGGCCATAATGCCCTATCTCGGACTGTGGGATATGTTTCTCAGTTTTGGTTCCAGTTCCTTCTAGGCCAGGTTTGTTTTGTGTGTGACTTGCATCATCTCATTGTCTCAGGGGATTACGTCGTGGATCCAGTTGTCTAAGGAGTTCTAGGAACAACCAACAAAATATGGATCCTTACAAAAATAAATGAAAGCAAAATCAAAGCAATGCATAGGAGTCGGTATAGTGACAGGCTACAGGCTGGATTCCTGCGGTTCAAATCCCAGCAGGGGCAAGATTTTTCTCTACCCCACAGCGTCCGGACACACACTGGGGCCCACTCAGCCTCTTTACCAAATGGATATTAGTTGCTGTTTCCCTGGAGGTAAAGTGACTGGGGCGTGAAGCTGACCTCTCACCTCCATCTAGTGATAAAGTAAAGAGTGGTGGAGCTATATGTCCACTCCCCCCATGTCTTCATGACATAGTGCTTTATTAATAAGTAAAAGACAAGAAGGTATTGAATTAGTAATGAAATGACTGGAGAAGTTGGCATTCAGAATTTGTTTAGAGATAACAAAGAGACTATTACAAAGAACAGGTGGGACAAGGATACCAAGAAGAGCATTAGGAATAGAATATAAAGGAAAGAGACCTGTTGGATGACCCAAAACAACACAGCTCAGTCATGTGTTGAAAGACATCAAGAAGGATGGAACCAGGTGGCAAGAAGCAAGAAATAAATGTTGTGGGAAGAGGAAATAGACTGCACACTTTTCATCTGTTGGCCTACATAAAATGAAAACAATGCTAGGAGAAGAAGTTCTGATATATTTTATTGTATATTAAATGTTTCTGCAAAATTAATGTTCAAAATCAAACTTGAGATTGAGCTAAGAATTTTGAAGACTTCATACCAATTTAAGGGAATCTGTTGGAGTAAAAACAAACTACTCCCACAGCTAGCTAATGTTTATGAATGGTTACTGCCTGTGAAAACATGCTGTATATTGGAAAAGCCTCGTAAGATAAACAAAATTAAATAAGATGTAATATCAGGAGCTTCTAAGGTGCTTGTGAGTTGGTGAGTGCTCAGGGTTCTCAGGGCTTTCTCCCTTGTGAAAGACTGTTGTATGTTGGTCCATCTCCCCATGTATGTTAGTTACTCATGAGCGGTGCAGTTAATTGTGTTGCCTGCAGTGATGCTACATTTGTGTAGTTTTATTTGTTTGTTGGTCTTTGTATGTCTATATGATAAACAGCTTCTCTAGACATCTATGTCAAGTAGAAACTGGAAATGTGACACAGTCTTCAGAAATATATACTCACTTTTATTCTTTTAGGACACAAAGCCTGAATGTACTTCTGTCTGCTCACTGTGTCCTCTAGACCAGTGTTTCTTGACCCCTGGGTCACGACCCAATACCGGGCCCTTGTCTTATAAAAAAATTTACTGGGCCATGGTCTCACAGAGGTTGAGATACACAGCTCTGGACCAACCCCAAATATATTTACTTCTAGTTTGTTGCTTTTTTTTTTCCCCCCTCTCCACTGATGCTCTATATGCTCATGTTATGTGTTCCTTGAACATTTCAATCTTCAGGCTTTTGCAGAGAATATAAGCTGAAGAAGCAGTGAACCCCCTTTCCTAGGCAAAATTGAAAGAATGAAAAAAAGAAATAGTAAAGCATTAAACACTGACAAAAATTGCAGCCCTCAGAAAATATGTTTAAAAAATCTATCTCAGTAACAGGCCATAGAGGCCCATAGTGCTGTGAGACATCAAGGCACCCACATTTTTCTAGAAAGTTGGCTCACAGATGGCAGTGAAGTTGTCAGCCTTACACACCAGCCACCCTTTGGCCCTAGGAACATTCCTAGTGAGTTCTGTTAGAGACTGAGTTGACCCCAGGATCATAGTGCAGCTGGAAGGATTAGATCACTTAAAATATCCAGTGCCCTTATTGGGAGTCAAAATGTTGTAACTTATTTATGAAAGAATATTCCTTCTTGTGCTTGTGGTATATCAACAACGAATTATGATTATGAAAAATATTGAATGAGTGCTATCTTTTGGAATATGACACCATGTAGTCTGGTAGGAGTTCACTAACATTTCCAAAGAGTAGATGGTTATTCTCTGGCCCTTGAAATAGAAGCGGTATATTCTTCCGAAATTTCTACCAGACTACACGGCGTGACATCTTCACTCTTCACATTTACTGCTGTGGTTACCTCAAATCTCAAACATAGGCTCTGCATTAGCCTAGAACTGCCATGAGACCCTGAAATCATCTAAAATGGAGAATGTTTTCTACAGGAATATAAAATAGCAATAACTGTCTCATATTTACAAAAAAAAAACATTTCTTCGGGGTCTGGCACAGTGGCCAATGAAACAGCAGGCAGAAGTGTCACCACAGCTGTTTACAGAATCTTCTATGTTTCTTGGCCTACTCACCTCAAACTATTCTTTGATTGTAGCTGATATTTTAATGTTGTCACTGAGGTGATTTAGCATTAGTGCTCCTTGTGGTCACAGAACACCAGTAATGGCTACTGCAATAATGTGACATGATCAGAGAGGGCTCATTGCTTTCAGTTATTGTTATAAATGTGGCTCTCTGTTGATAATGGGATAAGTCATTTATCAAACATCAGTTAAATCAATTTAATTTAATGTTTGCTTTTACATTCAAAAACTGTATTTTACCTACACAGTATATTTATATACACATAGTACTGGAAGCCATCTGCAGCAAAAGTTGTGAGATGGATTCAGTACTGATCTGTATATGCCCTGTTATACTTGAAACACAGATTGGGCTTTAACAGTTTTCTCAAAATGTGCACGTTTCATTGCACTTTACTAAGTTCTGTGTCTCATTTGATAGATTCTTCAGAACAATAAATATTTAGCAAAATAAAATAATTTATATCTGTGTATGGTGTCCATTAGCTCTGCAGCCATAGATCTATATCTGCAGTAAATAAATCTCGTTAAATAATGAGGTATGTTTAATTTCAAAGAAACACAGTTTGAAGAGGGTGTGCATTCGAAATTGAAGCATATTTTCCATTCTTTGGGACCTTCTTCTGCCACATAGTGATCACATTGCAGTTTGTAACTTCAGATGCCAGCCTGGGTACTGTGAGCACCATAGAGCTATGAGCAAGGGCCTAATGACCAACTCTGTAAAACATTTTCATAAGAATATTTTCCCTGACCTTTTCAATAACACAATTCTAAGACAAATATCACCATATTCATTGTCATACCAATGTGACCTTTGAATAACAAAGTGTCTGCTTATGTTTTGATAGTGCACTTGGTGGGATAAGAAGTTGGCCTCTTGTTCCCAGAGTTTCTGGCTGCCTGTGTATGATGTATGTTGAAAAATCACAAACGTTCTCACAAATGGACCTATGGTGCAGACATTTCTGACAGTATTAAATATGTAAACATAAAAATGCAATCTGAGTCTGAAGGACATGTGTGTTGGTATGACTGACTTCTTCCCTATTATTCTGTGCTTGGACTGCTGGTAGCTCTGGAATCATGATGATATATGCTAAGAATCACAACATTACATTTTCAGAGAGAAGCGGGACCTTACAAACAATGTTATAACATTATATGGCCATCATACATTATCTTGCTCTGATTTTTATTACAGAATTTTTTACAAACTCAGGTTCTGAAGTCTGTGAGAATCAAACGACCAACAGTGCACTGACTGACCAATCCTAGAGTACAGAACTAATACATAACTGGACCAAAATATCTGGTGTTCCACTGACAGGCATTTGTTACAGCAGTACTAGCAATGCAGATTGTGTAATCATAATTTTCAATGCAAGTCATGTTTCTGATTATTGGTAAATGATGTAAAGAAATGTACATGTTCAGTTAATTTGTTTTTAAATAACCATTTCAATAATAATTCCTTTTCTGGTGATATACATTAACATGTCATTTTGACACTTTTCCTCCCATAATACACAAAAAATTACAGATCTATTGCTAATAATAAGGAAAAAGGGAAGATAAAATTGAAATGTTTATCGAAGTGTACTGTTTCTGGTTAAAAGACTCTAACACTATTGCCCACTCTTACCCTACGTGAATATGAACACTATTATTTCTAGAAAACAAGAATTGTCAGCAGTAGCACTACTACTACTACTACTAATAATAATAATACCACAATGTCTTGAGTTCTCTATGACTGAAATACACTGGACTCCATCTTTAAGCAGTCCACAGCTTCACACTCAACTTTTGTAAGGTCAATTTTAATATAATGCTTCCACTTATGCATGTGACTCCCCAGTGGTCTTAGCTACAATGTCTTCCAAATAAGTATTTTGCATGCTACATGTCCATTTTATACTTATTGCTTAAATAATTCTTTTCACATGAAAAATTATCATTGTGACCATTGATTTATTTTTCTGCGGGTATGCATCAGTACACAGCGCTGACACCATTTTCATTGTAGTGCAAAATAAGAAAGTAATAATCCAATACCAGTACACAAGCAAGAAATCTGTATCATTCAAATCACTGCATGAGAACCAGCTAACTGGACTAATGTGTTCCTTACAAACACAGGTCATAACAAGGAAATGATACTTTGAGATTCTGATTGTAGTCCTGTGGGTTTTGACTGTATGGGAGGACATGTATTACTTCCCTATTCAAGGACAAGTGATTGCAGTGACGATGCGGAGGAGATTCTGTGCCCCCCAAATTATTAGTTCACCTGGTTAGGTGCTGGCTTCTTATCTCACAGATGTGGGTTCAGTGCCAGCTGTTTTCATGTCACATTCATCATACAAAGAGTGACACTGTACCAGATTTCTGAGTTCCCTTTGTTTACCCCTGTTAATCACTATTCCACCACTTCTGTATACCCATCTATCACTGCCCCCTGATGTGTGTGATACCCTTGAATAGGCACCACATTATTACATCCTGAGTCTTTAAGTTTGGGGCTTCATTTCTGACCTTGTACGTGGCTGGTTAAGAGTAAAGAAGTTTCTTTCCTAGAAGTTGCAATACTGTCTACATGAAAATACTGACCAATTATTCTCTAAGAAAAAAGGAAAACGTCTGGCCAGTTACTTGCCTCATGTTATACCCACATTTTGTCCTCTGAGTTCACACCCAGACTTATCGAGCGAAGGCTTACATCTTTCGCAGCTGTAAAAATTCAGAAGTACAACTTATAATACAGGGACCAAGCGACTGAACCCATGAATCAACTGGTCCAATATCAAGCAGAATTTGTACACACATCTCCAGCAGTCCAAGTCACTTACCCTCTCCATGCAGAATGTTACTATGAGATCAAAGTACTGACATATGTATATATTTTTGTAAATATCCATTATTACGTCTACATATTTTCGTAATGTTGTAATGTCAAAGATGAATGGAAAGCAAGGTTTCTTTAAGTGTTCCAGTTGTCGTTGCAACTTTCAAAACTGGTTTCAGATTATAGCTACTAAATTCTGTGTGGCTGCACTAAACAAATAATGTTGGATAAAGTGTGATAGATGACCTCAATTTGCTAACTCTTCAGACTGTTTCATTGTCACCTGTTGATGGACCAAGCAATTTAAAAACGTGACAGCTGTGCAGTAGCTGAGGTATCATATGCAATAGGACTCAGGTTTCCTTATAACTGATGTTCATCTGTGTCAAAAGAAATGTGTTCCTGACATAAACAATGATCTTAATTCCCTGTGAAGTTAACATTCTTTGATAAGATAAAGCACAGAAAAAAATAGTTTGAATATGAAGGTTTTGAAAGGAAGCTACTCTGTAAATGTATGTAGAGTCTCTGTAGACATGTAAATATGATTCACTGTATAAACACAAAACTACTGCGATGAATATGATGGTATCTGATTCTGTATACCTTCCCTGCACAGCACATTCCTTGATCCTTCAACTCTTACATTTTCTTATTTGGAACATTGAAACACTCGCTGCCAGGCAAATTCATGACCCACACTCTTTGCTTGAAACATGTTATGGGTCTGAATACATAACTTAATGGTACAGGTTGGATTTCAGGAATACGACATGAAACCTTTAGAGCAAAGTACCAGCTGCTTTACATAAAAACTTAATTTCGCCTGTACAGTGTATTTATGTGTTCTATATGATTTTCAAAATAAAGCACAGGCATTTTCTTAAACAGCATTAATCAGTTGATGTTTTGTTATGTGGAAATGATGCATTTTCTGTGAAGTAGAAACTTGGTCTCTGTGTTTCTTGTGAGGTCTGAAATGCACTTGTAAATCTTATTCAGATGAGCTTCAGGTTGCAGAGGATTGCTATCTGCTCAGTTTTATGCTACAATACACAATTGCTATTATAAGCATTAGAATGATACAGAAAGACATTCCACGCCCATAGAGCAGGGAATCCACAACAGCATTATCAATAAGAAAAAACAGCCACCTCGTACCTAAACATCTTTAGGAAAATATACCACGCATTGATTTCACTGCAACACCTTACGTTAATTTTTTTAATGCTAGTGGGGTGGGAATAAGTCCCTTGTACTGCGGCCTCTTCTGGCCTATTGTACCAGCCCTAAATGATAGGTGAGGGTGATTGTGGAGCAATTGGTGGAATGAAGATTGGCAGGTGAAACCGAAGTACTCGGAGAAAACCTGCACCAGCGCCACTTTGTCCAACACAAATCCCACTTGACCAGACCCGGGATCGAACCCGGTGTGCCGCGGTGTAAAGCCAGCGACTAACCGCTTGAGCGGCCTACCTTACGTTACAACGCATGTGAAATTTGAAAGAGCCATATTCAAAATCCCCGCTCGATTTGGCGGGAAATGGCGGGAGATAAGACAACGTGGTAGGTAAAGGAATATACCGTGCAGCCAATTGCAAGTGCCACAGAGGTTCGGGCACATATGCATTCATTACTACCACCTATGTTTGTATTACCAAGAGCAACCGGATCGAACGGGATGGTTACGAACGGTCTGGACCAATCACAATAGATCTATCGTATCGCAATGTATTTATCTGAACCAATGACAGTGCCTCTTACCAACCTATCGAATCGTGTTTGAGGTCTTTGAGGTCTTTGTGGCGCGTTGAGGTGTATTTGCTTTAACTTATAGAAGAGCATAAAACGTTGAAGAGGTTAAAGACGTGTGGGAGACTATATGTGAAGTGACGACTGGAAATAAGTGGCACAGTCTACACTATACACTTGTAGGATTTATCGTCACACAAAAATGACCACCTTGCCTGACCACATTCCACCTGAGGATATTTTAAATATTCTTGTTGCTAGTGATGTTCATTTGGGATATGCTGAGAAGGATGCGTGCAGAGGTATGGTATGTAATGAGATAGTAGTGGTTTACATGTTGTGCCGAGACCTTATTGATTAAAATTGTTTAAGATATTTTCATTGTTGTAAAGTAAAGCTGCAGTGATGGGAAGAACAGTTGTAAGCATAACCTTCATGAAACAGTGTTTTTCATGTATAAAGGTGAACGATATTAGCTTCATATCACGAATTAACGTTCTATACGCACCTATGAAGTGCAGATTAAAGCAACACCACTTCAGTCCAGAGGAGTCCAGTTCAAATTTCGTCTGTTTGCCTAGCCGTGTAGGGTCTGGTAAATGGGTGTGTATGTTTCAAGGACATTCCTTATGGCATTCACTGATAAGATGATAGCAAATAAAGAATTGAGAAAGATATGGAAAGAAATAGTCACGGCCTGATTTAAGGTGCTCTGGCAGCATTTGCTTGGAGGGACTGAGGCAAACCACAAGAAAAAAATATGACAATCATTGCTCCAGCCAAGATTCAAACTCAACAGCCGCCGAATACAAAGCAGAAGCAATGAACAAGACTGCTCAGTCAGTTGATCTGTATGAATGGTGACAGCATGGGCGGGGGGGGGCAGATGGTATGTTGATTTAGGTTTCTACCATATGATATCACAGTCTCTATCAATATCTGATGATGACACAACCTGAAGAATGTATCCGACAGAGAATAACTGTATGTTAGTTTGGAAAGTGATCATGTATGTGGTTGAATTGTTCTGTGTAAATGCCCTGTTCCCACATTTCACCCATTGCTGTTCATGGTATGATCCATAAATCAGTAAGTTCCTTATCATCTCTGCACTGAACCTCAAAACTTTTCACTGATGATGAATAATAGCCAGCTGTTCTTACTGAATATACCTTGTCATCTGTAGCCCTCCAATAAAGAGAAGGTGATGCAGTTCACTTAAACCGACCTGTAAGTGTCGTGTAATTGTGGCCACTAATCTGTAAACTTGGTCTTGGGTCTGTGACTGCATGTGGGAAGGTCAGAGAGGACGGAAAGGGGTTTTCTACTACCCAACCTCCAAGTCGATGGTTAGAGTGAACACTGATAAAGGTAGCTGCATGCTGTTCCTTGGGCAGGTGCAGTGTTTTTTTAGGTAAAGCCATCTTAGACTGATTTAATAGTAGGTGGAGGGTCAGGCCTGCAGGTAGTTGGTGGCAAACATACAGACTGAATGGTATTTGGGCAACTCTTAACATTGACTCATACATGTGGAAGCTCACTGTTTCCCCAGATGAACAGTAGAGTGGTCAAGGTCAATCTTTTGTAACCAGCACGTGCCTCACCTTCTCTTTGTTGGAGGTTAGTGTAATGGAGTTTGTAGCATCTGGATGTTTAATGCAAAATGGATTTCTTTGCAGGAGAAGACACATACAAAACGTTTGAAGAGGTTCTCCGCATTGCACAGGAGAGGAATGTGGATTTGATATTACTTGGTGGGGATTTGTTTCATGACAGCAAACCAACACAACAGTGCATCCATCGTTGCATATCTCTGATTCGTAAATACTGCATGGGTGACAGGTCAGAAGTGAAATGCCTCGTTTGAATGACCATCTTGATTTCTCACAGTTTTCTTATTGTACAGATGAGATGATAGATTTATAGTGGTCAGATTGTGGTCAGATTTCAGTACCAGGAAGCAGCAATGTGAAATGAATCTCTGGAAGGATTTTGTGACACCTTCCCTTGAAATGCTTTCAAATATGTTGAGAGGCTACCTCAGTCTATAAATCGGCAGCTGAAAGTGCTCGTTGTTTGCCCGGGATGAGGCTGCTTTCATTGTGAATATCACAGTATATAGCAGCTGAAACTAAACAAGGAATAATACTCAAACTATGAAAGTGAAATTCACTCACAACAAGAAACAAAAAAACTGTGGTTTTAGTCCACAAGCGAACTATACCGACAAAGCAACTGCCGCTTGTTGGTGAAGTTAGTGCCAACTTTAGTGGTTAGAGGGTGTCACGTGGTCGGCGCAATGAATCCCCGTGGCTGTTAATTTCGGTTTTCTAGACCGGAGCCTCTATTTCTTTGAAACAGCTCCTCAATAATCCTCACGAGGCTGAGTGGACCCTGTTCCAGGCCCACTACTTCTCAGAAAATCTGGTAGCGCCTGGAATCGAACCCGGACCTGTGGATCTGTGTCCAGGAACTCTGACCACTAGATCAAAGAGGTGGTCGAAATTCACTCATGCAATTAAAAAAGAAAGTTAGAATGAGGATTAAAATCACATCCAAAAATTCTACCATGGCACTTACATATTACTTTAACAGCCATGGCTACTGTATGTATTGGCATTAGTACAGAGCAAATTTAATAATGTCTTAGGCTGCTCCCTGTTAGGTCCATGGTAGGAAGCACGGAAGTTATATTTTTATAGGTTTACTCCTTTCACAAGCTTTCTGCCATGAAGACCCAGATGAATAATGGAAAATAATTTTGGAATGGATCTTAATGAAACAGCTTTTGGTAATATGACATGTGGGCTGGCTGGGAATGTAAACATTGTTAACTGGTTCTGGGATGAGTGTCAGTCAGTATCAGACATGAGGACTGTTTCTGTCGGTTGGTATGACATAAGGAAACGTTGAAAGCCATTCATTTGGATTTTGTTAATCATCCTAGTTCTTTATGTAAAAACTACAGTGTTTCAGAAATGGACTCTATTTCTATCTTCAGGTGGGAAGGACATGCAGCCAATTTCTATTCTGTTAGGCCTACAGATATATATATATATATATATATATATATGTGTGTGTGTGTGTGTTGTTGTCATTCCCGGTCCTGGCTCTTCCAAGTTTCTCAAAATAAAAAGAATCTCTTAATGTCCTGTCCACTTTAAGGCAAAAATAGAACCCATTTCCAGAATTATGTGATTTTGCATGATTGTATGTGATGTTGTATGCTAAACAAAGTCAGACAAATGACAAATTTAATGGAAATATTTGCCTCTGATGTTTGTCCATTAGGCCAGTGGCCATTCAGTTCCTGAGTGATCAAGAAAAGAATTTCAAACACTGCAGTCATCCATTTGTCAATTATGAGGACCCAAATTTGAATATTTCTATTCCTGTCTTCTCGATACATGGCAATCATGATGATCCAGTTGGTGAGCAATATTTCCTGCACACTGGAATTTCACATTTATGTGTAGATTTAGTCATCAGGGTTGTTTCAAGTCATTTGTTAGGCAAAGTGAACACACATTGCCATCAGCAACTGACTGGACCACCTGAGTGTGCAAGTTGAGTGTACTGCTCATTAGGTTGCCTATGGCAGAATGCAAAGAAATATGCGAAACACTGTGGCTGAGTTGGTAATTTTGCTTTGTATTTGGGACATTCAGGCTGACTGAATGCTTTTATGGTTATCTTCAGTTTTTCCAGGAAGCTTTTGGTATAGTACTTTGAAATAGATCATGACTGCTTCCTTCCATATCCTTCCTGTTTCATCCTCTCAGCTGACACTGCATGACAAAGCATGAAATTCAACTAAATATTTTAAAAGTTCAGTTCATACCTCACAGGAAACATCCATTACAATAGCTAACTAATGAGTGCTGTTTAGGGAGGTAATCACTGTTTATTGTGAGAATATACAAAATAATGCACACACTATGAGCAAAATGTAGCCTTCTTTTTAATGTTACGGAAGGTGGTGCACATAGTTACCATTGTTCTTTAGAGAGTTTGTAATACCCTTCATTCCACAACATTTTCGTATTAATTCGCTACATGACGTTCCTCTAGCTGGTCAAGAAATATGCTATTGTTATGTATAGTTGAAGTCCATCACCATCAACACAAAAGCCTGCCTTAGGATTTGATGTCATATATTGTCTTTTATATATTTTAACCACTAAGCTATTTTGTTTGCAGCTAATAGCCCTTATTGTGCTGAAGTACTTTTTCATACTGCCTCACATTTGACATTACACGTGGATCAAAGACAGTGAATTCAGTTGGTGGAGAATACAGCCAACCACGTGCGCCCTTTCAGTTCCTAAATGGCACATCTCCCCTCCAATAACAACACAAACCATGAACGCAAAGTGAATTATCTCATTCTCGTCTGAAAGTGGAGATAGAAGGCTCCAGTACTTATGCTTGTACTTGTTGGTACTATGTTAAGTGTTAGAGTTGCCATGCATCCATCACCAAGTGTGTGTCTATGTAGTACATTAGCTGGTACACTGTGTGCTTGTCATGTTAACATTTTTAGTTCAGATTATGGGTTAATAATGTAAGCTGCAGTATAATTACAATGACATGTACGAGTAAAAGTATTAAAATTTAATTTGTGCCCCTTTTCTGTTATTCGAGTCATTAGTGTATTGGTATTCTTACAGTTGTTCATTGCCCTTGTTCTTGTTGGTCACTGTTTTTGATTTTTTAAGCGTTTGTTGTTGGGTATGTTTCTATAGGGAACTGTGAGCACTGTGTTGTGTCACTAGCTTTGTGGTATGGTTCAGATAGGACAGATGGTTAATAAACCAGGAGCACATATGCTCTGAAGTGGAAGAATTTTAGAAAACTAATCTGATATATTATTAGAAGTAACACTAAAATACAGCATACAGTAACAAATACAAAGTATGACACAAATAATGCAAATAAAGCAAAATGTAACCAGATGGGCCTGCACTGTGCCAATCCCGTTCATATCCCACGTGACCCTTTGAAGACTGAATTTCATCAAAATAATATATAAAAGTTCAGTCCGTATTTCACAGGAAACAAGTTACATCTCCGCTACAGAGCCCAACTGATTAATGCTGTTTAGGAAAACAGCCACTGTTTATTGGGAGAATCATGTAGAACACACAGATACACTCTGTTGGTAGAATTCAGAGTTGTGGTATGTTAACAGCAGGTGGGTAAATATAGTAATCACTGTGCTTTAAAGGGTTTAAAAACTACAGTATGTCGTCGAGGGGTGCAGTGTAGGCTAACTGCCTACTGGAAGAATGGAGGAGTTATGCCGGGACTTTTTTGGAAATAGGAATGAGACAATAATTTGGGAAAGACCCTTCTTTGTCACATGCTTCATAAGCATTAACCCTGTCTTAATGCCAGTAGCAGTGAGAGGGATAGGAAAAACCACATGCAAAGGGATACATTCATAAACAGATGCAGGATGCTGTTCACATAAGTATGCTGCAAGGACAAAAGCATGGTGCAGTGTAGGCTTCTCTCTTTCCGACCCGATACACAGATGCACAAGGAACATACATGGGTGTTAGCTTGCACACTTCTGATGTTGCAGGTCCTGGAAGTGTCAGTTCTCTGGATCTACTTAGTGCTTCAGGGATGGTCAACTATTTTGGCAAATGGACAGATCTGACGCGAGTTGAGATCTCTCCACTGCTCATGCAAAAGGGCGTCACACGCCTTGCACTGTATGGACTCAGCCACTTGAAGGATGAGCGACTTGCCAGGTTGTTTGGGGATCACCGTGTAAGTGCTGTTGTTCGTCTGCTCTTTTCTGTGGACCGGTAAATGCAACGTAAGATTTGGAATGCATAGCTCTCAGCGAGTTTTGTGTCACAATAGGAGATTTTAAATTTCCCAATATTGTGGAGCTGGTTGCAGGATTATAAATTGCAAGTAGTGATAACTGTATTGGATTAAGTTAACATTCAGTCAGCTGGACCATCTGAAAGCATGGTTATAGTAGTGAAAATCTGTCTATCTATATATCTATCCCTACCGATTGTGTCTCCACCTTATCGTGGTGGTGGGGTTTGAGTGCTGAGACCCTGAGAGCTATGCTGGTGGGAGTGTAGCTACTGGTAGGATCACCCATGCCGAACTGGTCCTCCATGTTGGGTGTTGGGTGTGAGGCTAATAAGCTCACACCATAAAAACTAAATTGTTTAGAAACCAGACAGTCAGCCTCAGGTGGATGGATGGATTGAATGGAAATCAACATCAGCGAAGGAGCTGAGATGGTTGGATGATGATCTCCATAAAATGAAGTGAAAGGATGTGGAGGAAAGATGGGAGGGAAATAGAAATAGAAAGAGGGAGGAAAATAGAGAAGAATGGAGGCAGATTGTTCAGGAGGCCAAAGCTCACCCTGAGCTCTAGCGCCAAGGGGAAGGAAGGAAGGAAAGAACGTATATATCTATGGCTCTTGAGTCCTTTTGTTGGACCTTGGGTGCTTTTTCAGTTTCTTTATCCTATACACATTTGTATTTTTTTTATCTCTCCTCCTTGAGCCTCATTTCCATTTTATACAGAACAATGGATGAAAAGCCTTCAGTGCCTTTCATCTACTTGCAGTCTTTCCTTTTCAGTTTCTTAGCAACTCTCTTCATCTTCTGTTGGTTCCACGTTGCAGGTGACAGTGCTTCGGCCACGGGAAAACCAGGAAGAATGGTGCAGTGTCTTTGTATTGCACCAGAATCGAGTAGACCGTGGACCCAAAAGCTACATTGCAGAAGAGATGTTGCCTGCTTTTTTGGATCTTGTGATTTGGGGTCACGAGCATGAATGCAAAATCACTCCTGATTGGAACGATCAGTATAAGTTTTATGTGTATCAACCAGGTAGGTACATAGCATTCCTGGGAACAAATTGTCTTGGAGGTGATAAGTGTGGATTGGGAAGGATGGGACTACCTGTTGTTATAGTGTACGAATGAAAATGAACCAGAAACAGCTCCAGGGACTGAGCTTCTTCTTCCTTTTGACATTCCTACTTGTGTATGGATTGTCTGGCAACCTAGCCTCCATCTTTGTCTTCTGGAAACTCTTTCTACCCCTCTTTTTCCTATGTTCCTATCTGACACCTTTCCTGACTTGTTTGTCTTTATCTTGGAGCATTTAAAACAACATTAATGTTTTCATCTCAGTATAAGAAATAACACAGGACTGGAGAAAAATTACATGTTGATAGAACTGTATAGTTTCTAATTTTCCAAGTTTTATTATCAATGGGGATGCAGTGAGTAGAACATAGAACCTGCATGTGTAAACAAGAAATAAACTTAGAATTTTAATTGGAAAAAGAAAAGGAGAAGTAGATGGGTTGATAATTTGAGGACTTGAACACAGGGTGTCTCAAATACGATTCAAAAGTGCTACCCTCTCAACCATGTTGTCAGCATGTAGACAAGTGAATGACTTCGTTGTTTCCAGGCAGCACTGTTGCCACATCACTGTGTGATGGAGAGGCTGCTGACAAACATGTGGCCATCCTGAGCATATACAAGAGACACTTCAGGATCACCCCTGTTCGGTTGAAAACTGTTCGCCCATTTGTGTTGGACACTATTGTGTTGGCAGACTGTAGAATAGACTTTTCTACGGAGAAACCATCAGACGAGGTGAGCTGGTGTTCTTGCTCAGCAGTAACGTTGCACAGCTGGCTAATCAAATGCATCCCAAACAGTGTTTTGGTTAAAGACTTGTGAATGTAATTTTATGCTGTAAATAGCCAGTCTAATGCTGCAAATGAGTTTGGGACACTTAACATTTAACCCTTTAAACAACAGTGATAAATGTATGTGCCACTGGCTTTAACATGACAGAAGCTTTTGCATTGTACTCAATATATAATTTTGTGCTTCTCAAAATTTTATGCACTTTTCTTTGATCATATAGCCAAAAGCCAGGAACCAGGATAGTGCAGCCAGTATAGCGATGGGCTGGACAGGTGAGGGGTTGGGGTCCGAGTCCCAATAGGGACAAGATCTTTCTGCTCTCCATGTTGTTGAGACCAGCTCTGGGGCCCACCCAGCCTCCTATCCAATGGGTACTGGTGGCTTTTTCCCCAGGGGTAAAGCAGCTAAGCAAACTACACACCTCAAACTAGTGACAAGGTCAAGAATATGCGGATCTATACATCCAGTCCTAGTGTGAAATTAGTTAAGCACAAGGGAAAGTTCACCTTACCTAACCAAAGACAATAAGAGCTACTTTACATTTTGAAATGATTTTTACATTTACTTGAATTTGCATTATTCCTGAATTTGTGCTTCATATTTTGAGTTTTGACAACAGACATTTACTGGGATTTTGCAATCACAGTGTTCAGTTTAGAAAATTCAAAGAAATGCTGGCTCCATTTCAGTCATGTTCGAGGTCTGTCTTGATGAAACAGGCTTATCTGTGCATATGGAAGTTTCTAAACCTCACATGAAAGAGAGAGATGAGCTGGGTCCTCAAGAAAAAGGAACAAGTGACTCTCTTTGACTTGTTAAAGAAATAATGTTGCATGTAGGTTATATTTGCATTTACAGTGTTATTGTGTTCAACATGTCACAATATTTAAATGTCTTATCAAAGTTACATTATTTTGTCTTGTATTCCATCGTTTTCATTTCCTCGATTTTACAACTTTGTTGATGTAGTGTTTATTTTAGTTTGTTCTGTCAAAAGTATAAAATTGAGATTTCACTATAGTCATGTGTTTTGTGTGATCTTCACAGTGAAAGTTAATTGTTTCCCTGAACAGCAGTCATCAGATTAACCTGTTGGTCTTTGTAGTAGAGATGTATGTTTTCTATGAGGCATTAACTGCATTTATATGTAGGGGGAACATATTGGGATATGGTAGGATAATGTTTAGAGTAGTGGGTTTTCAGGAGGTGAAATGGACTGAACTGGTTCAGTATCATGTACAGTGTGAACTTTGGGTATTAGTTATGTTACGGTATTTTGTAGGAAGATGATATGTGTAAGAGGGATGAAGTAGCATGAGGGTGGAGAAAACTGCATGATGAGAAGGTTCGTAATTTGTAGTTGCCAACAGATGTTATCAAATTGAGAATCAGATGGGTGGGACATATAGAATGCATAGAAGAGATGTGAAAGAAAAGTAAAATTGTCTGTGGTCTTAACTGAGCAACACACCATGAAGGCATATAGCAGAGTGTAGGCATAGTTGCATGCATACTTAACTTGGACACTAAATGGAGGTGAGTGGTCACTTTACCCTTTGAGGTTAGGCTGTGTTGGCCTCACTCACCACAGTAGAGGGTCAGAAGGAAAAGTGCAATGGATGAATTCTTCTGGCTTGTGATAGGTCCCAGTAATAGGCTTTTGTGAGCATTTTACTGAACTTTTGAGCTCCATAAAAACAGTAACACTTGTATTCAGACTGTCTCAGGTTCACATCTCAGCCCAGAAGTCGGCTGCCCCAATTGAGATTATGGTTTTCTTTAGTCCCTCTTGGCAAATGTCAGGATGAGAACCTCAAATTAGGCCTCAAGCAATTTTTCCCATGTCCTTTCCCGTTCATAAAACATGGTCATGCCAAGATTCGATGGTGTATAGTCTGAGGCACAGATAGTATGGTAAGTACAGGAGTTAGATCAATTTCAGGCTCTGAACTTGTAAATATGTCCTTTGTTTCTTGGTTGCAGGTTCAGAAGTATGTCACTGAGCATATAGAAACCTTGATTGACCGTGCAACTTATATCTCAGGTACACTGAACTTGTCAGGGCGCTTTACTGTGTTCTGCAGTTTGTTTACCCCTAGCTAATATCAGTAGATTAATTAAATCTCCAGCTGCATGAGGATAAAGTCAGTATTTAACTGTATGGATACCAGTTTCTGCCTCCATCACAGGAGCTGGTGTGACAAATGTCAATTTGACATGATACTTTATGTCACAGAGTATGCTCTCAGGTTCCTTGTGTGCCACTGAGGGAACTGTAGACAGAGTGAGATACTCCATGGCATCCTTCCTGAGCATGTGGCGTTTTAGGGACAATGGGCATGGGCAGTCGGTCATTGTCATTATCATCGCTTGTCATTGGCCCTTGCTTATGATATATTCTGATGGGCGAACAACAAACAATGTGGATTGTGACAACTAATCTTTTATTTTCTGAATGATGTGCACTGGGTTTGGGGATACCACTAACAGTGCACTGGGTTTGGGGATACCAGTAACAGTGCACTGGGTTTGGGGATACCACTAACTTGGCCAGCTGAGAGCAGATTGTGCTGGAGAATGTCCGATGTGGCCGATCAGCTGTGACAGCAAATCATATGCTAATAGTGTGATTAACCAAGAAAACTGNGGTTTGGGGATACCACTAACTTGGCCAGCTGAGAGCAGATTGTGCTAAAGAATGTCCGATGTGGCTGCTCAGCTGAGAAGACTGAATTGCATATAATCATATGCTAATAGTGTGATTAACCAAGAAAACTTCATACATGTGGCATGTATGAAGAAAATGGAAAATGCTTGGATATTTTTAGTGTGAAAATATCAAAGGAAGAGACCTGGTCATAGATGGAAAGGTATTATTAAAATAGTTTGCAATGAAATTGTGAGGATCTCATTTGGCCACATGTGTCCTCTTCTTTCCTTCCCCCTCCCTTTGATTGGTCACTCCTATTCTCTGTAACCCATTTGTTTCGCCTCATTTATTTAGGAGGGTCATTCGGAAAGTAGAGAGTGTTTGGTGATTAAAAAAAAGAAATGAATAAAATGAAAGACATTTATTTTACATTACTACAGACCTTAAATCGTTTTTCTACATGATCCCCATGAAGATTCAGGCACTTGTCATACTGTGTAATGAGTTGCTATATGCTTGCATTGTAGAAATCTGCCGCCAGTCTACTGAACCAATCTTTGACCATCCAAGAAGAAGGCTGCACCATAGCTCAAGCAGTTAGTCACTGGCTTCCCACCACGGCGGCCAGGGTTCGACCCCAGGTCTGGTCGAGTGGGATTTGTGGTGGACAAAGTGGCACTGGGGCATGTTTTCTCCGAGTACTTCTATTTCCCCTGCCAATCTTCATTCTACCATTTTCTCTGTCATAATCACCCAGGGCAGGCTACAATAGGCCAATCAATGGCCGCCGTGCTGAGTGGACCCAGTTGGACTCCACCCCCCCACTAAGCAAATTTAAAGAAAAAAAATTAACCATCCAAGAAGACCACAGTATAAATCTTAATTGCCATGGAAACCTTAAATCTTGTATTGCACAGGATCTTTCATTTGGCTGTGCATAGTTCAGGCTGTTAGCACCAGCCTTAGGTTTCAGTACTGAGTGCCTTTGTGTGATGTCGGTCATGGCTGAAGTGGCAGTGGATTTTTAACTTTTTAACAAAAGTAGTCCTGTGGACACAACTTTGTATGGAAGTGCGAAGTCCTGTGCCTGTTAATACAAGTGATATCGATTATTGTTACTGTAAGGTGATGAGTCGCAGATGGTTTTGCCGCTAATTCGTCTCCGAGTCCAGTATTCTGAAGAGAAGCATTTGTTTAATGCAGTCCGCTTTGGCCTGCATTATACTGGAAGGGTTGCCAACCCATCTGACATGGTGGTCTTTCATAAGCTGCGAAGTGTGAAGGAGAAGACAGAAAACAGATTCGACAAGGACGCTCTGGAGAACCTTGTTAATGTGGATGGAGTGAGTATTGTTTAGTAGACACTGTATCAGCTATAGAAATTATATAGCACTGGTAGAAGAATGATTGTCATTGGTGAGTTGGGTGGAACAACCTGTGTTTGCATTTATCTGGAGGGACTGAGGTAAAGCACAGAATAACTGGCAGCTTTGAGATATGAAGCCAGTGGCCTCAACAGTATCAGACCTACAAGAACTTACACAGCAAAGTAAAAAAATCTTCCATGTTCATACTTGTAGTTCAAATAAATCATGAGTAGTTTTTTTGCATAATCATTGCATATGCATACTGGTTACAACATATACCACCTGCTTTAACAATAATAAAAAATGCATTTTACTCACATGGTGTATTCTCACAGTAAATGGATTATTTTCCTGGACAGCATTAACCATTTGATGTTTGTAATGGAGATGTAGTGTGTTTTCTTTGATGTAGGGATCAAATTTTTATAAATGACAGTATTTAGATGAATTTTGAGCTTTGGGGTGTTAAACTGAAAATTCTATGTCTGGAAATATGAAGGTAGTCTCCCTGTGTTTTACATTACAGCAGCTAGGATTGACAGGGAGCAAAGTGCAGGCAGTCGTGGAGCGCTACTTTGCAGAGGTCACCCCTGACAAACACCTCAAGATCCTGTCTGTTAAAGGGCTGGCGGAGGCAGCATCTAGATTTGTCGACAAGGACGACAAAGATGCAATATTTTGTTTAGTCGAGTAAGATTATTATAAACATTGTCCTTGTGATAGTGTCGCGTGTGCCATAGAGCAAGAGAAAGATATTCTGGGAAGAAAATAAGGTTAGGTTATGGTAGATTAGGAACCTGCTTCTCTTTAAGAAATCAGTCCTTGTAGTGAAGCCAGTAGAAGCTTTTCTGCTAATATGGTAAACATTTTGGCTACCACAGGATTGCAAGAGAATGTCAAAGCCTTGTGTAATTCCTGTGTTGATAATTTAAGTAAACGAGAAACCAGGTTTTGGACACATCTGTAAGCATCATGAGTGTAATGTGTATACGCATGTGTACACGAGGGGTGGAGGCAGTTGTTGCTCCCAAAATGGAACTGAAAGGCTGTTTAGCCTGGCAGTGGACACAATTACAGTGAAACTCCCATTTAAACTTTCTCTGAGGGGCAATGGATTTGAACATGAAACTATCAAAAATCTTAAGTGAAGGAAATTAACACTTGAGGGGTTTTTTATTTGATTTAATTTTATGTATTTCACAACACTGTCCGTGCATTAGAGTATATAGTGTCAAATGGTCCGATAGATCAATAATAAATTGGAGGGATTTAGAAGGAAGTGCTTATAGTTTAATCAAGGTACAATCCCATCATTTGCCTAGAGGTACTGAGGTAAAAGCATGAAAACCCTCAGTCAGAATAGCCAATGTCTTGGCTGATATTCAAGTCGAGCATTTCCTGAATGCAAATCCAGATGATAACCAGTCAGTACACTGAGATTATTGATCTGGGACCACTGAAATAGAATGTTATACAAGTGAGGATTTTAATGTGGGCTCCACTATAATGCATTCATGGTGACAACGTGAGGAGAGCACTCACCTTGCTGTTACTGTGTTTCGCTATACTGAGTCCGCAGAAGGAGCCCTCTGCTGTCTGTTTCCCATGGCGTTTCAGCTCGCATAATAACCTCATGGTAACTCCCACTAGCAAAAGCACTTTCAACTGGTTAACATAGACCATCGGGGTGCTGGGGTGCTGAACAGTAGGCAGAGAGTGAGTATCCTCCCTCACCATCCATAGTACTTCTTCCTCAGGCCGTACTCAATGGTTGAAAATAGTTTGAACATCTACTTAGAAAAATGTTTTGGTTACAAGAAGATGGGAGTAGCATTTTGCGGTGCCTAGCTATGGCTCCTGCCTTCACTCAGTGCACAGGATTCATTTATTTGCTAACTGCCCTAAACACGTGTGGGCCAGGCATGAGAATGGCAAAAAAATATTAAATTATAAGAGATGTGTTTATGACTTACCAGTGTTGTTGAGTTTGTCATTTCCTCTGCCAATCTGACCAGTTGAGATTGCCAAAACACCAAAATCAACTCCTGAACACCATGTGAGAAATCAGTTGTCACTGGTGACCACCAACCATATTTCTCGACTCCTGACCTTTGTAGTCCTCCAGACTACGGATGAGGTACAGTGCTGAGCAGAATGTTAGAGAATGTTAACCTTTTTGTTCTGAGTATCAGAATTTTCTGTTTCCCACGTTTTTAAATAATGTAGTAGTTTCTTATACAGTGGAACCTGCATTTAATGTTCAATTTCAATGATCCCATGCCAATAATATCAGTATTAAACTTCTTACAGTTAAGATTTTCCTCAGTTTAATATTAAAGTCAACTGTCCCAAAAAGACTGAGGTTTTTACTCTAGTACCTAAATGTTTGTGAACACTTGGTGGCAGACAGAGCAAGTGGTACATCAGCTGCTCAGTACTTATCTGTTGCTTTGCTTTGTTTTCAGCCACCAGATAAAGAAAACAGTGGACCGCCTGCTGTCAATGAACGTGACAGAAGAGGATATCGATGATGCCATTGAAAACTTTCGGCAGGAACGGCTCCTAAAGGCTGAAGAAGAAGCCAAAGACGTGAGCACATAAACATTTATCACCCTGCAGGTGCAATTAAAGCTTCTTTCTGGCCACCTCAGGATATTCTTGTTTTTGCAGAGAACCTGTTCTCTTATCAGTATCAATGAGAAGATAATGCCCGCTATTCTGTCATGAATTTTGACAGTCAGAGTTGGTAGTAGTTGGAGCAGAAGATGTCACCTGTAAGTGGCAGTGGATGATGCAGTGTTCACCTTTGCCAGTAGAACAGATTTTCACAATAGAGACACATTTTTAAGAGCTTATTCTTTCCATAACATGGGAGGCATGCTGTGCTCATCTTCAAACTGTATGCACAATCTATTCTCTGTACTATGACTGGAAACATTTCTGTTAATGCTTTTTTCTAAGGAAGGCATAGGCTAGGAAGGTCAAATAGCCATAACTGGAAGCAGTAGTCATAGAAAGTTTTATGTAAATGTAGCCTGTTATAGGCCCATTAGCCTCCCTCACCCCCTTCGTAGACCTCTTGAAGAACCAGCTACTCACAATACTGAATAGTAGTTGTATGTTCTTACAGCATATGACAGTGTTTGCATCAAGGGGTTTGGTATAGCAGTAATGCTATATGTAGACTTTTAATGAGGAGCTTCTTGGTTCCAGTTTTGGACAGGGCACTGGCTATTCTGACTGAGGTTTTCCTGAGTTCCTCCAGGCAGTGTTGGGACAGCACCTCAATTAAACCATGATGGCTTCATCAGGCATCCTCTCATTTGACACATATGAAGTATAAATCACACAAAAAAAGGATTATGACTGTGAACTGGTTAAGGATAAGATGAAATGGTGAGCTTTCATAGTTTACCTCAGAAGCAACAATTCTCCATATGTGTACCATTGTTGATTTAGGCACGAGCCATTCTGGATCATCCTTCTCGACAGACCTTCGGGAAAAAGACACAACCAAAGAGCAGTTTCATCGATTCTGACTCAGATAGTGATGTTGTGATGGATCAAGGCCACACTGTTGCCAGTGCCAGCCACAGTGAAAGAGGTAGGGGACGAGGAACAGCAGTCAGATCTCGCAGAGGCAGGGGATCTCGGGCCAGAGGCACCACATCCTCTCGGGGACGGGTGAGTAGACATCTAAAAATGTTCTCAGGTCTGATATCCCTGTGGGTGTAAGAAAATTATTATTGATAAGACAAAGAATTTCTTCTGGAAAGATTATGTCCACTTGCCTTGGGATAAAAGGTAAAGTTACCCCTGTGCTTAACTAATTAAGCACTATGCCATAAAGATGTATGGGGGAGTATAAACCCACTTTTTATTGACCTTGGCACTAGTTGGAGTTGGAGTAGCAGTCAGCTTCACGCCCCATCCACTTTATCCCAGGGGAAAGAGCCCCTGGTACCCATTGGATAGGAGGCTCGGTGGGCTCCAGAGCTGGTCTGGACAATGTGGAGAATTGAAAATTCTTGCTCCCACAGGGATTCAAACTCCAACCCCTTGGTTGCCCAGTCTATAGCCAGTCACTATGCTGACTGCACTATCCTGGCTCTGTTACTTGTCTTGGGATAGTTATCCTAAATTGATAAATTTTATGTTTTGAGGTTTCAGGTTCATATAGCAGTAAAAATTAAGGTCATGATTTTCTGAGATGTGATTCTGTGTGGTTTGGTAGATGGGTATAAATACTTACTCCATGTTCACAATAGAAGAGTTCTTGGAGCCGAACCTTTTCTGTTCTGTTACCAGTGAGGTACTTGTAATGTGTTCTAATGTTTGATAGTGCCAAATCACTGTGCACCGTTTCCACAGGACCAAGGTGAGGCTGTGGTCCAGACCAGCATCAGGGATGCATTCAGCCAAAGGCAGGATAGACGTTCCTCTCATGCAACTTCCTCTGGGAACAGATCGGTGATTTTTGTTGATGATTCTGATGACTAAGGTATAGTGTGATTGATCAGAGTTGTGATGATCCATTGCAGCATTTCATATCCACATGTCCACATTCGTGTCAGTATCACCGAGTAACCCATAAATAAATAATGTTACTGCCAGTCCTGGTGCTTCAGGATAAACTTGAATTGGGGAATGTGATGGGAATATAATTTGCATAGTTGTGTGCACAGCACAGTACAAGGTCAGCCTTTAAGCATCATGCAGATTGTGTCATGATAGGCACAGGAGAACCTGCCCCACTCATTGGCTTGGTCAGATCACTTGCAAGGATAAGGTCTGAACAGAGCAACACACAGTGGAGAGGAATGAGGTGTAGAATTTTGAAGTTGCTGAGGATTAAGACTGTGGTCATCTGGATTGTAATACTGGGTACTTCTGTGGGAGAATGCTGATGTTTCAGAGGAACCAGCTGTTTCCATCTCTATGGTTAAAGTGTTTAGGTTGAGGAATAGGCTTGATTATGTAGGCATGTTACAAAAAAGGTGTGCCTGCCATCGACTGGGGCCCTGAAAAGGGCTGTTATTTACCCAGTTTTCAGTACAGATTTCTCTCCTATGAGAAGGATTCTGCTTAGGAACTAATTGATTAAAATGACTGTTCCAATGTAAGTTGTTATCAACTTGCTAACCAAGAAGTTTGTGTTTATTGAGTTTTTATATTTATCATTACACCCAATTTCTAACAGATACTATGGTGAATTGTCTATTATAAATGTTGTTATACTTTTTTTACTTAGATTCAGACCCAGTTTGTTGGCAGTAAACCATTTAGTCATTAGAAGGAGGATGCATTTATGGTCTGAGGGAGGTCATTTATATAAAGGAAAATGTGTCCCTGTGCTTAACTAATTGGGCACTATGCCATGAAGACATATGGGAGAGTGGATGTGTAGATACACGTATTCTTGACCTGGGCACTAGTTGCAGGTGTGTTGTCACCTTCACGCCCTGGCTGCTTCAACCCCAGGGAAAGAGGCCATGATACCCAACATCAGTCCGGATAACATGGAAAAGAAAATAATCTTGTCCCTATAGGGACCATCCAGCCAGTTGCTATACCAACTGTGCTTACAGATTATGAAAAGCAAAGGCCCTGCAGTGACCCTAAAGGAACTCCACAATGATGAAATAAAAGTACAAAATAGACAAACACATCCCAAGAACAAAATACAATATAATGGACTTGTTTACACATTATTTATTAAATTAGCACTGGAAGAATTTGCTTACAGACACATCACTCAATGATACACACTTCACAGCTTCCTAGTTACGGCAGGCCAACAGCGGGACTGTGAACTAAGAGAGCTTGTCCACATGCAAAGATTGGATATATAGTGACACAAATTGTCATGTATGTATGTTGTTATCATAAAGAAAGTTAACCCTTCAGTGTCATGCCATTTGAATCCCTAATTACTGCTGTGCTGTGGGAGGATTTATATTTCTGCTTTATAAGCTAAATTTGTTTCAGAAGGACATTACTTCCCCAATAATTAGATGATTTTAACGAAACTTTCAGAGAGTTTATAAATGAAAGAAATTTGACCTTGATAGTTGAGCTTGTATGGCGAGTCGTGAAGCAGCCCTCAACACAAAGACACTGTCTCCTCCTTCCTGATGTTCTCATGACACGCAACACACCTCTCTGTTGACCTTGTTGGAGGAATGCTCTCTGGGAAATTTCTTTCAAGTCCACTTCGATACCACACAAGTAGAGCCTGAATCATGTCAATTTTGAATTTCAAGAGACCAATTCATTTCCCTTGTGAATTTGCTCTGCAGATAACCATGGAGTTCAGAATTGTGGCACTGAGTAATCTTCTGCACATTTTGATGTACCAGTTCTTCGTCTTTTCTCTTTCTAGAAAGTAAGCATGAAGAAGCTGATCTTTCAGATCAGTTCTTATCATGTTTAAGTTGCAGTCCAGAATTTAAATAGCATTTCCTCTTTCTCCCTCCTGTTTTATTTTCACCTTTCTCATTCTGTCACCATTTCAGCACAGACAGTGGGGCCAGAATGCAGAGTTCCAACACAATCAGTTACCATAAATTTTGGTTTTATAGCCAGTGCTGGTGCACTGTAGAAGTTGACCATCCATGATGTGTGCCCTTTGCCAAGCAACGGTTCCATAAGAGACAACACAACAGCTGGTTTTTACTTTTCTTCTCTGATGTTGGTGTTAACCGAAATCTGTCGTCTTCCAGTATAAATAACGAAGGCCTACAGATTGTGTGAGCTGGATTCACAAAGCTCTTAAGATTCCATTCTGATGACTTCAATGGAATGTACTGTTTAAATGAAAGCCTCCCTTTCCATACTGTCAAAGACTTGTCTATGGCAATATTCTGGTCTAGTATTCACAAATTTTGAAAATTTCTGTTCAGATAGGACATCACGACATATTTTGGGAAGTTCTGGAAGGACCAGAAATATAAATTCGCTATTTCAATTACGCTATCCCGGTAATGATAATAAACATTAAATGATTAGAAATATGTGGAAACTGCCCATATTCAAGCAAGTGTGACAACGCAAGCTTCATTGCTTAGCAATTCAACTTTTCATTACTTATGTATATAATCCCAATGAAATCAATTATCAATCTTTTTAACCCTGTAATAAAAAAATTCATCAATACCATAAAATGAATGTAAATGGAGAAATTGTAATAGTGCTTTCTTGAATCGATTTTTGTTTCTGGATAACTGTTTTATTTTGCTTGGAAGACTATTATAAATTTTGATTCCAAAATACTGTGGACCTTTCTGAAATGCTGTTAGATTTGACAGATTTGTTAGATGTCCGACTCTAGGTTACATAAGAAGATACAGTTACAGTTCTACAATTCTGGTTCAGTGTGTTCATTATTGTTATTCTTCAATTCTTCGAACGCAAGTTCGTCTGTGTATACGGTGTAACTGTAATAAATACTATAGGACAGTTCAACTAGTGGTTGTCTCTTCATATGACATCCCACATAACTATGCATTTGGTAAGTTAATATATATTTATGAGTTTATTATAATAAACATGCAATTTAATTATTGCAGAATCTAGAGTTTGGACCTATAGCCCTTTAGACCTGTCAAGAGCGTCGAGAGAAACTAGGGCTAGAACGAGTTCTGACCTTAGTTAATCATAGCTATCTCTTTCGACACTACTCAACGTCGATCCGCCACACAGCGTAATAAAACTAGTTCAACTAGTGGTTGTCTCTTCGTATGACATCCCACAAATATAACAGAAGTATAAAAAATAGAATATAAGCTTATTAGAAAAAACATAACTATCGATATACAATAACAATAACCTCACTTTACTGTCTTTCAGGGTGGACAACTGAGAAAAATTTAAAAGGAGTCGAGATGTAATTGCGAAAAATTACACTAACTAGTTATTATAAATTGTTTTGCCAGATATTCTGATATCTTGTTGAAACGTATCGTACACTCCATTGCAATGTGTTTTCGATTAATACATTTGCACTACAGTCGTCTAGTTACGGTCGGTGGTAACCTCGGATCGCGCAAAATTATTTAATTGTCTGTGATAACAGTGATATTGTTGTGCGGTCAGTGAAAAATGCTCTCTGGTCACGATTTGGGTCGTCGGACCATGGATCAGAATCACGGGTATATCTATTTTGGGATTTCAGTTTTACACTTTGATTCCTAGCGTCAACGTGATTATTGTACTAATAATCGTAGTACTAATCATATGGTATCCGTGATTTAGCTCTAAGTTGTATAATCTTCACCACAACTTGTTGTCACGTTCAGTTCTGTGTTTCTTTTTAATCTTGGTGCTGTTGTTTGTCGAACATTTGAACTGTGTATTTTATTTTCTAATGGCAACAAATATTGACTGGGCAAACTCTGCCGAAGAGCAAGAAAAATTAATCACAAAGGTACTCTATGTCACTTCAATTATTCGTAGCGTAGTAGCGAGTATTAAAATATTTTTGTACTGTGTGTGAGGCTGCAAGGTTTATAATATGAATGGATGTATATCACATATGTATGTATATATATATGTATAAAATACATAAAGGGATGTGTAAAATAGAGTATCAATATACTCATCTTATTTCCTGAAAACTTGTTCTCTTCCCTACCTTTTAATTTTTACATGATAGGTAGACAATCTCGTTTTGTCCAAGAGTGACCCAATCCCTAATGGAAGTCCGAATACTGAAGGTGTGTCTGGAGATGGCCTGGAAAACAAAAGTACAGATGAAGCTCCAATTTCTCCGGCTGAAAGGTCGCTGCTACAGAAGATCATCCGCAGAGGTTTAGTAGAAAACAAGAATGATATTGAGGTCCAACGAAAGGATCCTTCATCGCCCTTGTTTTCTGTGAAGTCATTTGAAGCACTGAATCTGTAAGTTTATTCCTCTTCCTCTTATTATCTTCATTCCATCAAATTCTCCACAAATAAGAATATCTAACTAATTCTAAATTGTAATCAACTGTAAACAATTGTAACTATTGTAATTTTAATCTTACTCATATATTAAATTGTTAATATTCAGAATTAACTTGACTTGTCCTATATCATGTACAGTGATATACAGTGACGAAATCAATCAATCAATCTATTTGCTGTCAAAACATTTAGCAATAAAAATGCAATTGTTTACTATTAGACCTTTCAAAAGCATATAATTATATTGATCACAACATTTTTTATCAGTAAATTATACCAATATGGAGTTCATCATTATATATGTAAATGATATTCTGCATCAAACACAAGGTAAAACAATAATGCAGTCTGGTGATACATCAATACTGAATATAGGATGAGATATAAAGGAACTCCAGAAAACAACCTCTGAAAATACGTGCTAGTAGAGCAATATTTTGAAACATTTTATTTTGGAATCTGAGCAAAACACACTACATTCTCTTGCAGATGAAACAGTGCAGGGAAGTAAATTTAAAAATCCTAATGAAAAATAAAGAAATATTCAATGTAAAAAGTAGTAATTTTCTTGGGGTTATGATTGGCAGTAACCTAAGCTAGGAAGTACATATTAAAAATGCCTGTAGTTGAATTAGCCATAACCTATTTATAATTAATAGAATATATAAATATTTTGTAAGAAGAATGTTGTATTATGGTTTGGTTTATCCCCTTCTGGCATATGAAATCATTGGGGGGCAGATTGCAAAGGCACCCACTAGATTCATAATTACCCTTCAAAAAATGGCTGTAAGATTTAAAGTGGGGTTAAAGCTATGGGAAATATACAGAGAAGTTTTAGACAAGTAAAATATTAACAATATGCTATACATTCAAGAAACCATCTTATATGCAAAAGAAAAGGGTAACTGCACTGTAAATAAACAAATACATTGTCTTAAATATATGCATAATTTAGAACTTTAGAAGAGTAAAGCATCAGTAGCAGGTTCCATCTTTTATAGCAAATTGCCCAACAACCAGGTTAAAGAGGAATTGAAAACTTACGTATTAATAGATGCTATTATTCAGTTGAATATTACATCAATGAAGAATTTTATAATATTGGCTGCTGATGGGCAGATGTGTAGAATATTTCTAATTTAATATCATTATTTTTAATGTGTGTTTTTTTTTTGTAATAAGTTAATATTATCTTTATTTTTGATGCTTCTGTTATATTTGTAATAAGTTTAATATTAATTATCATTATTGTAATTTCTGTAATGCATAACATGGATGGACTTATCCTATATCAATGTATTTTGATCTCCAGGATGAATTTATTAAGAATTGAATAAAGGAATAATTTCTTCACCTGCATTAATTGAATGATTCTGAATTTTCTCCCTCCAGACACCCGCAGCTTTTGAAAGGTGTGTATGCAATGGGATTCAATGCACCTTCGAAGATACAAGAGACAGCACTGCCAACACTCTTGGCTGATCGGTAAGTTTCAGGCTCTTTGATGATAAATGTAAACTTAAGAGTTTACAAATTGAATCTTCGTGGCTTGTTTGATCACATTATTAATTAAGATCTGTACAGCACATATTTAGACCTGTTTTGTTATGTTTATTTCTGAACAGGAAGTTCCAAGGAATATAACATCCATAGTTAGTTTTTACTAAGTAATCGAAGATAGTAGCAGATGAAGGATGTAGTGAGACCAATGTAAATGTGTGTGACTAGTCATTGGTCAGACAGAGTGGTATAATTGACTTTCAGCAATTCGCACAAGAGCCAGACTGCTTGAGAGTCTTACAAGAATCTGGAATTCTCTTTCAGGCCACAGAACATGATAGCCCAGTCTCAGTCAGGCACAGGGAAAACGGCAGCATTTGTACTGGCCATGCTGAGCAGAGTTGACCCTAAGAAGGAGTACCCACAGGTGAGTTGCCATGAATACAGCATGTGCAGTGGTCATTACCACTGTTTAAAATTACAGGAAGTCTGTAGTAATTAAATTGTGGGCAGTTGTGAATATAACATAATTTGAAGTCTGTAAGATTCTCAATTTCCAGAGATGCAATTTTCTGTTCTGCCAACATTAAAACTTACCGATTCAAAATATTGATTCTATGACTCGTCATATTGCCAGGCTGGGAGGTGGGAGGGGGCATAACATGGCTAGCCACTTTAGTCCTACTGTGAAATCTCTGTATGCCAATGACTGAGATATTGGGCCCACACATCTTTCATCTCACATGGCATTTCCAGTTGATGTAGAGCTGTGTGTTATATGAAAGCTCTGTGAATGACAACTGCTTTCAGGTGCTCTGTCTGTCTCCAACATATGAACTGGCGATCCAAACTGGTGAGGTGGCTGCAAAGATGGCACAATTCTGTACAGAAATTAAAATACGTTTTGCAGTGCGAGGAGAAGAGAGTAAGTAATAGCCCATTTTGATGGGGGTGACACACATAGCAGTGCAGTTCCTCATTTTCTAACAATCCCACCATTCAGTGCTTTAAGGCCATATTGGGGTGAATATTTTGTAGTCGTTTTAAAGGAACGCTTTGAGAGGTTTGTCATACTTCAGGGGCCACATAGCAGCGGACAAGCATCACACAAATGCGACATGGGGAAGCGAGTAGCATATACATTTGTTCAGGGTCGAGCAGTAAAACTAACTGCAGAGGAGGGTCAAATGCTATTATTTTGTGATGGCATCTGATGAACTTGCAGATCATGAAATAAGAGAGTTTATTTGATCATTAGAGGATCAGCTGCTTAAAGACAGATTATAGTGTATGAATTTCCATTTCTATCTCTACAGCACACAGGGCCCAGTGGTGGATCCTTGGACTGGCCATGGTCATGTAACAGTTCTGTCCTGTGAGTGATTTCATCTTAGAAATGGATCCTGTCACCATTACCAGATAGGCGGAAGCTAAGATGGTCAAAAGATCATAACTAGAAAAGTTGATTCTGCTGTTTCAGTTCCTCGAGGGACAAAGTTGAAGGAGCATATCATCATAGGGACACCAGGCAAAGTGGTGGACTGGGGTGTGAAGTATCGGTTCTTTGATCTTGGGAAAATCAGTGTGTTCGTCCTTGATGAAGCAGATGTCATGATTGCTACTCAGGGACACCAGGACCAGAGCTTTCGTATCCACAAGTGAGTCGTAGTGCTTGTGGCAATGTTCTCATCTGCAGTTTCTCTACGAGACATGATCAGAGCACTAGAGGAGCAAATATTTTGGACTTAATTCTGTCCTAAGACATATATTTCATGTGTGTATTCCATTATAATGCTCTACTGGGTCAGTGGTAAAATAGGAAATTAATGGAGCTAGCTCAAGATTGTGTCCTGTTGTGGACTTTTTGAACCCAGATGCATACATGATGGCCACATTTCAAGCTAACCCTAATTTCTGTGTAACCAGGTTGCCAGGAGCAGCCTTATGATCTATCTGTGGTGCTTGTAAATTCACCTTAGGTCTCTAAAATCATGAAGCACTTTGTTACATCATTATTTCCTCAGTTTCACAGCCGCTTCACATCTCTTGGATCCAGATACTTGACTGTACAGTTTTTTTTAATGTGCAGCGTTTATGTTGTGTCTTAAATCTGTCTGTGTTGCACAACTACACGAAAGTTATTGCAGTATGTGAAAGCCTAATATATGGTAAAGTATGTGTAGACTTTTGTCTGTTGATATTCTTGTAACCCTTTGTTTAACCACCGCCATGCCCTATCATTACGATACAACCATTGCTAAAGAACAGTTTTCAAACAATGCATTGGGGTTTTCAGGTTGCTGTCACCGAACTGCCAAATGATGTTCTTCTCAGCAACGTACGAGCAGGATGTTATGGAATTTGCAGAGGGTATCGTGTCGAACCCCGTGGTCATCCGGCTCAAGCGAGAAGAGGAGAGTCTTCACAACATAAAGCAGTATTATGTGATGTGTCGCAATCTTGAAGACAAGTATACTGCTATTGCTAACATCTATGGTGTTGTTACCATCGGCCAGGCCATGATCTTCTGTCATGTGAGTTGTTTAGCTGCAGAAACAGTCATTGCATCCCCCGGGTAGTGCAGAATGAGCAACAGATCTGGCAAAGCTTCCCAAAAGAAAAAGAATTTGAGTGCTCTATTGGGAAGCAAGAAGCAAAATGGGTTGAATGATCCCAAATGCAGCCATTGGAAACCAGCCAACCAACATTAATGGTATTTAGCTCAGCTTGTGATTTTACTGCATGGTAGTGCAGTGTAGCAGTTTTGATATATTGAGACGCCTGAGGATGGCCATCTAAGGCCGAAACATGTTGTGTTAAAGTATAAGTAAAGAGAACGGAACAATTTGTTGCATTATTGACGGTCTGTGTTATACTTAGACGTTTTAGGCTATGGCCTCACAATCACAGGATGTGTGGGGCTGATTCGTGTCTTTCCAGGCACCGTTCACAAGTGGGGTCATCAGTTGTAAACATACTGTAGGGCTCAAAATGAAGTTAATGAGAAATGGTAATAAATAATTGAGTCTTGTTAATGAAGGAATGGCTTTTTGTGTTTTTCTTGTATGTAATGCGTGCCGAATGGGAATGTTAGACATATTTCATTTGTAAAAACTACAGAACAAATTTCTTTGAAGCTTAGTACTGAAAGCCTACGTCAGAAAATATCATGCAGTTTTAATTTTTCTTTGTATCTGTCTCCTTCTCTGAATAAAGTCTTAATGATACCGCACAGATTTTTAAAAAATTAGTGATTGCAAGAAAAAAATGGTATATTACAGACTCTGTAAATCTCTGCAAGTTTCATTTACAACTTCTCTGGTGCAGTTAATATTAATTAAAACGCAATAAACTTTGACTCCAAGTAGTATGTTATCTGTGGTGAAATTTCATTCATTTAATGAAGAAACGTACAGAATCTCAAAGAGCCCTCTAAAAATGTATAACGAATCAGTTGTCAAACTTTTTAGAGAACCACTGAATCCTTTGTGATTGATGGGTGATGTGTTACTGGACAACAGCAAGAGCACAAAGGTTTTTGAACACGGTTGGTTATTGGTGTGTTTCATATGCCTTCTTTAGACACGCAAGACAGCATCATGGCTAACAGAGAAGATGTCACATGATGGACATGCAGTGGCACTGCTGTCTGGTGACCTTACTGTAGAACAAAGAATAGCTGTGCTGGATCGCTTCCGAGATGGCAAAGAAAAAGTACTAATTACAACGAACGTTCTAGCCAGAGGTGAGTCGCACACTGTTGTGCATGTGGCAAAATGAAGTTTTGTGATATAGACTCGGTATTGCATCACTGTTTAGTCCTGAGCCGTCCTGTTTTATGTTTGGTATATCCTGGATTCAAATCCTTGTCTGCAGACTTGTTATTCTGACTGATTGTAGCCAGTGTCTATCTGGTTTTGTTTGCAGCAGAATTTTAGCATATAGCAGAATGAGGCAAGTCTCAAATATTATTATTTATTGTCTTACATCAAAAATGATAAAGCATAACTTTGATACACGGTGTATATTAGATTGTAATTCATTGTATAAATGCCTGGTGCTTTAACAGATATACTCACAATCAAATTTGGATTTTATATTGGATTTTTATGTTTAAAATAAATTAGCAGAAGTTTCAGGTTCTCCTGAATCCTATATCTGTACCATTAATTCATTCCCAGCATTCTCTTTTACCCTGAAGCTGGAGGCAGCAGTTTTCTCAAAATGTTCATAATGTTCTATCATACTGTGCTTTGTCACATCTCAAAAAGACCATAATCATCATAGTCACCAACATAAGGACCGCATATCTCATATAAAATTAGATTTCAGCTATGTATATTGGTGTGTGTGTGTGTGATGTATGAACCAGCCCCACAGTACTGATGTATTGGTTCTGTCTGCTAGGAATTGATGTGGAGCAGGTAACGATTGTGGTGAACTTCGACCTTCCTGTTGATCTCCGACGTAATGCCGACTGTGACACATATCTTCACAGGATTGGAAGAACTGGGAGATTTGGAAAGGCTGGCATTGCCATCAACCTTGTTGATGGCCCAGAAACAATGGCGTTGCTTAAACAGATTGAGGACCACTTTGGTAAGTGTAAATGTCACACCATGGGTTTTCTTCATAATGGGTGTCACATAATCAGATGTCAACCATGTTGAGTGAAGGATTTTGGGAATTTTGTATGGCATACAATTCAGAAGACAATCTCAGTGGCCGCATGGTCTAAGGCGTGAAGTGTCTGTCTGCTCCAACACTGGGATTGTTGGTTTGAATCCCACTTGAAGCATGGATGTTTCTGCGTTTGGTCTGTGTTTGTGCTATCCTGCGTTCAGGTAGTGGCCTTGAGACGGGCTCATTCCCCGTCCAAGTGGTCCTGCCGTCTTTGTAAAAGATCAAGAAATTGAAAAGGCGGCCAAGGTCGAATGAATGGCTGTAGAGTCATAGGTAAGCAGATAGGTAGGTTGAAATCTGAAAGGAACATGTTAGCTATCGGTCTGTAGTAATTTACAAGGTACCATGTAAAGGAAAGCACACAAACTGCATGATACTAATAAGGAGGTTAGTCTGAAAGTAAGTGTGTATGTGAGCCGTGTCCCTTGACCCTGTGGGTAAAGAACCCAGTTCTTCTACCCACTTAGACCTGTAACCACTGCTCAATATGGGTAAGGGACAGGCTCATAAGAAACGACTTGCTTGTAGCGTGATGCACTATGCCTCCCTAAGGTCGAGTAAGGGATCTCAGGGGAGGAAAACCACTGTCGGCACAATGGGCCAGGCTGGATGGATCCACTAGTCAGAAACAGGTATGGAACGTACAGCACAGGTATACATAAACACCACTGGCATTCTTAAACATATACATAAATATATATTAATAACATATGTATATAGATGGGCCCACCTGAAGGGCAGTAACCGGTCAGAACATATGATAAATGAATGATACAGAACTACGCTGTGCCTAGCCGCACAGAACTCAAGTCAGGCACGCCTCATGGCATCTCTCTACTTCTCCAGTACAAGCATGTACTTAGGCAAGCCTTGAGGGCACAAGGAAATATAAACAGCTTACATACATGCCTGAGGGGCGATCTGCTGTTTAGCACAACCTTACACAAAGCCAAATTATCCTACGCCACACGGCGTTCATAATCGAAAGAAAATAATTACTTCAGTAAGTCACTTACTTGTATTGCTGAATTTACAAACTCAAAGATTTACTTCACGACTTGATCGACCCTTGACCATGTCGTGAGGGCACTCTTCCCCCTTCAGTCACTGCTGCGGGCCAAAACCGAATTTCCAGCAAAATCAATTAAACTTTACGAAACGAAATTTAGACGCAGTGATGTTTCCTTTCTGAGGTCAACGGGAAAAGAGAACGANGGGGGGGGGGATACAAAGTCAGCTGACCTGACGTCAGCCAAGGACATTAGCCGGAAAGAATGGAAACGCTCGCATCCTGGCGCTTGGGGGGGGGGACTCCAAGGAACTTAACGAAGAAGAACCGTTGCACGGTTCATATGAACCCTTCCAGGCTGTCACTAGGGTTATACCTTGTATTGGGACCTCATGACTTTCTTCGAAGTCCTTTCCACTGCATGCAGTATAATCCTGCCATTTGATACTATGTGGTATTGGCTACTGCCAGTGTTTTTAAATAAACTGTAAATAAATGAGGAGTGAATGAAACCAAATCATGTTCATATCTCATCACAAAAATGTGAGCGGATAGCTAATAAACCCTTTGAATCCCTAGTTCACTCATTGGTCTCTAATGCCACCAAAGGCTGTTCACAGTCTCTCCATTATTTTAAAATGTCATTAAAATCACATTAAATTAGAACATGTTTCAGGTGTACAAGGCCATCTTCTTGCAATTATTCGCCAGTTGAAACTGCTGCACTGTACTAGTCCATATGACAATGCATCCAGTGCTCTTACACATTGTCGTTCGTACTGAAATGTGTTTGTTTTGGACTGAACACACTCTCTTCATCCTTCATTTTCATTTTGCGGCTCCGATGTTCTGCCCCCTTCACGTGTAGCTCTCTGTCCATTATTAATAATGTGTCCTACGTTTTTGAGACTGAGCAGGATTGTATAGCTGTAACACCCCTAGACTTTCTCTGTTTTTTACTGTAACTTGGAAACAAAATTTCCCTTTCAGTATGACACATAATGGTCTTTATTGGTGAGTATCTTGGTGTCATACACCACAACACTGTCAGAACTTTGAATCATTCACCACATGTTATTCAGGACAACTTTCATATTAAGGTGACAAATGTTAGAGGCACAGAAATGAGTGGGAAGAATGTGTAAAATGTAGCCTTTTATTAATTCCAGGTTTTTTACATTTTGATTGACAACGCCACAATTTCATTCACCAGTTACTCTCTGTTGAATACTTGTGTTGTGTCTACAGACTGGCTCTGTTTTTCCTACTAGTCAGTGGTACTAGGGGCATTTTTCAGCTGGAGGTAAAGCAGCCAGAACATGAATCTGCTCACCTTCATGCCGTGTTGAGAGTTAGACAGTATGGAGCTAGCTAGCTGTACGTGCTTTCACTGTCCTGTATGTGCTCAGGAATTGAAGCTGTGGTGTTATTTTGCAGGCAAGAAGATCAACCAGTTAGATGCTGAAGATGTGGATGAAATTGAGAAACTTGGACAAGAATGAAATTTGTTCTTTTGGCTGGACAAGATTATTACCAAAGTGAAAACAAATTTTAATAATTTTCCAGTTAATTTAAAGATTGACAGTATATGAACGAAATGCAGCAAGTAACGGACAAAATGTGAAAACGCAGAGAAGGAAATTTTCCTCCCTTTTGTCTGGTGACAAAAACAAACCTAGTTTCAAAAATGTTTTGTTTGATAAAAATAAAGAATGATGGACAGTGTCCAAAATAATAGGCATGTGTGCTTATATTTCAGATCGATATAGAAACAGAAAATTATTTATTATAGCTGCAGTGATATTAAGTGGCAGTGAAAGTGGGGGATCCTGTAAGAATAATATGTTCCACGTTAGTGTACTTAGGAATAAGTGTCTGCTCAGGCAGTTAGGTATTAGCTTTTACTGGAAGTCCAAGGTTCAGATCTTAGAGCATTTAGTGTGCAGTCTTTTATGCCGAAGTACACTGAACGTTTCTTTTTTAACAAGTTGTTTAGTTTTAACCTTTTTGTCATTTGCTGCACCCCTATACCATGATTCCCAACTGCCCAATAAGTCTGGTACATTTTCATCGGTTGGAGCAAGTGAGTGGATATGGAATGCAGAAGTTTGATTTCAGTCTAGAAGTACAGTATATCATGGTTTTATTTCATCCATTTGGTGTAGACTGTACGTATTGTATTTTGCAGCTGGACATGACCCCCTATTGCATAAAAGCTAATGGGAGACCCCTTGGAAGCATAAAATGGTGGTGTCAGATAGCTTTGTGGATACAGATTGAAAGTTGAAAACCTTGCACATTTTTTAGTTGAATTAAGCATATTCATGTGATTTCAGTGATATGAAAATTGACTTGGCAATGCAAGTATACTGTAATGGCTGAAACTCTAGTGTATGAAACGATGTGGGTTTTGTTTCCAATGACTTAATTTAAATGTGTGCTACTGAATTATGTGACGTATCATTTCCAGTGTTAATGTTATCAGTTCCTGTTGGACCTACTTGTGCAGAGTGTGTAAGGTGTAAGGTGATGAAGGTGGCTGGCAGAAGAAATGTTGAACAGGAAATATTTTGTGGCTCATTATGCATCTCTTTGAGGGTAGATTGTAAGCTGTCTTTACAGTGTTAATTTTATCAACTTAGATTTGTTGTTCAAATCTATTGCAGTGCGACAGCTGTGGGGTGTAATGCCATGTAGTTCAGAGACAGCCAAATTTTTGAGAGGAACATGTCAAATCCCTCTTTGTAGTAGAAGAATAAGCCAAGCAAGAAACCAGCAGAAGCAGGGTTATTGTGTGCATGTGCTGTTCAGGCTCTGTATATGCTACATGGTGTTGTAACAGAGATGACCATACTTTTACATTTTAATAATAACTTTATTGAGAACCATTTTTAAAATGTTTTTAAAAAATGTAAAAATATGTTTACGTTAAATAGATGGCAGATGCACAGAGAGTGCGACTAAATGTGGGCAAAATTTCATAGCTGTAAAAGTTGTGTTCCATGGAAAATATAATCAAAATATGATAAATTGTGTTTTGTTGGTCTGAGCCGAGATGTTATAACCGAGACATATTTAGAAGTTCAATCGGAAGGGAGGCGCCGTTCAGAGAGAGGACTTTAGCCCGAAAGCAGAGGAATAGCAACTGTTAGAAGCTGCTACTAGGAGACAGCTACTGAAGACTGTAACAGACTGCGAACACTAGTCTGTGTGCTCTAGTGAACTGTAAAGTGGTCAGTACATCCCATTCAGAACCCTATTAAGAGACACTGAAAAGCATGACCATATACTGTACTTTTTTAATAATTTCTTTAAAGAGAACCATTTTTTAAAACTTCTTTTTTGCAGAAAATGTAAAAATGTTTTACAGCAGGCCACTGTTAAAAGAAGATGGCAGATACAGAGAGTGTGCAACAATGTGGGCCAGATTTCATAGCTATAAAGGTTGTGCTTCCATGGAAAATGTCATCAAAATTTGATAAAATTAACATTTGTAAGACTGCATTTGCCGGTCATGGTAGCCAAGAGGTCTAAGACATGCATTGTCTTCGCTTGCTCGGAAACCGGGATTGTGGGTTCGAATCCCACCCAGTGCATGGATGTTTGTGTGCGTTTTTCTGTGTTTGTGTACAGGTAGAGGCCTTGCGATGAGCTGATCACCCGCCCAAGGAGTCCTACCGAATGTGTAAGATCTAGAAAAACCGGTGAACAGAGAAGTTCATGGAGGTAGGCCTAGGCTCACTGGGGCTGTAGTGCCAAGAAAAAAAAGAAGACTGCATTTATAGCCTGCACTTAGTAAGCACTGTATGTGAATTACATATAGAAAAGTGTCCTGAGTGTGTCAGCCAGACTGGATTATGGCAGGCCTGTCTCATCAGCTCAGTAAGTCAGCTGGAAAAGATGAAGGGTCAGCCAGTAATGTAATGAGGTTGGCAGCAGCTGTTGTCATGCCTGGCTGTGGTCCATGCATTACAGCTTAAAATTCAAGAACATGTTTTTGTTTTAAAGTGATGTGGTGTTCTGTAACTGCACTGGAATGGAACATTGATGTGTTTATATCCAGAATATGGCTGTTGATAAAATTTCATATGATAAGTATGGAGTCTGCAGCCTGAGAGTCCATGGATCTGGTATTTTGTGTTGCTATTGACATGTGGTGATGCATAATATTTTTGTACAGAATATTTATTTTATGCCATATCGAAAGTTTGCACACTGTCAATATTACATTGTAATTAATATTATTAAAAGAAGAAGGGTAAGCCATTCACAGAGGGTTTGTTTGTGATGTGCTTCTGTTCCCTTTCCTATTTGTTTGTGGAAACAGATNTTTTTTTTTTTTTTGTAAAAAATGTTTGCTCTATGATATACAGTATGTTCCTTCAGTTAGCAGTAATTCAGCTTATCAAGAAAGCTGTAAACGGTGGTTCCATTTTCATCACCACAAAACATAGTTTTTTATTGTCTTGAAGACAGTTCACAATCTCATAACTTATTTTTCTACCTTTAATACCTTTCTCACATCTTGTTTTTAAAATTACTTTTGGGACTCACATTTATGAATGCCCCATTGTGACCATTTTTCCTGATGCATCACCGAATGTAATGCAGGTTTGTATGGTATATCACCAGTTACATCCATGTTTTGTATCGGTTTGCACAAATATTTAGTGGGAACAAGAAAACCCATTACCTTCCAGATACTTACAATTTAATAAATTTATTTTAATTTTGAAGTTTGGAATTTGTTTCACATTGGGAAGTTTGTTATTCTAATTCATCAGGAAATCATTACATTGGAATGAACTAAATTCAAAATAAAAGGATAATGATGGCAAACCAGAATGTGGGTGGAAGATTCCATTTGTGAATGAATTATTTAAAATGGGGGACCCTGCTTTCTCATTGCTGATAGGCATTCACAGTGATTTATGAAGTTACTCAAAATTAATGTTTGTTTTGTAAAGAACCTGATCAGGGTATGTTATGTGAAATCAACATATTTCCTGATATCATGGTGCAATGAAGTAAATGTTAGTGCTAATAGCAATTTTAGAATAATTTACTGTGTTTTAACTTTTATGATCAATATTGGTATAGCGCAGTGTAATACGATTAGTCTTAATTATCTCCTCTCTAAGTGAAATGAAATTAATCTGCAAGGTGAGCTAAGCTTTGCTCAAAGGGAAGATGATATTAAAGGCCATGATTGTAAGAGTGTTAACTGCTGCCCTCAACTTTAAGATACAGGAATGGAATATGCATTGACTGTGGAGCTTATAAATCATAATTTGCCTTTTCTCTGAGCAGGTAATAAATTAGTTTGCTTAAAAATATATCCACCTTAGTGCATAATTGATATGAAGAACTCTAATTTTATATATGTGAAGTTGCTTGACATCCTAACCCGATGATAGAAACAAATATAAGATGCTAGAGAAATATTTGATAAATAGTTTTCTGATATTGGGACAGGATGGATGTTGTATTTATTCTTTGACTAGTCTGTCACAACAAACAACTTTACTCATAAAGGTACATTTCAGATAACAATTAAGGTTATGTAACAAATTTTATTAACAACAGTAAGGGGCACTTATATGAGGGTGTGTCAGGCAAGACAGATATCATGTCAGTGTAATTTCCCACCACACATATCTTTTTATTGAGAAGATAGAATACCAAAAAAATGCTCAACAAGAAAAATTCTAAAGTAAAATTATCCACTTGGAAGTATCTCACCTTGTAGGTAAATATGAAAATCAGTTCAAAGACATTGCACATGGTTTTCTCATATATGATTCATGGTTGACAGCCTTGTTATTTGGTTCCATTGTCAGTATAGATTAAAATGTAATCAAAATTGGTCAAGCTATTTTTGGAAAAATTTATATTTTGCATTTGGGTCATGCCATTATGTCCCTGAAGATACCACACGTGGATCTATAGATCCACTCCCCCATCTTTATGGTGTAGTGCTTAATTAGCTAAGCACAGGGACAACTGCCTTACTTTGCCACATATGTAGTTTTATTTAGGGATATGGTTTCTGTGAATTAATGAAAGTTAGTTAGTTATTTAGAGAGGGTGGGTTTCCCCATGCACCGCAACCAGTTTGATCTATTGTGCATCCCTCTATGATATTCTACTAGTCTCTATATCCTACCGGTACTGGTGCTTACCATCAGTCCCACCCAGCCAGCGAGACTGGCTCTACTAGCTGAGAGGTATCTATAATGCTTCCCCCATCTACCAGAGGTATTAGAGACTGCTGTTGGGCGGGAATGTCCGTAATTTTGGCTCAGTGACCTCCTTTGGAGATATGAGGTTCTTTTACGTGCTGTAAAGCTATGACACGGGACCCACGGCTTAAAGTCCCTCTCGGAGGACTTCTTCCCTGAATTTTTCCGCCCTTAAAAATTCGACCTCCGCTGGGTATTTGAACCCGCATACTACGAATCATTAATGAATATTGCCCAAGTAATTTTCAAGATTTTTTTAGATGCTCTGGAAGGCCCCACTATTTTTGAGCTAGAGTATTCAGATTCACTGGGCACTGACATATGATGGGTAAACTCTTAGATACCAAATATGAACAAAAACTGTCCAGCTGTGGTAGCAAAGTGTATGTCCATAAAAAAGACATGACATTCCATAAATCACATTTTCTTATTCAGAGGTGTTGAATGTGTGTAAGTCCATTAAAATTGTTGGCTTAATTTGTTTGACAGTCAGTACTTTTTTCATGCTGTGGTGTGTGTGAAGAAGAAATAATACAAGAAATTATATATATATATATATATATCACATTAAGTATGTCTTTCTTCTCTGATACACCCTTTACTTTGTTTAAGACAAACGGTGAGGGACATTAGAGGTTATTTTACAAAGAAGCTACAATTGTGACTGCATATCAAGGAACCTGCCTGGACATACATCTTAATCAGATAGCTTGGAGATACATTTTTATTGGTGATCAAATCAGATGGACAGAAAGGGTAGTCAGTTTTCCCTCATACATTGTTCAGCCCACATGATATGTAATATAGTTAGTGTGTCTTGTAGGCTGAGTTTGTCTGTGATACAGATAGATGCTAGGAGGCACCTTGATAGCAGTGAATTAACTGAACACAGGCATTAATTGTACCATCTACACATGAACACACATGTTGGAGCTAATCATATTCAGTTACAGCTTGAGAGTTAAAACAATAACGTAGTGAAGAACACCCAGATGTTTATGATTGTCCCATTGTGAAGACTGCAACACCTTTACTGTTACTTCCACCTCAGACTTCATCTTAATCAAGCTTTTTGTTGAATACTTATCCTACAATTCTGATTCTTGAACGAAGTTTGTATTTCAAATTTATCTTAAGTTTATTGGTTCATATACAAAGAAGATTCTTTTACCCTGTAAACAGCATGAAGAAATTTATGGATTTCTGTGCATTATTTTCTAACCACCTCCATGGATGAGACCCCTTATTTAGAACCTGATAGTTGCCAAACTGGTCAAAAAATTAATTTTTAAACACCAACCATCCTTTGCCATGTACACAAGAGCTCATCACTGATTCTGTTCAGAGCCAAATGAATTTGATCCCCAACCTCCTCTCTATACCCTTGCTTTAAGATGCATTTTTATATTGTCATCCTGTCTGTGTCAAGTTTTTTAAGTGATCTCTTTCCCTCTGTTTTCCAACCAGATTTTTTTTTTGTGTATGTATATTCTGTTCGATATATTCAGAATGCCCTGCTCATTTTTCCTCTTTATTTGAGCATTTTAATGGTATATGGAAAAGAATACAAAAATGCAAGCTCCTCATTCTGCAGTTTTCTCCAGCCCCCAGCTACTTCTGATATTACAGCTGTAACAGTTAAGTTGTTGATATGTAGTCAATATGCACAAACCATGAGAAGACATACTTCACTTCAAATGCCAAGGACATCAGAATTTTTTATGTAATTAGTGGTGGAATAGTACAAAGTCTTCTAATATTTGGTAGCCAAAAGTGTTTATAATTTTATAACAATCCTACTCCCAACCACATCTTCACTTCCTAGAAGTTCTTGAAATGGGTCAAGTACATACACATTCTTCTGTAATATAATTCTGTGTAGGCCTGTGAAAGTCAACCATTGTTTTGGAGGAACATGTTGGTTGACTTTCACTGGACTATTTGATGTTATATTCCAGAAGACATAAATCTTGAAAACCACCACTGTGAGAACCTCATGTACTTTAAATGTGAATTAGGAATTCCTATATGAGTATGTATAGCTATGAATAAAATAGATTCTAGAATTTGATTTGTTTCATTCTGGTCCATCACACTAACAATATTACAAATGATAAAACAATTCCGTCCAGTGTGACTGTTGAAGCTTTTACTACTTCGCTTTTTAGCACCCTAACATGTTTCGGTCCCTACAGACCACCATCAGAGGGAACATCAATACTTTTAGAAACTACTATTACATTGGGTGTTTTGATTTTTAAAATACATAAATATACAATATTTGTAATATACACTTGGTACAAAATCCAAATTTCTTACAACTACAGCGATTGTATATATTACAAATATTGTATATTTATGTATTTTAAAAATCAAAACACCCAATGTAATAGTAGTTTGTAAAAGTATTGATGTTCCCTCTGATGATGGTCTGTAGGGACCGAAACATGTTAAGGTGCTAAGAAGTGAAGTAGTAAAAGCTTCAACAGTCACACGGGATGGAATTGTTTCATCATTTATAATAGATTTTAGAAGTTTTATTTTAATTTGTTTGTAGTTAATTCTGGCTCTACACGTACTCCATCATCTGGCATCCTTATTTAGTTTCTCTGACTTTCCCCCTCCTCAAGGTGAGCAGAGGTATCTGACTAATAATTTGAGGGTTATTGGAAGGGCTTAACAGAGGAGTGTGAGCAATATTGCAAGAGAAGCATAGTACAGTTATGTGACCATACGTAACCAGAGTGACTGCTTTCAGATCCATCTGTAAGTCATTCATCAGTAAATAAATTATGCCGTATATTAGATTCTGAGGGCATGTGCTAAAAATTGAGTTCACTGGGTACTGTGGATTAGAAAGTCCTGTGTGTAAGTTAATTTTACTGTAAATAGGAACAATGTTGTGTTTGACTGTTATTGATCAAATGAACCTTGAATGTCCTTCCTCCTTAGTGGATTTGTGATTAGTACTGCTTCTCACTAAGCAAGTTGAGCCAAAAATTTCTCATATAAAAATTGACTAATAATTTTATATTTTGTGAGCAGCTTCTAAGATGAAGTCATAGTAACCATTGTTTTGTATATGCCTGTTGAATGCTGAGCGAGTCATTCACTCATGATCCCTGCAGAACACATAAACATCTGAGTGCTATGTTGCAGCTAATGTGTGGGCACCAAGTTGCTTGATTTCCAGGTATCATGCAGTTGGTTCTTATATCACTTATTATCTCTTGTCTACTGAGTGACTGTGTCAACTGGCAGTGGAAATAACAGAATTTCATAAGGTCCACTTTTCACTTCAGTTGGCATATATTTTCCTTGGGTAGATGTGCTGAAGATTATTTATGTCCACATCAACACAACAAAACAGAGTGGCAACCTTTGTTTCAAGAAGTGTGAGTGTTGAATGTGCACTGGAATGATGTATATATCATGTTTGTAGGCCTGGCTGTTGCAGTTTGAGCACCATAGCAGACTGTGCCCACCATTTGAGCCAGTCTGACTATCAGCAATGTATTAAGGGAATCAAACCAGCTGGAAATATTAACATAGAAGGTGCTGAGAAATGAAGCTGACGCTGCTTCTGCCCCAGTCATTTCATGACCAGTTGCAAGAGAAGACTGTGATGACAGCAACTTGACATCCATACACCCCACTGCGCACAGAACAGGTACATGCATGCACAGCAAATACAGTAAAATATCTGAGGCCATATTTCATTATTTCTTGCTAAAAATGTTGGACTCCTTCAGTAACATTTTTTTAATACATACACCGCAGAGCTACAGCCTTTCTTTATTATTGTTTCTGTGTCTCACAAAGTCTTTTGTTGCTTCTCTTGTGAGTATGGCAAGTAAAGTCATAGGCAGTTGTTTGTTACTTTGTTTCAGATGTGTATGCATTTTCGGCATTCCTGTGCAGGAAAATTATATTTTCATTATTGAGTCTGTTAATGTAAATCACTGTTCTATAGTCATTGCTATGATATGTTGCAATTTATTCAATAAAAAGAACGATATCAGGTTGTTGTTCAGGGATTGCCAACTAATAGTTGAAAATAAGATTTAAATGGTAAAGTTTAAACATCCTTCAAGTTGTATAAGGACACCTTAACTCTATTCATTCTGGTCCATCACACTAGTAAACTAAATTATAGAATAATAATTGTTAACACCGTCCAGTGTGATTTAATGCGTAGATATTTATTGCCTTTACATGTTTTGGTCATCTGACCTTCAGAAGGCGTAAGTGCCTCAAAACACAGCAAAACGGAAACAACCAGACATCACAATGGTACAGAACCGTAACAAGCTAAAAAAGGTGGTCATCACTTCAAGGACTTCTGATGACTCCAAATAACACCCCAATATTCCATTTTTACAGAAGAGGCACAAGGACACAAACCATACCCGTTGAAGACCTTAGATATTAAATATTAATAAGATTTTAACCCAAATAATTATAAATAACTTATATAATAACTTGTAATTGTGTGTTACAAAATTTGTAATAGTAGTTTCTGAAGATGTTGATCTTATGCCTTATGAAGATGGTCAGCTGACCAAAACATGTAAAGGCAATAAATAACTACAAATTGAATCACACTGTATGGCGTTAACAATTATTATTCTATAATCTATAAATAAAGACAGTTACTGCTCTGAATGTGCCAATTTTAAAACCTAATTTGATTTGTGGATTTAGTAAGTCTAAGTAAGTTGGTCATACTTAAGTGATCACATGCGACTTGGGTACTGGAATTTTGTATGAGGATGGTGAATGTAAGCTGCCACTGCAGCTCAGTCTCACAGTTCTTGAAAAACATTTGTTTGGGTGGTAGCCTGTTTAAGGGATATTACATGGACTTAAAACAGCTTCTTGTTTGCTGCCTGTTTTTCTGTCATAATTCCATCATGGGGGCAGTGACATCAGCATTTTAGAGAACCTTCCTGCCTCCAATTTTAGTCTAAATGGGTGAACCAAGTTTGGCAGTAATGGTATGGATGAAGGGAGAGGGAGGACCACAGCTGGCAGCGTCACATCCCAGAGTAGGCTCCGTGAGAATCCCAAGTCTCACTGTGTCATATCTGATTCATATTCATGAGACCTGAGGTGTAAGGGCCAACTCAGAGAGCTCCAACGTGACTGACATTAGTTTCTGAGGTGGAAACTGAATGTCGTGATATAATCATTATCATCTCTGCTTCATACTGACAACATAGAAAGTTGAAATTTTTGACGAGAGGCCAGTCATCTTAACTGACATGTAGTTCCCTCAGTCCTTTGTTCCAGCGCTCGGCATATCCTCATGCACTGGATGTTGGTTCACATGTAGAGGGACTCCCGATGTTGCTTGAGCCTCAATGAATAAGCATACTGCTGTTGCAGGGACTGGTGTCGGCTGTTGACGGGCTGTTTGGTGATGTTAGCCATCGCGCAGCCCATTGCAAACTCGAGGGCCCGGCACAGTGTCTGGAAGCAGAACCATGGCCAGGGACGCAATCCTGTTGCGTCATTCTGTTGCAGTGGGTCCAAGGAGTCTCCCCCTCGCTGTGGACAGCAGAGAGGTGCACTTAACTACTTACCTATGTTCATCAGTCACAATCAGGAGTCCTTACATTAAACTTCTCCACCAAAATGAGGAGGTAAGACGAGTAACCAGCTTACTAGCTCCACAGAGAAGACCGACTTAGAGACTGATCGTCACTCATACAGTCAAAACGTTCCCTACCTTTGCAGACTAAATGCTCTTGACATGTTTATAAGATCCTGCTACTGGGTACACTGCTGAACCAGATGGATCCAGTCCACATCATTAAACCCCATTTGTTTAGGGTCATTTTTAATATTATCATGTCACCTATGTTTATATTCTGGCAATAATTACAAAGATATTCTGGTGTACTCACAGGAGTCCTGCCTGTTGAGTTACTGGTGGGGGCCATGAGCCCATATGGCCCACACAGCCTGCCCATGTCAGCCACACACAGCACAAGGCCGAGCAAAGCAGTGATGTACGTTGCATTGAGAACCTTTTGCACTTGACTTTTCCTGCTTGTGGGTGGAGATGTGACCATGTTGGGCTGGATTGGCAGTGCTGCCCTATTTACATATGCTATGTGGTTGAGAATGGAGTGCAGGGTCAGATCTCCAGCCTGCCAAGGCAAACACGCAACACTCTGTATGCTTACCGGACAGTAACTTGTTTTCTGCTTGTCCTCTGGAAACACTATCTACATTTAATAATTTGGGGACATCAAGGAGGAGATGGGAGGATGTTAGGAACACATTTTGAAAATGGCAGTGGATGGAACTGGCCTACATTCTTGTCCAGTTATGGTAGGAGCAGTGTGGAACCATCAGGTTCTACATCCAGAGGGTTAACTAGCTGTTTGAACCCTAAAATTCATCTAGTAATATTTAAGAATTATGTTCTTACCTTACAGAAAATGCACTTTGTCTCCATTACAGAGGCAAGTTTGTTAATATTTCTTGGAAAATAATCACTTTGTTGAGAACCATTTGGAACACACAATAACACTGTGTGGTAAAAATTAAAAGTTTTCTTTAGTATTAAAGCTGATGGTACATGTAGTTACCACTGTACTTTAAAGGGTGAGGTCTTTTTTGTGGTACAGAGTGTTACTCCTGCTGTGAAAAAGTTATTCACTGTTCAGTAATTCTTTGTTGTTATGAATTCTCTAGGCTCATCTACACGTATGTTATGTAACAATTCATTCCATAGTGAAACATTTTTGAGAAGTGCAATGTGAGCTTCTCTCATAGCAGCAGGTACATTGGCCTGATGGACAGATCAGGAGTGTTGAGGTTCTCACAGTGGCAAAGAGGAAGGTTAGAGCAACATATTGAGACATGAAGAACTGGAGATTTAGAGGTTCAGGCTTTTGAACCAGAGATTTAGGAACACTGATGCAGAGATGCAGAGATGCAGTGGCAGAAAACTGGAATGTAAATGATTGGAGCGTAAGATAAATAGGAACAGGTGGTAAGGAAGGACAAGAGTGGATTAGAAATAATTTTAGGCGACCAGTAATTAGTAAGGGTAGTAATAGGCTGAGTATAATTAAGATGTTAATGTGCAATAGATGAATTCCCTACTATAGGGACAGTAATTTAAGTGGGATGCTGGAGCAGAGAACCAGAGATTCTAGCACAAAGAAGTGTAAATGGTAATGAACCTAAGAAAGTGCTCATTCATTCATTCAGTTATCATGGTAAAGATGAAGATTACTGTCTGCGGAAATGTGCCACCATGTAGCCCAGTGGATCAATGCAAACGTACTGCCTTTATCTCGCAGTACAAGACCACTCTCTGAGATCTCACTGTCCTGAAAATCTGAAGGCTTATTTTGGATGCCAGTGATTTCTGGAGGGTTGCCAAATATACTCACTTTTTCTTCAGCAGGATGTTCTTCTTGGTGAGGCAGTAAGCTTGTCTCAGCAGTCACCTCATCCTCTGACTGTTCACTGCAGCTCACCACCTGCTGTCTCAAGTTGTGATGCTGTTCTTTGCTGCCTGATGCAGTGGCCTGCTGCTGCCAACTCAAACTCTTCTTGCGAGACTTGCTACCTGCTCCTCCCACAGATGGACTGGCTGGCAACACAGGCAGTTCTTCTGCATCACACAAGTCAGTGAAGCTGTGGTCACATTATCAGACATCAACTTGAAATGAGTTACAAGAGACAGAATGATCTGCAGGACTACTGCCATGTTTAGAAACATCTCGTACATGTGTATTAATGTGCGATTAATTATAAAATGGTTGACAGGGGTTGATCCCCATTCAAGGATTTGTACCAGTTGTCTGTAAGATTCATAGTTTCAGGAGTTAGCGCAGAACTGGAGCAAACTAGAGATCCTGCTCCATAAAGGCTGACAAAATAATAACTTAGAGACTGTATAAAGAATTAAGATTGAGCAGAACGGTAAATGCTAGAAAGAACTTAAATGTTCCCATCTGCATACAGAGTATAACTGAAGGTGAGGATGTGTGGGGGAGAGGAGGTACAGCTGCATCCATACTTAACCCTGGTTTTAGATGGAAGTGTATTCATCTTCACACCGTTGTCACTCTATTCATGGGGAAAGAGACTCTAGTGCTCACTCTATAGGGCCTAGACCTTATCTGGATGCTATGGAAAAGAGAGAAATCTTTTGTCCCTGCTGGGAATTGAGCCCTGGTTCCTCATTTGTCCCACATGCAGTCTAGTCTCGAAGCATCAGTACAGTGCAGAGCAGAAATGCTAAATCAGTTATTGTAAGAGAAATGCAAATATGACTCCCTTCACAACAGACTGGTATGTTATGGAATGTTACACAGAGTTGTGGACTTAAAGGGCCTTAAAGAAATGGGATCTGAGGGTGTGGGCTTGATTCAGTTGACTCATGATACAGGTTATTGCATTTTGTGAAGATGGAAATGGAAAGGAGCCATATTTCTTGATCAGCGGAGTGACTGTCTGTTTCTCAACAAGGACTTGGTGTAGTGGTAATGCTCTAGATTCGTATTGAGGAGATGCTCAGTTTGAATCTTGCCTGACACTGGCTGTTCTGACAATGTCATGATTTTCCTCAGTCCCTCCAGGCATATGCCAGGATAGTAACTTGATCAGACCACTACCACTTCCTTCCACATCCGTTCCAATTCATCGTTCATCTTTCATTCTACCTTCCAACAGTAGCCATATAGTGTAGCTACAAGCATCATTGTTATAAAGCCCGTAAAAAAGGTACAAGGAATCTGATCCATGGACTTATATCTTTTGCTTTGCTCATTTTTAAATTCAGCAGATTTCACAGTTATTCTTGGTGAAAGTTGTACCTTGCTGCACGATGCGGATCTCGTCCTCAGCAATGTCTCCCAAACTGCTGCACTCACTACCAATCCTGCTGCAACTGCTGCCTCTCCGAGCGAGCTCAGTCCCAAGCTGCTGGCTCAGGTTGGAGCAGCTGCACTCACTGCCTCTCCTGCTGCAACTGCTGCCTCTCCGAGCGAGCTCAGTCCCGAGCTGCTGGCTCAGGTTGGAGCAACTGCACTCGCTGCCTCTCCTGCTGCCCAACTCACCAACAGCCCGGCGGCCGATGGTCTCCAGGCTGTGAGCTGTACCTGCTAACATTGCACTACATTGCTAGTCATGTGATAATTATTGCCAGCTCAACAATTCCACTGTACAGAGATATCCTCAAGCAGGTGATTGCTATTCAGCTGCTTGAGGAATTCCCCATCACAGATCCTCAAGGTCACTTGCCACGCTCCCTGAAGCCCACTATATAGGCCCATTTTCATACACTTCAGTTCAGTTCACTTCACATGGGGCTCCAAAATTGCTACTGCAATTTAGAGCTCATTTATAATTGGACTTGCTCAGTAGGACAGTGAAATTATTGTTGTTATTTTCTCATGCATGCTACATGATCTGCTCATTTTACCATAAACTTCATTCCACAGTGTGGTCTTCATGTAATCGGGTAGGAGAGTTAATGTTTTCTGGGATGTGATATCATGCACACTGTTAGAAGCATATGTAACTTACTCCTCACCCCTGAAGATGGAGGCATTCCTTATGTTCCCCCAAAATTTCTGTGAATTTCTGCCAGCCTATATGGCATCATATCGTAAAAGACAGTATTTTCATAGTTAGTACCATAACAGCCTAACAGAGGTAAATAGAGTCTGTGCCCTCACAACCTGTTTCCTTAAGATCCCTCTAAACATTATCCTTTCATTTCTGTCTAATTCTCGCAAGTGATTTCTTTGGCTTCAAATTTTCCAACCAAAATTTTGTATATATTTCTGATTTCTCCCATACATACCCTGCCAGTGTTATCATACTTTATTCGAGCTTCCCAACAGTGCTTGGTGGAGAGTAGAAATTAAGGAGCTGCCCTTTATGCACCAGGCTTCTTTTAGTGCCCTGAATTGAGTTATACAAATTATGTGTGAAATACATTCTGTTGTACATGATTTGAGACTGTATATAATGAAGTGTTCAAGAGCCATCACCTGTGTGAGGGTGAAGTCCGTAGTATTGAATGTTCCGGAAACCGTCTCCGATCCGCATCATTAGGAGTTGATGTGACAAGTGATTACTGATTTTCAAGACTTTTCTGTGCTTAATTGTTGATGTTAATTTTGTTCTGGGGTTGGTACACTGTGTGGTTGTGGGTGATGTTGCCAACATTTTGGAGGTATTTTCTGCTTCCGTCTTCGTGCTCAAAGCACGTGAGGGTGGGGGAGCTTCTGTGTATCTGTAGGATCCTGTCTCAAAAAAATGATAATGGAGGGAGGGAAGGAAACAAGGGGATTGGTGCCCCATCTGGAGCAGCAAGTACAGTGAACCAGGAAAGTTTGCACCCAGCCACTTTATGGGCCATAAGAGTACAGAAAAATAAATTGCGTTATAACACACCTGGACCAGGCTCGACCTCACTTCCTCTTCTACTCACTTCACTGCCTCGCCTGCTGGCTTCACTGCCTCGTCGGCTTATCTCACTGCTTCGCCTGCTGGCTTCACTGCCTCGTCGGCTACCTGCCAGGCTCTCAAACTCACTTCCCCTGCGACTTGCTAGGCTGGAGCGTCGGCTTCCAGGGGACACCACAATAGTGGGTGTGGGTGTGGGTGGATGCACTTGTACACTCGGTAGTATTCTTCTCCGTGGGTCAGGACTCCCTGGCCGAACTGAGCCTCGTGATGAAGGCTGTGGGTTGCTGCTGCAGCATTCTGTGTTAGAAGAGAGAGAGAGAGAGACTATTGACATGTCTGTAGGGACACACAAGTGGCATATTCTCAGAATGAATCAACAAATAATAACAACGGAACCGAAAATTTCACTAATGATATTTTCTGTGATGGAATATAAAAATTTCTGAAAGAAGTGTTGAAATAATGAGTTCTGGTAGGAGTCCTAGAAATGATTAAATGTCAACCGAAAGGAAGAAGCTTCTTAGGAAGATTATGAAAGAATGGTAGGTAATATTGTCATTTGTAATAGACATAACAAGCTGACTGACCTTTTATGATAGCATATGAAGAAGCTTCACAAGGCCATACCCCACTCACCAGTGTCCTGTTGCTGACTTATGTCCATTGGCTGGCTGTTGGAGTCACTGCCAAAACTGAAGGTGTGATCGTTTTCATCAGTGATTCGGATCTTGGGTGTGAGAAGCGTAGGAACTAGTGCTGCTGCCACAGAGCTTGCCAGATTGTTATATGGAGCCAGCAGAGCGAGCTGCATGATGCCTGTTGTGCAGACAAACCAGTGCAGTTCATGTTATATACACTTTCTCTCCTTACTGGTCCCATTCATTTATTTAAGGTACAAATCTGCTTAACACTGGTGCAGATATAAACACAGTTATGTTTCTGGTGTTCAGTTTGACATAAGAACATGAAAACAATGTGAAATAAGAGTTCTGGGCTAATACATTAGGTACATTTTGTTTGTATGATGAGCAACACTTTAGAAATCTTAAGGTGTTTCGTTGGAGATTCATTTGCCAAAGGACCAGACTTAAATTGGCCCCCAAATTTTAATGTAGATGCTCAATATCAAATTTTACCAAAATCTATGAAGTTCCTTTTAGAGATGTCACATACAAAGAATCTTCCCCATTATGCATTCATTTTGATACTTTATGCAAAGAGACTATCAGTACCAAGAATGTGCAAAATAATTTGCTACATTTGTGCCTTGAAATATTTTTAGCTTGCCTCTTGGAAAAATAAAAACTGGAAATATTTTCATGGTGTGAATGGAAATTCATACCCTTCCGCTGATGACCAGGGGGGTCCCGATGAAGGAGCCCACCAGGCATGCGACAGAGCAGTCCCATAACTCGATAACCTCCATATAGGAATGTGCAACAGAGGAAGATACCCCAGCAGAGGAATGCAAGTTGAACCACATACTTCACAAGCTGTGAACAGAAAACAGCCACTTGCAAGACCAAGGCAGAGATTACACGATCATGGGAAATATGTTGTGTGAACGTGAACTCACTTATGATTGAGTCAAATGGTTCAAACTAGTCGTTTTTATGGGTAAATTATTTATACAGTAAAAAATTTTCTTGTTCATTTGGCTGAAGCTGAGTCAAGACTGTACTTTAGTAAGAACATATGTCACATTAATATGCACTTATATGTGTAGTTAAGTTCAGTTTATGTGAGGCAGGTGACAAAATCAATATGTGGATATTGGCAGAATTACAGATTTTATGGGCCATGCCATAGCTCCCACAGTGAGGCTGTAGCTTTGCACTGCAGAATCCCAGATCCAATCCTAAGTGATTTTATGTAGTATGTGTAATGGACAGAGCAGCACTAGACCAGGTTTCTCCATGAGTTTTACCCTTGATAATTATCATTTAGTCATTCTCTATACCCTTCCATCACCACCTTCTCAGGCATTTGATAGGCCTGACCAGGCAGCACATTATCACATCCTTTATCTTCAAGTGGGGTCTTCATCTTCCAACCTGGCACTGGTCAGGGTACAGAGTTTCCCCTGCTAATCATTATTCCACCATGGCTCCATACTCATCTATCACTGGCCACTGATGTGTGTGATAGCCCTGATCAGGCAACACATTTCACACTCACGCTTTAAATTTGGGTTTCACCTGCGGTCAGTAATTCAGATGGCTTCAGAGTAAGGACATAAGTTAGTGCAGTATCTCTGAAATGTCTGCAAACTTTACCAAGTTACACATCTTCACAACTCAGATGAATGTACTCTTCATAGTAACCGCTGTAAGAGCCTCAAACTGAACTTTGTTAAGAGTTAGGGCAGAAGACATGGCAGAGATTGTGCCATATAGAGAACATAGACAGATGAAGACAGAGTTAGAGCAGAAGACATGGCAGAGAGCGTGGCATATAGAGAACATAGACAGATGAAGGTTACTGAGAAGGGATTTGAATTAAGACTTGAAGAAAAGACCTATGTGATGAGCCAGAATAAAGTGGTTAACCAGGTAATGGAAGACATGAAGAAGAGGTGAGAAAGTTGTATGTAAATCAGAAAGGAAAGAATGTAGGAAGACAGAAGAGACTGGAAACTTCTTGCTGCTCAAACCTTACAAAGCAGAAGTGATTCTAGAAGAATGATGATGATGATATAATTGAGAAAGTGCTGTTAAATAAGCAAGGAATGGCTTCAGTTACTTTACTTCCACTTTTTTTTTCTGTGGTAATTTTGGGATTTCCATACTCCACCTGATGGAGCTGACCAATTAAAAAAAAATGGTATGAACATTAATGCCATTGCAGACAACATCAACCTTTTAATATTTATTTTAAGACTGTATCATCATTTTTTAAAAGATGCCACTCCTGCATACTGCTAAGAAAATGCAGTGTTACATGACAACTGTGTATTCATGAAACTGTGTCTTTCTATGGCTAAAACTCTAAAAGCATTATTTGTATTTACAGTGCATGCTGGGTACATTCTGCTCACCATCAGCTGCTCCTGGAAGCCGACAGCTATATCTGCTCCGATGAGGAAGCTGAAATGAGCTGTGATGATGAGTGACAGGCAGGACTTGCGTCGCAGCTTCTCTGGTCCCAGGTTCAGCTGCAGCCAAGCAGAGATCCGTAGGTCATACATTGGTCTAAAGCTACAATCTTCGTTATTACTAACAGTCAGATATATTTCATTTATTCTCTTAACCTTTTCAGAAACAGTCATTATATATACAGTAAACTCCTGGTTATCCAATATCCAAGCACCTGTAATTCTCATGCAACTAACAAAACATTCAAACAGAATTGACCATTTTTATAAAAATAGCTAAAACTATCGCTGTAACAGTGTGAGATGTCGAGGTTCCCACATTTTCTAGATAATAGGCTCACAGGCAGTGAGGTTGTCATCCTGACACCCTGGCTGCCCTTTACACCCCTGAAGATTCTTGGTACTCCTTTCTGTTAGAGGCTGAGTTGACTCGAGGGTCATAGTGTTGCTGGTAGGATTAGGTCAATTGAGAAATCCACTGACTTCATCAGAAATCGAACCTGCTACTTTCCCGCTTGTAGCATAGTGCCTCAACAAACAGCACTACTGTGTACCTCACAATTTTTATGAAGTTACATCAAGATTAAATTTGCCATGCACATACATTCATGTGTGATGCAGTAGTTCTTCTAGCTATTATTATTAAGAGCAGTGCTTGTCTTCTGAGGCTTGCTGAATTTGTGATCGTGTTACAGTATATCTCAATCTCTCAACCATAAATCCACTATGTCACTTAAGAAGACTCTCACGCAAGAACTAGAGTGTTGTATCGACGTTGAAATGGAAAACCGTAACATGAATAAGACTGGAAAGAGTGACAGTCAGGTGAAGATTGGATTGTGTAAGGGCATTCATGTAACTGGCACATTCCATTCATCATACATGCCAGACAGCAAGGAGTTTACTGTACTTGTATTTGAAGTTTTACTTTGTCTTCACACCCCTGCTCAATTCACTTGCATTATGTGTTCTTCAGCATTTGAATATTTGCACCTATGCAAAAAGTGCAAGTTGGACTTCATTTCCCCTTTCCTATATCACATGGCTTACTTTCCTACCCTGAAGTTGGGAGCAGCACATTTTTCCCAAATGCTGGTAAATGTCTATCCATCTGCACAATGTTATATGAGTATATCAGAGGACAGTGAACCTTATAGTCACTGCCATAAGAACCTCAAATCTCAGATTATCACTGACCACTTTGATGCACCTGAAATCTGCATGGTGTTTCTGGGATTGGGATTCTCATGGCAGTGAATATCAAGATCATGGTCATCTGAGATGTGATGCTATACAATCTTAGCAGGCAGTAGGTTCCCCCCCCCCCAGTAAACATTGATGTAGACGTGTTGTTTATTTAACAACACTTTCAATATTGTCACATATCAGGATTGCATGCCTAAGAATAATGGGTTCTGGATTAGATGATTGGATTTATTGGCACTTCTTTACAATTACAACCAATTATGACAGCTCACGCTCAATGACTGTCTGAGGCTCGTTCAATTCCTTACTGGACCACGAGCGTCTTCTCTTTCACTGTGACGAATGATGAATCATTGCTCACACATTGAACTCCTACTGAATGCTGGATCAAGAATCTCTTGAATTCACAAATCAACTCCCTTTTGTAACTGCGAGAGAACCAAACAGAGATCACCATCTCCAAGGGTTCTATTACAGCTTCTCATGAATGTGTTGTCTCAGAAGCCACATGTTAATTCCAAAACAACAGTCAAGTTTCTAAGTGTTTACAAATTTCAGTATTCCTGTCCATGGAAACCATGTTCCATAACCAGTTGGTTTCCAACAATAAATCTCTCCATTATTTGCCAATTCATTTCCCAGAAACAGCCCACATATCACAATATCAAGACTATATAATGTCAGATGACAGGGTGATGGATAAATAATGAATTAAGAGAGTTAGGAGGGGAGTGGTCATGGCTTAATCAAGTCACCAACCTTGCATTTGCCTGAAGGGACTTAGAAAAACACTTATAAATCACAGTCATTCTGCACCTACCAAAACCCAGAACATTACTGCTAGGCCATCCTTACAATCTGCCAAACCACACTGTGTCACATCCCAGAAGACCGTAACCTCAGCATTTAGAGAAGTTCAGAAAAATTCTTAACCATAGGCTAATAATTAATGGTATGAATGGTGTAAACAACTAACACACATATTGGCACCTACTTCATTGTCCCATTGAAACATCAGCATAATGATCTGGCAACATTTCACACAAGAGGGAAAAAGTCAGTCATTAAGACAGTTAATGAAATGGCTGGTGCAATGTCTCACTGAGGATCCTTGTAAAATATTCATTACTTTGTCAAATATTTCAGTTCTGTAGTAAAAACTACATAGGAACTTCTTTGTATAGTTTGACTAGACTGAGACATGACACAAAATCAGCTAGGCATTTATCCTGGATCTTCTGCTTAAACAGGAAATCAGATAATCCTGTGCTAGGTTGGCACCATCCCTTAATCTGTACTTGGGAACATTAAACAGAAACCCAGAAAACTGCTTTATTTGTTTACTGTCCTGAATGTTCTCATCTCGGTAGCCAGGGGACTCCCGCTCTGCTTCATCTTCTACAGGCACCAGGTTCAATTCTGGGCTCAGAAAGTGGCTGTCTTGTCTGAAGTTTTCATAGTTTACCTCAGTTCCTCCAGACAAATACCAGGATAATACCTCCAATTAGGCCACTACCAGCTCCTTTCTCATCCTTTCCAATTCATTGTTCAGCAATCATTCAACACTATATTGTCTGAGCTGACAGCATTTTTAAGTAACATATAAATAAATAAACATATTAATTATTTCAGGACACTGGGGTGGAGTATATAGCCATCATGCTTACAGATGTTCACAGCAGCCTAGCAGGAAGCACTTACATGGAATGTAATTTTACACTGAAGTCCAAAATAGTACAAAACATACTGGTATAATTTTTTTCTAAACAGGCTGTAATTTGTGACACCACTCGTAATGTTTCTGCTTCTTAACAGTCACTGTCCCCCCCCCCAAAGTTGGGTATAGATGGACCATTAGTGTCAGGTTGGTACGTACCATGTACTTGCCAACACGGGACCAAGGGGACACTATGTAGATGGTGGCTCCATGCGAGAGGTCACACAGTTTGCGACGACCATGTTGGCAGGACTGGAGAGAGAACACCAAGCAACATTGACACAACATTGTTACAACATTACACACCACACACACACACCACATGAAGATGGCCAGGCGTCAGGTGAGTAGAGAGACAGCCTCACGAGCACTTGCCACAGTGTGCCACACCTGTTGCAGTATGGGTACACTACCCAGGCTGGGTGTACCCTGAGCCAGTTCGAACACATTTCTGTCAGTGTTCCTGGGTTTCATGCCCATGACTAGTCTCCTTACTGATTTAACTGCCCTCAAATAACTTGTAAGTGAAAACTGAAATACAGAGGGATCCAGCATCAACCACAGTAGTTCATTTCTTAAGAAGACATGTTTGGTAGCTAATTCATCCATCATCTGCAATGTGCAGTGTGGCACTCTGGTGGTGACAAGTGAAAAGTGCATGCAGACATGGTGTTGCATGCTGAAGCAGGGGAGGTGCAAACAGTGTGCAAATTGTACATCACATGATGATTCTGTAAGCAGTGCAGCACTTGCTGTTACCTTATTTCTCATATCAGCATGTAGCTACAAACAGGACCAGAAGATAGACTTGAGTTGGTATTGCATTGCCTATTTTTGCCAGAAATAAAACAGCAGGATGGATTGTTATTTTGTCAAGTTTAAGTATAGCTGTGATTCAAGATACTGAGATTGGAAAATCTGCAGAAAGTTTGTTTCTGTATGCAAAAAGGTTGCATGTGTGCCAGGACTGTTTTATGAGTAGATTTCATATTTCAAATTAAATAATTATATTGATAACCACAACAGTTTCCTGTTTAAATTTCAGTGGTCTTTATGCGGGTTCATAATACAAGCAAGACAACTTGTTATCACTGTTTGCACTCATTTCGCTGCTGTGGAACTGTATTGTGGCTACTGTTTGCAGTACAGTGACACTTAGAGGTGGCGATGTTACCTGAGTGAGCTGCAAGAAGGCGAGTTGTATGAGGCAGAATGCTGATGTGATGCACGGCATGCCAACATCCCACAGCACAGAGCCCAGCACCCGGGGCATAGCCTGCCACATAGGAAATATCTCTACAATTCTGATTTGTAAGGTGCATATTTCATTACCTGAGTACTGGAGGGTTTTACCTCCATTTTTGGATGGAAATGAGAAAATGCAGTTTTCTGATTCTCCATAATATGCTTCACTATCTCCACATGCTTTCATAGTTTTACCTTGCTTACAAATCTGAACTTTCAGAATGTGTTTTGTCCTAAGTCACATTTAAACTGCAGTTGACTGCAGCTTCAGAGACACTTTCCTGAGGATTGGTGTTGATTAAGGTAGTACACTCCAGTAATCAGATGATGACTCGTTATCTCCATTATTCTCTGTGTAAAACATCTGTGAAGTTGCAGCTTGCACCACTCCTTGAGTAGGCAACCTTGCATAAGAAAGGTCCTCTGTGTTCAGTGTGATTTCCCAAATGGCACTCCAGGGGATAATCATTTATAGATTGCATCATCTGTTTGTCACCAATCCACACAAAATCAGTAATAAATGATGACCCACCATCAGAGATGTTAGCCTAAATATGTCTGAGTTGTGCACATAATCTTATACGAGGCAGAAACATGCCGTCTCTGTGTGAAATTTATAATAAGAAGACACAAACCATGAGATGATATACATGTTCACATTTAGAGTATTAAGGTAAAGCTATTTCTGTAACAGGCCATGGAGGCCCATAGGGTTGTGAGACATCAAGGCTTTCCCCACATTTTCTAGATAACCAGCTCAAAGATGGTGGTGAGGTTGTCAGCCTTACACACCAGTGGCCTTACCCCAAAAGATTGCTGGTACTCATTTCTGTTACGGGCACTGCTGTGCGCCTCCACATTTAGAGTATTATGTCTCATATTCATTGTCATGCTACAAGAAGAGCCCTTGAAAATGGGCATGTACCATTAACAGTGTGACCATTATGTTTCTCACCAGTTTACAGTCCCATATTGTGATTCTGGAACATATTAAAGTCAGTATATGTTACCCTATTAGAGGCATTTGTATCGCGGAATGATGTTTCTCACAGGCCTTAATGAAAACCCTGTTGGTTGAAATTAAAAATTACACAGCTGTGCTATGCACTACACAATACAGAAGTGCACACTGAGATGTTTCTTGAATAAAGAGATAGCATTTCTATGGACATAGGCAAAACAAATGCAGTGAAACGTCCATTTAAGGTCTCTGGAGAACCGTGGATTTGCTGTAACATGTCTAGCGTGGTGGCTGAGGTACATAAGCCTGGAGACTGACTTCTCCTCCCTTATGCCTGATGGTGGAAACAGATCCAGTTTCTTGAGCATTGTGTTCGAAAAGCTCAAAACTGTCGACAGTGTCCAATGCTATAGTCATGTTTATCGCAACATCACTTATGAATAATCTGTTTCGTATGTGTTTTACAACATACTTTTAAAAACATGAAAAACTTTTGTTCTATAGGCTTCAACATTTTGTACCTCACACACAGTGAAGTACTGTGGCACAGTGTGGCAGTTTGACAAATATATGTGCACAATGATGGCCCCCACAAAGCCAGAATATGTTGAAAAATATATGTGAGACATATATTAAGCAGCATTTGACCAATGATCTATGAAGTGTTACTCATATATACATGTATCAAGTGCAGTCTTTGTTCTTTTATTGTATTGCTGGATGTCCTGCAGTTGTCAGTTTCATTGAGCTTATTCATTCATTCATTTATTTCATTTCCATAAATCCATACAGAAACAAGTTCCATGAGATGTGGAAATAGTCAAGTTTGAATCTTAACATAGATACAATAAAAACATAGAAAAACAAGTTATAGAAATAAATTCAAGAATACATAAATTAATATAATTACATTTCAAAATAACAATTAGTATATTATATTAGTATATGAATTAACTGTGACTACCTCGCGCAAATTGTAAGGGTCTATGAACAGGCAGCCAGCCCTGGAGACACCAAGGAGGCACAGGAAGCCATTGATTGTTGACATGAATGGCCGACTTGAGATGAGGGACCTGCAGATGCAATACCCATCTTTAGCATTCATGAATCATTTCCCTGTGCACAATGTCTCTTATAGGAAGTACATGGCATGTAGGCTTAATGCTACAATTTACATCCATCCCTTTCCCTAAACTGAATCTTCAAATAAAAGATCCATTCACTTAACACACCTTTCCCGCCTATCTCAAGCAGTCACTCAGACTCTTAAATTATATTACTTCAATATACAGTTTTCCCAAAAGAAAATGTTTCTTATGATATCTCCATTTCTCTCAAACAGCCTCAAACACTCTCTGGTTGCCGATTTTGGCTCATTTTACTGTGGTGTAAGTGGCATCTTCTATCTCACCATAGGATATTATTCATTCGTAGTTCCTCGCCTAGCACCCTTCAGTTTCCACTACCCTCATCTCTGCCATGCCTTCCCTTTTATTTCTATCCTGTTCCAGTGTATTTTTCCCTCTCCCATTTCTCTCTAATAATTGAGTAAAAAGGAAGTGAAGACATTTCTGTGAATCTAGCAAACATCAATATCATTAGATCTGTTTAGGTGAAAGATATGAACTGTGGAGTTCCTTCTCATGTAGTTTTCCCTGTTTTTGTGTTACTTCAGATCTTTGAGGTTTAAATAATATTTTATCACTACCTTGTCATATTCCTTCATTCTCTGCTAATCTGTCTGACCAGGAGACCAAGTTTTGCACCCATACTGGACAAGGGGTTAAATTACATTAGAAGCCATAGTAACCCTCACCTGAGATTCAGAATCGAGAAGAACGCGTAGAATGCAAGGATGAAGAATAGGCAGGCAAAGCCGTATGTGTGCAGGAGAAAGCCCCATTTGAGCTGTGCCTTGACAGCCTCTGCAGAAGGTGTCAGCAGCAGAACTGGCCCATGGTGGACTCTGTAGTGGCCACCACTGGTGGTGAGAACTGGAGTGATTGTTGAACAGTTGCAAGCACTGTTGTCATTGCTCAGATTGTAAAGAGTGCTGCTACCTATTGTGTCTGCACAAAAATTGAATGTTCTCATGAGAACAGAGGAGTTTACAAATTGATCTGCAGCTTAGTGATCCACCTGTGTACAACATATCAAGTAACATGAGTTGCCAGTGTATAGTGACTATACTATGATCAGTACAGCTGAGGAGTCAAGGTTAGATTCCTGGCAGAGGCAGAGATTCATCTTTTCTCCACAATGTTCAGACAAGTTTTAGGGCCCACCCAGCTTCTAGTCCATTAAGTACAAGCGGCTCTATGTTCATGATATGGTACTTATGTAAGTACAAGAACATTATTACCTTAAATGAAATATCAGTACCTGAAAACTGCCCTACATAACCTGTAAGTTTTGTGAATTACCAAGTTTATCTTGAAGATACAAAAAAGTGTGTAGCTTTGTTCAGGTGTACGAACATTCCAGATTTTAATGTGGCTTCCGTGAACACATTTAAATTTCATGCATTTGCTATGCTGTTATTTTTACAGTGTCAGGTTAGTATTGTGCACGAGTCCCCCATGGGGGAGGAGCAGCACTAGTGCAGTGAAACTGCGGTCATCTCTTTCTTTCATGAAGGAACATAAATTTATTTTGTGATTTATGGCATCATGTAGCTGGTAGGTGGTCACCAACATTTTAGAGAAACCTGCAGCCCTCATTTTCAGGGCAGAAGTGAGTTAAGTTGGGAAATGGGTAGGTTGTATAAGGGGATGACTGGCCAATGCAAGCCAAGGATGATGAAGAGGAGACAGGGACCTGAACAGGCTACTGAAGGCTGAGGCATGATGTTTCTCAAAAATGTTAGTGCCCACCTCCCAGACTACATGTTGTCATGACCCAGGTCACAATATGAACCTTTGCTGCCATGAAGACCTCAAATTCCTCTACTTCTCCCCTTGCTTGTTCTCCCCAGTTGTCTTTTATTCATCACCTCTATTTTTAGGTGAGCTGGTAACCCTGTGGGGCTCCTAGTGTAATAGCGCTGTCTGTCTATACTCTTGAAATAAATCAAGGCCTATTGAATGGACTTTCATCAATTTCATATAAAGAAGGGTTAGTGAAATTTGTCAGGACATTCCAATTTGGGTTAAAGTGAAAGAAAAATAATGGACACAGTCCCTGAATATATGTGTAGTAGTTATGTTAAACCATCACCACAACAAAAGTATACTTGCTTTTACTGTTTACAATTAGACCTTTATTTTGTCATCAGGCAGTTAATATAGGAATATGTCTAGTCATTGAATTATTAATATGGATCCATACTAGTGCAATGTGTCTTATTGTATGATAACAGAAATTTTGCCTCAAGTTGGTAATAAGTATTACAATTAAGTATATAAAATAAATATAAATATAAAATGAAGACAACCCATGAAGACCTACATGCATTTCTGCATACACCTCAAGCATAACTCATTAAGTATTCATTGGAGTGGAAAGTGTTTGGAACAGGAGTTGTAGACGAAACTGGGAGATACAGTTCATGCTCAGTACACTCTTTCCATACATCTTACAGTTTAAATTATAATTAAACAATAATTGTTATGCTGTGTGTACATTTCCTAACTTGTAAACCAACAGTAATCTTCTGAAGCATTGAAAGATTTGCTGAAGCCTTGATAATAATTAAATGAAACTTTCTTCCACCTGAAATTATAAGTACATAATTAATCAAAATATAATTTTACATAAGACCATAAATAATTATTTGAGGTTTTCACAGTTGTGACTAAGAAGAGCAGTATCTTCTGAAATATTACAATGTGTAGTGTGGTGGAAGGTTACTGATGTTTTGAAGGAACATAACCGCTTGTATCTCAAGAGTCGAAGAATAAGACAAGTTAGCAAGCAGAGAACTTAATGAAGTATCATCAGTGGTTTTACAAATCTATGCCTCTTATTCTCAGGTTCCTCCCACCTGAATTTGTTGGTCTATATGTATATAAACATATATAAAACATAAACTTACATAAGCAACCAAAGTCATAGTTGAGCTTATTCAAAAACCTTTTTTTTTTTTATTTCAAACGTATCACAATAAATACTTGAGCATTGATATTAGCATGTCACATAATTTCTTCTGTTGGGCATGCCTGTTATAATCTTGTTGTGCTCTCAAAATAGTCTCACTGTTGTTATTTCTTTACCACTGCATCCTTAATTTGATCAACTTCTCTTGTATTTGTGTTTTTGTATGTAATCCTCCTAGTATTTTTCTTAATCCGTTTTAGAACATTTGTGTCTATTGCTTAGACTCCTGTCTCTTGCTCTACAAATTCATTATCTTGCACACTTACACTACAGATACTAGTGCCTGAATGAAATATGTATTAGGAATTCTGATTTTGTCAGTTGGCTCAGTGTTAAATGATGACCTCTGCTGAGAAACTTGGGCTACTGACACTGTACTCTATGAGATACAGAATAAAATCCAGGCCAAAGTATCATATTTACTTCTTTAGTTTGCTGTATTCACAGATTTCCACCATCCCTCACCAGTAAGATAATACTACAAGGTATGGGTATATCATATTGCACCTCAATAGCATACAATGGTGGAGTACTGCTTTGCTGATAGAACACTGTGGTATTTCTGACAACAATAAATGTTCTTCATATGGCATACCCTTAAAATAAATACTGAAATAGTGAAATTATGATAGCCCTATTAATATGTATGGTAGAACAAAAAGTACCCATTCTTGACTTTGGATACAGTTGCTTCTCTTGTCAATATCACAGTATACAGTAGCTAAAACTCTAAAAGATAGAATAATACTTAAATTCAGAACTGAAAGTTTACTCATCTGCAACAGAATTTTCACATTGCTGTCAAACATACTGGCAAAAGTGTGGAGTAAATAACATAGCATCATAGGATATTCTCTGTTAGGTCCACAGTAGGAAACGAAAAGCTGTTAGGAAAATGTCATTTTTATGTGTATTAGGCATACTATGTGTCCAGTGCAACAAGTGCCTTGCTGGTTAAGAGGCTCTGTATTCATTCCGACACAACATGCAGTTGTCTATATGCTGTATGAAGTCTGCTGTTTTTTTGTTGCTGACTAGAGAACCACACTAAAGTAATGTTAGGTTATGTTCTAACTTCAAGTTTTCATTGGTGCCTGATATTTTCACAGAAAAAGACCTTGAGCATTTGCTCTAAAACGTGCAATTTTAATACTACATTCATTCAGAATTAATGTTTCATTGATGAATAACATAACTTTAAATGGCCCAGGGCCAGAGAAACTGCTACCAGTGGCTACCAGATCAGCTCACCATTGTAGTCCAGCAGATGACTGGAGTTGATTTCAACCATGCCGTTGTTCCTCCTGTTGCACAGAATGCTACATTGTCACCCTCATTTCATCCCCACATGAAGTGGCAGGCATGTCCCAGATCAACTTTCTCCATCTCTCTCACTCACCCCAGTTTATTGATCCAACTTCCTTCCCTATGTTGAGCAATTCTAGGGGCCGTTACTGGTCACTGGGGGTAGATTTGACTATGTGGTGGGGTGGTATAAGAGGGGGGGAAAGCAATTAACATGTTTCGGCTACAGAGTCATGTTCCCCCCTTTGGCAGTTTAGAAGATATGTGAAATCTTATTTACCGTAATAAAACTGTATTTCATATATTACCTATACAGTGTCATGGAAAATATTCGTGACAATGGGCCAAAGCAGTGATTACAGATCAAATAATGCTGGAAGAAGAACATATGTTGGTGTACAATAAAGTATCTAAGTGATTTGGAAGTTCCATGAACTAACAAAATTTGAAACACACACGGAAATGTTAATTTGGCACAAGATATTAATGCATGGAAACTGGACAAGGTGATAATTGGCCTACTGAAACCTGAAACTGAACTAAATAATATTTAGAAAGTCATTTCCTACCTCACAGAGAACACACTTCTCCTTCACATAGACCAACCATTTAATGTTTAGGGGAATAATTATTATTTACTGCAAGAATGATATGAAACATATAAATATGCTCTGAGGCAAAAATGGAGATATTTCAGTGTTAAAGCAGATGGTATATGGTTACCAGTGTACTTTAAAAGTTTAAACCAAGTGTAATATCAGCAACAGGAATAATCCTACATACCTTTATACAGGACATCCTGACTGTTATGCTTCAGTAATGCATAAAATCTGAAATTCCATCATGTGTAACAGTTTTTAGCAAACACATAAAAATCTTTTGCTGCTTCACTTGCTTTGCTTCTAAGTGCCACCTTCCAGAGGTGAACTGACAATATGATTAGAAATACTTTACATTAGTCTTCATTACACCCTTAGTTATCCTTGACACTTGTTGAAGGGACAGATGTAGTTAGTACTAGTGATGGTTAATCAGAATTAAAACTGTGTAGTTAAAATAAATACAGTACCTGTGGTGTGTTGATAGAAGTAAGGTGCAATAACAGCATTCATAGTAATTTTTCAGTTGCAAGCAGCATAAGAGTTCATTAAATCCTGTAGTTGTAGGTCACTTTTTCATCTTTATGGGTGCGTAATGAATGCCTTTTGTTGTGCAGTTCACGGCAATATTGACGATATAATGATGAACTGAATGTTTATGCTGCCTATAGCAAAGTACTCCTTTCACACATGATTGGTTCACCTCTTGAAGATGGTCACTTAGGGCCAAAACATGTAAGGCAGCAAAAGATGCAATTTTATTTATTAAAAATTGTTAAACTTGGTGGAATTTTAGATTTTATTCATTCTTCTGTGTACTTAAGACCAGTTCCCCATTACAGGCATCACATAACAAACCTTCCATTTTCTTCTCCATTCAGATTCATATTTTGTAATTAATTGGAAGTTAGTATCACTCTTCATTTCTCCACATCCCCCATGTATATCAGTTACTTCTTACTGGTGCACTATTTCGAGTGTGGGCATTCACTGTTTTCAGACTGATATGAGGTCATAGCAACTTTTGTTCAAAATAGATGCAAATAGGAAGAGATGAATGAAAACCCTCACTCCTGGGTTTCACACAGGATGCATGATAAACTGTAATATTAACTGCAATATAAATAGCCTGTAACGAATTTGTTTGCATCTCTTTATGTAATGGTAACCAGTTAGATATTAGACTTCAAAGATACTGTCACGTGTTGTGTATGTCAAGCGACAAATAACTTCACGTGGGTCTCGGATTCAGCGAATCTTTATTGGACACTCAATCTTACATACCTTACAATTGTTATCACTTCAACTGTATTCTGCGGCGGCTATCTTTCAACTGTCTTGTATGGCGACTAAGTTCCAACTATGTGGTTGCTGTCTGTGGCTCTCGGCTTATGTACGTGTTCTGTGGACTCAGTAGAGGACACCTCTCACCAAGGTTCGGTCTCACGTGTTCGGCGATCCATTACTTCGAGAACGCTCTTTATACACTGGTAACGAGTTTCGTCTCATCCGTTGTTATGCAACGGCCCACTGTTGTGTTACCATGGAAGTGCCTATTCCAAACATGTGACAATATTTTTTGCTTCTTGGATTACAAAGTGGATCTATACATCATGATGGCATTTAACATACCTCATTTCAGTAAAACCAGTTCACACTGGATATAATCCTATATGCACAGAACAATTAGTGTTATGTGAACTCCTCTGTCCCTCAGATGCCTGGTACCAGTGACATGAAACAGAACAGCCACTTGCATAAGCAGTTGGCGATGTCAGATAACAATCCCATCAACTTAATATTTTCTCCAAAAAGTAGTTGAGAGATCAAAAGAGTAGTCACTTTTGTATGACAGTGCACTGTTCCATCTCCCTCCAATCCCATAAATGCAGAAGAGTGCCACTCAAACTTGATTCTGGTGTTGGTTCCACAGTATGTGGTCCCTTTGACTCGGCATACATGGGATAAGAAGAAACAATTGTGAATTGCTTTGAAGGACTGGAATGTTGCTGACTTTCAAGTTCTAAGTGAGAGATTATTTACTGCTATCAAATTAGCTTGTAGCATTCTGGGATGTGATGTCATACAGTGTTGTGAAAGGTTATCAGTGTTTCAGAAGAACCTGCTGCTTCCATCTTCAGGGTAGAAGGGGATGGAGGAAGTAGGCTCCTCCTATTCGGTGTCATGTCACTGATCACTTATATGAAACCCTGAAATCCAGATTATAATTTTTATAAATTTCATAGAGGAAACAAGGTTTCTTGATATTCAAGACACTCCAAGGAACTTCCCAGAGGCTCCAGTATATATCATGCATAACATATGAAAGTCTCACCTTCATTTTTAGCATCTGTGTGTACCCCACATATATAGTCTTCTGCAGAGTGAACGAAAAGTGACACAAGTCATTACTATTCTGCTTAAACACAGGTGGTAGGTGGCACAAAGCCAAGCAGTCACCATGTATTTAACTGTTTCAGTGTTGCTGCACGTAACCATGTAACTGTCAGTTTTGTGATATTGGTCTATCAATTATGTACATACTGTGTTCAGACACTGTCCCTCATCTTTCAGGTATATTTGAAATACGCTACATTTTGGAAGCAGGACACACTTCCATTACCAGGTGAGAGTGGGAGAAAGGATCCTAGTCATCTGGGCTGATTATGAACCCAGTGATCAAAACTAGTTCCTTCTAATGACCCTGATTAGGAACCTTTCCCACACTTACACTTGGTAACATATATAAATCCACCTTCCAAAACATTGCATATTTTATATACATATATTTAAGATGAATGTCAAATTTATATGATTCATGTAGTTTTCTGGTTATCTTTTTGTATGAAAAGCAGACACGCTATAAGTTGTATGACTTCTCAATCACTCCACAGTACACGAACTGCAGCTCAAAACAAAACAAATACGAAGCATTAACAGTACAGCTGTAAACAGTGTGATAGTACATTTATTTAATTAATTTATTTATTGCATTTCTTTATGCATAAGTGACATAAGGGCATGCACACAACTTCTTAGTGGTTTACTGTATATGGAACTGAAACACTGTAATATACAAGAAACCAATGAATGTATTTGTGACTCCAGAGAGGTTACATTAACTACAAGATATGCAAATGAAACCTTAAGAATGTAAACTTATTTCTGTAAGTGGAGACTTGTGAAGAGGACTGATCAGAAATGAGAAAGAAAAGGATACAAAACTGCTCAGAGCCAAGTGACAATAAAACTCACACATCCAGCATCCATAACATTCTCATTTTTATTTTTAATATTATTACAGGAAAGCACTGACTGCATTTTGAAGTTCACAGTACATATCCTCAGTGCATCTGGCAGGCCCTCACCATGATGAGCTGCAGCAGGATAAATATAGGGGCCAACACTTCGGAGTACTCATGGTTGCCTTGCCCTGAAAGCTTCTGGCACAGGAGGAACTTGAACACAAACAGCAGAACGAGGAATAAAAAGCTCCATGATGCCCGTAAGAGTGCCACCTTGTATAGGCCTTCCAGTTGCATCCGGATAAATACAATCGTACAAAAATATGCATTGAGTCCATCGCCTGCAAACAAAGGAGCAAACACAATCCACCATGCACTACCACCTGTAATAATATTTTCCACACGCAGAGCTAAGAGAATTGTGAACAGTGTAATGGCTAGAAGATTGATCCAGATCTCAAAGATCGTGAGTCCAAGCCATTGCACCAGCTCATTCAATGTGAAGAACATGTCTCTTGTGAAACCTCACAGTTCAAGATCACCTCTGAGCTCCACGCAAAGCTGTTCGGTACACACGGATGTGAACAGAAGAGTTCTGTCGCACGTGTGTCTCATACTCTCCTTGATCATCTAATGGCTCCAGGTCATCTGGAAGTTGCAAATCCAACTGAATTAGATTTTAATCCTTTCTAAGCTTATGTTTTTTCAAATATATTAATACATTTTGCTTTCGTTTCCACTGTTCACAAGCCACAAACTATTATCACATAATTTATAAAGATCAGGTTATCAATTCTTTCATGAATGTTTGAATATTCAGAACAGGGAAGAACAGAGCCTCTAACTGCATTTAAAGCGGTAACTTCTCTGCCGCCGTATCTACTACCTTCGACTGCTGTCTCAAACAAAATTCTTACAAAAGGAACTACGCATGCCAAAATTTCATGAAACAAATACTGCTGTTCTCATAAAACCAAATATGTACATATGAGAATGGCAAAAAATACTATGTTTACCATGTTAATCAACTATACTAACCCACAACGTCGACTGTGGAAGTGTTCACAGCAACCTCTACAGTCCCTAGGTGCTTCGTCTTAAGCTGAAGAGCTAAATTTACGGCCCGCGGGACTGCTGCACCCAGTCCATGTATCACAATATCTGACTCCCCTTCATTCAACAGTTTCTCACATCGCGAGAGCTGACCCTGTACATGAAGAACATAATATGTTAAAGTTCGTCATAGTGAAGATTCTGAGGTCCTCTTATTGGTTTTATTCTACATATGCACACCTGGTAATTTGACTTATTTGTAATATAAATGTCGTTATTCCTGCGTGGTAATCGAGGAGGTAAGCGTTTCCTTAAAGCGTAATCAGAATCACACTTATATTTTTTACGTTTGTCTTGCTTATCGCTTCTTCCACCAAACCTACGTCCTTCAGCATCAGCCATTTGCAGGATAACATACCTAACATACTCCTTGACGCTCCTTGACTGAAGTTTGCGATATGTGCGATTTCGATCGCGAAGCTCGATTAGATAATCGATTTTCAAAGAATTGAATCGGTCGAAGACCTTGTATATGAACAAGATCTACATTAAATAAATTTGTATTTATGGCAGCGGCAACACCAGCAACGAATAATGAAAACGTCGATCCAAAAAACATAATAAAGGCAAGAGATTTACTATATCGTTTGATGATAAGGTACGTTTTACACCTACAGTTCTATTGCCATTTGTATAATGTCGGTAACCTCACTTGAATTAACGCGTTCTGTATAGACATGTGTTGTTACCGCTCTAGACCTGTTCTTGGTTTAAGCATTTTTTCCTACGTTTTGTTGTTTCGTACATATTTTGGGATTTTAAAATGAGCGTTTGCAATAAGTTAGTTGGTATTCATTATGGATTACTTTTTCTTTTAAAACAAACAGTACACAACAAATGTACATTTACCCTAACGTTTAGCCCTACATTTCTGCACGAATGTTTCAGCCAGTTATTTTATGATGGACACCAGAGTTTAGCTGTAGGTCTGTCAGCAGTAGCACAAGCTGACCCACCATGTCCTCCATCAGACAGGCTGCTGCATGTGGTGATGGCAGGCCTTCAGCACGAACCTGAACGCCCGCAGAAAACAGGCGCTACTGCCCTGACGGTACCAGGACAGGAGGCTTCAATAGTAACAGGACTAGGTAATGATTGCTTTCAGCAGGTGGTCCCTCCATATTATTCTTGATAGTGAAATATGTTGAAGTGTATTCCACCTTTGTTTCCAGTCACTCACCTAACCCATAGCACGTAATAGCAAGGAAGGTTATCACTAGCAACATTTTTATGAGTAGCCAACTGGAACGAAATATAGGAAAAATACTGGAGGGGCAGTGTAAAAACTCAAGGGAGATCTGGAGGTGACCCATAGACCATGTTTTCAGAGCCCTGGTATTGTAGTCTAAAATGTGCTGTCAAAGACGTATTTCAATTTGTAGATCTGGAGTTTGAGACTGATGTGCAAACGACAGCACCTGAGCCAGCCCTGTATGAGACAGCCTATGTGACATCACACAAAGGCAACTGCCGTGCTGGAGCATTCAGTGTTGATGGGCAACTTATTGCTACAGGAAGTGTTGATGCGTCCATCAAGGTAAGTCCTTGGCCCTGGATCTGCTCCTCGCTTTAGATGTGATTCACTGTGGGTTACACCAATAAGACTAGAGAAACTGATGAAGGTTATTTGCTGTGAAGCAGAATTAAATAAGTTTTCCAGTTTTATGAATTGAATTTAATCTGTGTCAGAGCTTCAGTTATAAGAACATTGCATTTCAGTTATGTATACACCTCTAATAAACATTTGGTTTTATTAAAAACAAACTGAAAATTATTTCTGATTTTATGAAATATTTTACAGTCAGTGCCCTCAACATGTGGCCCTGGGATCGACTCAGCCTCTAACAGAAATGAGTACCTGGAATATTCTTGAGGGTAAAGGGTGGTTGGCACATAGGGCTCAACATCTCACAACCCTATGGGCCTCCACGGCCTGTTACAGGGATACCTTTACTTTTTTTTAATTTGTTTAGTGCCCTCAATATATGAGTATAGTTCTTGTTTTCATTTTCACAAAATCCAGCCTTGTGAAAGCATCAATATATGTGTTAGAAACTGAGTTGCCTTGTTAAATACATCGGCTGACTTTAATCATAACTTCAAATATGCATTTGATGTGTGTGAAAGGGTTTTTGGCTATCAATTTGCATGGTTCTGAAATATGGTCTATTCCAGTTAGCAGAGAACATACTTCAAATACTAAAGGAAATATATCAGCATGTAAAAATTGACTGTACAGTGAATGGAAAGACTTGCATTAAAGGGAACTTTATTATTTATATTGTCACAAGGTTGGTCGCTAGACAGGGCTCAAACTGATAACGGAATATATTTTTGGACACTTACTGCTCTGAACTACTAGTAATTCCAACACTTTTTTGGTTGCTAATGGGCCTTCAGTAACTCTGACCGTCTATATTAGTTCCATGCTCAACAGCTCCTGCTTTGACAGGTCCCTTTGGACCTCGCTGGCTGTAGTTATGTAGCTTCAGCACTGACCAATTGTTGTGTGTGTAATTGTTTGCCATAGAAACATGTTTTTATGAGCCACTGTATAGCAATTAATGCCTCGACAATACTTCTCTGATTCTGTTGTTCTGGCTTTTAGTTACCTTGTCACAATATGCCATGGACCATGGGGTTTCGTTGCACTGACCATGCAACACCCTCTGTCCGCTAAAGTTGGCACTAACTTCGCCGACAAACAGCAATCACTTTGTCAGTATAGTTTGCTTGTGGACTAGAGCCATGGAGTTTGGTTTTGTTTGTCACAATATGCTTCTCAGTTAGGTCATGGATATTACAATGCATGGACATGTTAGTTAGTCAGGAGAAAGCAAGAAATGCATGCAAGAATGTGGTGAGGAAATCTCCTGGAAAGCAGCCACTTGAAGTGTCATAACAGACATCAAGTAATAAATATTGAGAAAGATCTCCATATTTAGTAATGAAAATTAAACAGTGTGAAGAGAAGCAGTGTAAAGATGTCAGTGTTGTGTGCTGTGCAATTCAGTTGGATCTGAGGTCATTACTCTTGTCTTGACAGATCCTGGATGTGGACAGGATGTTGGCAAAGTCTGCTCCTGATGGTTTGGACCCATCTGGAGACTCCCAAGGCCACCCTGTGATCCGTACACTTTATGACCATCTTGAGGAAGTGACTTGTCTCGAGTTCCATCCACGTGAGCCCATACTGGTGTCTGGTAGTCGAGACTTCACAATCAAGCTGTTTGACTACAGCAAGACATCAGTGAAGAAGGCATTCAGGACCATTACTGTGAGTTCTTTGTAATGTTCAGAGTGAGTCTTCCAGTTGGTGTAATCCTCTGTTTAGCCTACACGTTCAGGCAGGAAGGAACTTTTCTACTTGTATGACTTGTAGTGCTGAGCACTGGCACTACAACTGGACTTGGAAACTTATAGTTCGTCTCTTTCTTCACAGATTTCACAATCTGGTGGATCTGTAGAAACCCAACTTGGCAACGCCTAGGCCGTTTTTATACATACATGAATTTCTTTTTCAGAAAACAAAACTGGCACACTGAATCTCACGACAAAGACGAATTGCAGTAAACCCCTCACTGATCTGGTTATAGTTAATCTGGATGTTGGATAATCTGGTTGAAAATATGAAATATGAAAAATGCCAAAGAATGCTGTCTTCTGGGATGTGGCTGTCAGGTCAATGCCAGCATGGTAGCCCAACCCGATTCCCCCTGACACAATCCTAATCTGGCTCTTGCCTGCTAGCTGCTGGCCCATCTCCACAGACCTTTCTCGTCTCCTCTCTATTGATTTCCCTTATGGCCCACTCTCCCTCCCCCCCTCCCTGTTCTTATATAGCTGGATGTTCTTTTTGACTGGTGACACAGTCTGCAGCCACCTGCTCAAGCTGGTTCCTCCCCAGAAGACAGCATTCTTCATAGTCACCACCGTGAAAACCTCAAATCTTACATATGAAAAGGCCGCACCATAACTCAAGCGGTTAGTCACTGGCTTCCCACTGCGGTGGCCCGGATTCGATCCCGGATCTGGTCAAGTGGGATTTGTGGTGGACAAAGTGGCGCTGGGCCAGGTTTTCTCCAAGAACTTCGGTAACCCCTGCCAATCTTCATTCCACCAATTGCTTCACAGTCACCCTCGCCTATCATCTGGGGCTGGTACAATAGGCCAGAAGTGGCCACAATACAAGGGACTTAGTCCCACCCCACTAGCAATAATAAAATACATATGAAAAATGCTGTTCACAATCTGGTACATACTTTAAAAAGATACATGGCATTTAGAAAGGTAGATCAATCACTTATCTCTTCAGACACAAGTTGACATTTTCTTCAAACCTGCATTATTACGTTGAAAAACAAGAACAGCTTCTGAGTCTTCTATCGATGAATAAATGCATTGTCTTTTTGTAGTTTTTAAATAAAGGCTCTCTAGCGATAGTTTGTTATTTATTTTCATCAGTACTACTTATGTCATTAAATTTTCCATTTATTTGTGTTCTAAGTATTTTTAATCTTCTATGGTTACCTTTTTGCTTCACTAATCCAGATTTTGCTTAATCCAGATGACCTACCCCACCCCAATTACCCCAGATTAGCAAGGGTTTACTATATAATGATTAGTTAAGTAGAAACCAAGGAAGAATGAAATGATAATAAGAAGATAAGATTCAAATACAAATTATTTTCATTCAGGATGGGCGGTAATGGTGTGTCAGGGGGTGGTCACACAGTTAGAGTGAAACATGTGCTTTGTGTTGCAGGATGCAGACCAGATTCGCTGCATGTCATTTCACCCCACTGGAGACTACCTCGTGGTGGGAACCTCGCACCCAGTTATCCGGCTGTATGATGTAATGACGGCACAGTGTTTCGTGTGCAGCATCCCCAGCCACCAGCACTCTGCCGGCATCACTTCCATCAAGTGAGTCAGTGGTGCGGTTGTCTATCTTCCCTACCCAGAACTTATAATGCATGGAGCCACAACAGAACCTTCCAAATTACTGTGGAACCCTGAGAATTTCATAGCCACTGCCTAACTTTTATTGTTGAATCAGCATCTTCAGCTCTGTTGTATGATGCAAAGAAATTATGAAATGTTTCTTTGCGCCTTATTCCACTAGAAAGAAGGAACATGAAATCTCACTTACAGAATATAATTTCCTTTACAAGAAATGTGGAAACCATTTCTGCAGTTTTCTAAATGAAATAGTTGTACAGTTCATAATTCAGTGGTTTTAAGTACATTTAAAATGCATGTAGGAAGGTCATATTGCCTGATATTCAATCAAAGATCTATTTATTTTTAAATTTCCCAAATTTTCAAATAATGTTGATGTCAGTTAAGATTCAGAAATATCTCATGCCTCTCCTACAACATGTTATGGAGAGACAGTTACAGCAATAATTTTGGCATCTTTATACGCATTTTGAAGTACAAGTTCAAATATTTTGCAGTTGACAGTATCGAGTTTGTAAAACAATTATTGCAATTGGAATGTACGATGTACCTTCTCCCAATGAATGTTACGCACTCAATGACTACTGTAGCAGCTGTGCATAAAATTCTATTTTCGTATGAGTATATGGCAATGTAGATAAAGTAGGAAGAAAAAAATGTTTTAAAATTTCATCAGATTTTTAAGATGTGACTTGTTATAATAGGCATAAACCCAAATTTGAAGTTTGAAGTTTGAAGTGATGATGAATGTTACTCTTTTTGTAGAGGATTTAAGTTTGTAATATCATGATGTGATGATTCTGACTTGGTTCCAGATATTGTCCTGATGCCAAGATCTATGCCTCAGCGGGTCGAGATGGCAGTATCAAGATCTGGGATGGTGTGTCCAACCGCTGTGTCAATACATTCCTGAAGGCACACGATGGTTCGGAAGTCTGCTCTGTGAGATTCTCTCGCAATGGAAAGGTATTCTCTCTTAGTATGTGTCACTGTAGACAGGGTTTGTATTGGTGAATAGATTTTTTGGCTATTTACAGGTTGTAACTAGAAATAACTATAACGCTATCACTATTTCCACGCTTTACAGTTCACTAGAGCACACAGGCTAGTGTGCTTAGTCTATTATTAGACATTTCCTGGTAACAGCTCCATCAGTGGCTATTCCTCTGTCTCCGGCTCAGGTCCCCTCTTCACAGAACTCGGCACTCTTGCTACAAACTTGCAGCTGTTTCACTGCCTGGCTATCAAGTGACTGAGCTCTAGACCTTCTGGTTGTAACTTCTTGGCACAAACCACCTCATTTGTGTCTGTTGCTGCAGGAACATGTTTACGGCTGTGGTATGTCTGCCTGTCTTACGGTTCTACAAGAACTGTACAAGAAATGAGCATGAATCAGGCAGCTTTGCTCATTAACCATGAAAATGGAGCCAGCATGTCCTCCTGAAACATCAGCTGACTTTCAGCAGACTATGCGGCATTATATCCTAAAGTGAAGAGCTTTTCAAAATCTAAATATCTCTCTTTAAGTTGATGTTTGTTGCAGTATTGCAGGTGATCAGGTGTGATCTGGTCTGTACCAACTGGGCGGAATAGAGCAGCCTTTTAAAAATTGTTTGTGGCCAGATATGGCATCCCTCTGCACCATGGATTTATATTGTGTTCCTGGGTGTTGCAGTACCTGCTGTCGTCAGGCAAAGATTCTCTCATCAAACTCTGGGAGCTGTCCACGAGTCGGTGTCTCATTGCATACACTGGTGCTGGTACCACTGGTAAGTAATGATAAGCAAATTTTAACTGGTTTCCAATACTGTAAGGTCTTCACTCAGTTGAATATAGGCAACAGATGTACAGTAAACCCTTGCTAAGCTGGTTACAGTTAACCCAGATGTCGGATGATCTGGATCAAAATACGAAAAGTGAGAAATGCTGTTCACAGTTGAGTACATACTTTAAAAGATGCATGAGATTTGAGAAGGCTGGCGAGTCACTTGTCCGGTCAGACAAAACTTGGCATATTCTTCAAACCTGTATTATTACATTGAAAACAAGTACAACTTCTGAGTCTTCTAGCAGTGAATAAATGCATCATCTTTTTGTAGTTTTTAAATGAAGGCTCTACAGTGATATTTTGTTGTTTATTTGCAACAGTGCTACTAATGTCATTAAATTGTACATTTATTTTGTGTTCTAAGCGTTTATTAATTTATTTATCTTTTGTCTTCTAGGGCTTCTTTTTGCTTCACTAATCCGAATGACCTCCACCCCAGTTACTCCAGATTAGTGAGGGTTTACTATATACAGAAACCCCCCCCCCCATGTGGTCTAGTGGTCAGAGTTCCTGGCTACAGATCCTGAGGTCCTGGGTTCAGTTCCCAGCATATCAGATTTTCTGAGAAGTAGTGAGTCTGGAACAGAGTCAACTCAGCCTCGTGAGGATAATTGAGCTATTTCAAGGAAATAGCGGCTCCAGCCAAGAACACCGAAATTAACAGCCATGGGGATACTTTGCGCTGACCCCACAACACCCTCGATCCGCTAAAGTTGGCACTAACTTGGTGATAGGCAGCGGTCACTCTATTGGTATATTTCGCTTGTGGACTCAAGCCATGGAATTTGTTTTTGTTTTTTGTTTACTGTATACAGAATTTTCCATGGGAAAACTGCTAAAAAGAAGCCACTTGTTAGACGGAGATGGGAGATGAATATTAAAATAATGAATGCCAAGAAGTATTGACAGAAAACGAAAAAGGAATAGAATCAGATATTAAATTTTTTGGAGAAGAAATTGTAAAGAATTTAATAATAGAGTAGGAAGAGAAATAATTACAGAGATTTCTTTCATATAAAGGGAAAGCAATGAGAAGGCTAAGCGAGGCGTATAATTAAACTTTAATACAAGACCTGTGGGACAGACCAGAACAAGATGGCTCAGGTCAGTTTTAGAGGATGCGAGGAAGGGAGGAACTATCTGGCCAAAGTTGAAAAGGGGTAATTGTGGGAATATGGAAAGAAGAAGAATAAGAAAAAAGTAAACTGAAAATGAACTAAGTTATTAGTAATCAATGAAATACAACTTTCTAATCCATTTTGATCTTGATTGCTTGTATAGGAAACTTTATTACATTAGTTTTGCTTAGGTTTCATAATGGTAAGTTGGCATTTAACCTGTTTTTCAAGTAGGCTTGTTGAACCATTTTGTCTATGCTTTGCAGTGGTCTTGGAGTAACATACCAGACCCATATTCGTAAGGTTCAGAGCCTGTCAATACCTTGTCAGGTCTGTATGTGGAGTTTTCTGCTGACTTAGGCCTTCACTTGTGTCCAGAGAAAACAGGAATGTGAAGAATATTCCCCCACTGCATCCTGTGGTTCAGAATCCATGTTATTTAGGCTGTAGATCCCTCTGCCAGCCTTTGCTCTCGTGATTGGCCTATCACTGCTGGTAACAGGATTTGCCCTGAGGTTGCCCACAGCTCAGTAACAGATTTTTCTCCCTCTTCTAATGGGCAGAAGCCAGGAAGGTGAGCACAGACCACAGCCGTGGGTACTGCACAAATGAGAATGTAACACATTCAAGCAATTCTAGAAGGCTGTTTCTGAAACATTGGCATTGGACTCTGGTTTATATCTTGTATAATTACCAGAATTATTGTGTAGGGTGGGAATTCTCTATTGTTAGTACACTTACGCAGATTCACCCTAAGCATGAATAAACATGCGTTTAAAATGGCTTTTTAGTGTTTTGTCATTCTTAGAGGTACTGTTAACAGAAGTATCAATATGTCATTGTTGTAACAATCACTTGTTATATGCCAGGCAAGCAAGAGCACAAGGCACAAGCTGTGTTCAACCACACGGAAGACTACGTGCTCTTCCCTGATGAAGCAACAACATCATTGTGTGCATGGAATTCACGCAACGCATCACGTAAACAACTCTTGTCACTTGGTAAGTTAGCTGACTGAATAGTATACTTTAATGGGTGGCACTTGTGCTTCCTGTGCTTGAAATCTCTGGATCATATCTTGGCTTAGAAGCTGCTTAATGTTTTCCATTAGGCAGGTCACTACAGGTTATGGTGGCTAAGGTTGTCTGTGGTCTTTCTCAGTCTCTCTCCAGGATAATACAAGGGTTTCCAGAAAGTAAAGACCGTTTTGTGCAGGTCAACAGATTGCGCCATTTCAAGGTTAATGGAGCCTCAGGAACCTTAGTAACATGCCAAGTGAATGACACTAATTCTGTCATTTCACAATTTTTGTAGTATTTCAAAGTGAATAAGAAAATTGAGGATCCTGCTGATTGTGAAGTGTGAGTTATAATTCGTTTTTAGAATGCACAAAATGTCTGCCCAATTGAAATTTACTGTCAACTTATTGCAGTGCATGGGGAAGGTGTAATGAATGAATCAAATGTGAGAAAGTGATGTCAGATGTTTAATGAGGGCAGGACAAACATTCATGATGAGGAGTGATCCTGATCCCTGTCCCTCATCACTGAGGACTTGGCTCCATGAAATAGCTGAGCAACTATTGGCTTTTCAAGAAGAACCTTGCTCCATGCAGTTAGTGCTGTTGTGCCCTTTTGTTAGAATACCATTCTTTGGTGGGGCACGCAGTAGCGTAGTTGTTTGAGGCACTATGCTACAAGCTGGAAGGTTGTGAGTTCAAGTCCCGATGATGTCATTGGATTTTTTTTTCAATTGACCTAATCCTTCCAGCCACACTATGGCCCTGGGGTCGACTCAGCCTCTAACAGAAATAAGTACCAGGAATATTCTTCGAATATTCTTGGGAGTAAAGGGTGGCCGACATGTATGGCTGACTACCTTGCCACCATCTATGAGCCGATTGTCTAGAAAATGTGGGAACCTCAACATCTCACAACTCTGTGGGCCTCCACACCCTGTTACAGGGATACATTTACTTACTTTTACTTTTAACATTCTTTGGTATTGTTGGAATGTCCTTCTTTGGGTAAATATCTGTGAGTTGTTAATCACTGAAAATTCATCAAGTATTTCGCATAGCGCGCACTATTGTATCAGTGTAGAGTGTGTATTGCAGGGGTATATTGTATATGGTGCTGGTATAGTAGAAGTATTGCCACATTTGCTATGGGTGTTACCACTTTGAGATGAAGCCCTGAAGATATATCGTGTATTTTAAACGATGGATTCACCATAGTGAGCAAAGAAACTGGTGATCAACAAGGTTTGAATTTGTTGCAGGACACAATGGCCCAGTTAGGCTTATTGTCCATTCCCCCACTGCACCAGCATTCCTGACGTGCTCGGATGACTTCAGGGCACGTTTCTGGTTCCGTAGGATGCCCATGCACTGATTCCAGGTAGAAGATGAAGAGATTTCTGATCCTGGATGTGCATCTGTCCATATCAGGGGATAGCAGTGCCGCCGTCTTCCAAGTACTCTTTTAATTTATAAGTAAATCTCAAACATAGGGAACCCAGATTCTGTTCAATAACTTCATAATATGGTATTTAAATGTTTCAGAAGATAGCTTTTTTGTGTATACACGTGATGTTCTGTATACTCCAGTAATAATCACCACAGATGTTTATAAAATTTTGTGTTTGTTAATGTTCTTATAGCTATTTGTTGTCCCATGAAGACCTGCTACTACAGCAGTTGACAGAGCATAACAAAAATTACTTTTATAAGTCAGTGTTGTTACATGTTTTTTAACCCTTTCTTAGCCAAAATAAGAGGTCTTAAGTTTTATGGTTCTCCAAGACTGGCAGCCATATTTTGATGTGGGTCTAACAGTACTGATATGGAAGGACTACAGGAGCCAGCTGGACTTTGCACATGCTACAATAAAGTAATGCAGCACAAAGCAAGTAAAGGAATAGAACTTCGGAAGCATATAAATGCTTAAGAGAATTTGTTGCAGTCATTCATTTGAGCTCCTGCACTGAAGATTGTTCCTAAACCCTTGACCCTTGGAGTGCGCAGTGTGTTAAAAGAAAAACAGTTTGTCTTTCATGTTCATATCGAAACACTTTGTGTCTTGGCATGTTGTATCTCACAGAACATCACATCAATTTGTCACTCGGAATTTAAATTCCTTTCTTATATGAGGGGCAGTCGAAATGTTCCCAGGATGGTGATATAGCACTCTAATGGTAGGACATACGGCAACACTTACCTAATCACCTTCAAAGTAGGGCCCGTACGCACACACACTTGCTCCATCGATCCCGCCATTGTTAGAAGCAGCGGTGGAAGGCTTCATTTGGAATCTTCCGGGGCTCAGCTGTCACATTCGATTTTATGTCCTCCATGGTTGCAAAACGTCTCCCTTTGAGGCCCATTTTCAGAGTAGGGAACAGCCAAAAGTCACTGGGAGCGAGATCTGGAGAGTACGGTGGTTGAATGATGACAGGAATGTTTTCCTCAGTGAAGAAATGCTGCACAACAAGCGATGTGTCATTTATATAATGCCTGACTCACACAGTGATTGCACCAGACTGTTTTTTCTGCTGTTGCAGGTATGAAATTTCAGTGTGTTTTGTGTTCTCAAAAGTGAGAGCTTTAGAAATATATCTTTAAATTTTCCATTCGCTACAAACATGTGATTTGTGTTGCAGAAAGTAAACTGTATCGTTTTTAGTTGTCATTAGCTCCAGCTCATTGGGATTTAGCAGTGTGCAGTTTATAATCCTGTTTCCATTAGTGTATCAAGTAGCAATAAAGTGCACAAGTGCCACAAGTTGAGTATAGCTAAGGTTTTAGGGTTTAACCATGACATGTGTTGAAGCTATACAGTGTTTTTGGCATATTGCAATTACCATCTTCTGGATGAGTGCTGGAGGTGATTCAGCTGAACCCTGAAAACCAGAGTCATACATTAAGCCACAGGCCATGAAACCTAAGGACAGGAGGTTGCAAGCAAAGGGTTCGACACAGTACTGTGAACCGTGGCTCTTCCTGACCTGTCACTGTTTTTCAAACTGGAGTGGATTGTATGAGGGATAACAGATTGTAGCATGTTCCACAAATGTTACAGTCACATATTTGTTACCATAAGTCCATGCCATTTCACCACTGTCCTCCTGCCTTGTAACATATTCACATTCCTGATTTCTGTTATGCCTTTTGTACATTTTCTTCTGTCGGTGCACTGTGTGGGGATGGTGGGTGAGGTTCATGACAGGTAAAACAGTCCACATTTGCAAAAACATGCTCACTGCAGCAGTTTTCAGTTATCTGTAGCATTTTATTTCCATTTGTCATTCACCGTCAGCAGGGAGTTAATCTTTCTGTATCATTTAGCGAGTTTATCACAGATATTTATTATTCAGTCTTATACAACGTGGCAGTCCGTTTAAATGCCCACACAGTAGTGTATATAACCAGACTCGGTCTGTGATAACTGAATATGCCATGGAACCGTAACTTAGCATTACCGAATTTAGAGTTTTTGCCCATTTATCCTTTAATTTCAGTAATGCCAAGTCAGTATTCTTAATATGTCTGTTGCTTTAATATTTTCCTCAGTTTAATGTTGAAATCCACTAATCCTCAAAAACATTTTAAATGGGCTTTATACTTATTTTCAGTAACCTGTAGCGAGTGTGATCACTTTCAAAGTACTTGCTTTCTACATTCCAGCATCTCTGCTGTGCCTCAAAAAATATTTCTGGAAATTATTTTCCGTAAGTTCCTCTTGTCACGTTGCTCTGAATGCCTAGTGGCTCCAAATCAAACATTCTGAACGAGCTTTTTAGTTTTCTGAGTATGAAAACATAACACAGAACTAAACAAGGTGAGTACAGCTCTCTGTAAATGTCCTACTTCATTTTGTGAAAATCAGTTTCATTTCTCTCCAGTTTCACTCAAAATTTAATATTGATTGTGTTGTAACAATTGTCAATTATGTTTCTAACATAAAAACAAATCATTGTCTTTAAAACACTGCAGGCAAAGAAGAAATGAAATGCAAATGCTGCTGTTATATGATCCATCTCATCACTGTGCAGTCATTTCCCACAGTGGTGTCATTGCCAGTCTAATTATTCACTTGTCAGGCCTCATGTTTGTTGATATGAAGAACCTATTGCATTATGAATAAAAATATTGTCTTTTTACTTATATTTTGATTTCCCAAGTGGTCTGTTTCCATGAAGTTTCAGCAGTAACATAGGTTAAATTGTCCCAGTGCATATGCAACAAAGTTGTGTAGGTGGCATGGAGATAAAGCATCAGTCATTCTGAGCGTCTGCATGAGATATGAGTGGTCACCAGATATGCTACCTATATTCACTGTCCATGTAAGTAATGAAACATCCTGTCTGTTTGTTGTTAATCCGTCCCATCTTTTGAAGCATGTGAAGACTTAACTTAAGATGTTAAATGTTCTTCAGTCTTACCACTCAAGGAACTGATGATTCAGAGATATTTTTAATAATATCAGTTTGTCCATTAATTGAATTTGTTATGTCTTGGTTCACTGGTACATTTTATATATAACAAAGTGACTCCATGGAGCAAAGTCCTTCTTCACCTGGTTATGAAATTCACTGCAGCAATTGAAGAAAAGAAAACTTTGCAAGAATACAACAAAGAGAATGGTGTATGGTGACAGATGTTCCTTTTATGTTTTATTTGTAAGTAATTTTTTTGGTTTTGTATAATTTACAAATATTTTTGGGACTTGATAATATCCAAAGTTAAAAATAATCACTTTGATGAAATTGTTCAATTAGAGCTACAATTTTACTTCGCGTATGAAGTGGGCCCCTTTTCACGTGGCATGTCCTCAGGGTGTAGACTGAATTTAGTATTGTACTTCTTTATTTGGAGTTTTTTAATAAGTTAAATATGAAGGTGATTTTTGGTCTTTAAATGAATTACTAATTGTAATTGACTTGAAATGTTGATGTTAATTTTCATAGAGTTTTAGAATTAAATGTCACAAAAATTCAACACGGTGTCCAAACGGAACGATATGGCATATGTATGGATTTCTTCTGTCTCCGTTTGTCATTCAGAACATGAAAATGTGATTTCTGAAAAGGTAACAACATTCATTTTTCCGTATGTCTGTTTTTGGTAAACCATGCCCAAGTGACGTATTTTATAATATCATGAAAGTGAATATGCCGTGGAGAGTTGTATTTACTAGGACTGTAGCAGTTTCCTCCGGTATTGTTAGTTGAGTACTGAGATGCACGTTTAGTGTGAATGCGTGTTCTGGGCTGTTCTAGAAATTTGAAAAAAAGGCGCTAATATTTGGTTTAGAATTTATCCGAGAGAAGTCGCTGCTAAGACATATTTTTGAAGTTCAAGTGCGGTCACGTGACCCACGCTAACCGCCATCTTTGTGTGCTGTATAAACACTCTAACCGGGATAGTGACGATTTCAAGATTTGTTGGAGTTTTTTTAGTGTTTATAAGTGATTAAGTGAATCAGAAAATGTCTGGAGAGAAAGTGGACGTCAAGAAAGAAAATGCAGTTGATGTTTCAAATAGGGTAATGTTATATTTGTTGCTATATATGGTGCAGAAATGTTCATCCCATGCTGGCCCAACGTGATGAAGAAATACGGGAGGCCAACAGTAACGTTGAAAAATTGCAGTATTCAGCCGACTTAGAGCTAAGAATAGATATTGATTACGATTGAAGTAGAGGTTTCAGTGATCCTAATAATGCATGAATAGAATCTTAATTACGTGGGGAAGTTGCTTCAGTCATATTTTAAAGTTATGATATGTGTCCTTCAATGGCGGGGTGAAGTAAACTTCGGTCATCGATATCCATCTGGCGGGAAAGCAGAGAACTTCGAAAAGGGGCGGCAATTTGGAAAGTTTGAATTTAATTAGATCTGTTTTAGATGATTATGCAACATAATGACCATCGTATATATTTACACGTCTGTTACATAATTAAGTGAATATTGTGGAAATGTTATTTAAGCCCGTTATTATCAATTACATGCATATATAGCATCGAAGTAGGTGAAGTTATTCAGTGGTTCATGTAATTTGTGATGTTATGGCTAGGAATCAGAAGACGATGCTCCACAAGGTCGCAATCGAAGAAGTGGTGGGAAAAGAGTGTCTACAATTACTAGAACTACCCAGGAAGGAGAAGCTCTTTTGAAGGTACCTAATAAACTTTCTCTTTTAATTTATTTTATATCACTCTCTGTAAGGAGACAGATGAAGTTACATGAAAATAATGATATGCAGTTTTAAAACGTGAAGACCGTGGCTTATTGATGTTTAAACGTTTGTCTTGCAGGGTTTGGGGCATGAGGAGAGTGGGAGTGTGGAAGTAGAGAACAGGCGACGCACCAGATCTTCCACCAGAGGTGTCCCACCCACTCCACCTCCTCCAGTCAAGAGAGAAAAGAAAACACCACCTTCTGGAGGAAGGGGTTTGTTAATATTTTTCTCTCATTATGACTTTATCAGTACATCATTTGTTTAGTTAAGTTTTCTTGGATCTAGTGGCATCTGTGGTGTTGACTGGGCTCACATTTAAATGTAGTCTTATAAGAAGATTAGGGTGTAACATTTGGCCAGAGTTTGTTAAACAAGGTGAAGATATTTGCAAGGAAGACATGTTTGTGTCATGTCTCCATTCTTATCTGGCTGTGAGCGTACAAAAAGTTGCAATTTTCTTTCGGTTTCAGATGAGATCAAGACCAGGTTAAAAAAAGTATTGAGAATTGAAATAAAAAGTTTTTCTAAACCAAATTTTTTTTTGTAATCACAGATGCCACCATCCATCTTCCTCACATTTCAGCAAAGCATAGTTCTACTGCCTTTGCCATCCAGATTACACCACAGTAGTTTGCTTCATGTGTAGTTTTCATGTAGTCATACTTTTCGTTGTTAATTGAGAGCCAGTTTGTTTTTAATTATCTGTTTATTTTATTCTGATTTATATATTTGTTGTTATGTTTCCTCAGTTTGAAATCATGAGCAGATAATATCAGATATTTGTTCTGTCACTTTTCCTTATATTTTTTGTTACGCTTTGAATAGTTCTTCCATATATTTAACTAATGTGCTTACTAACCAAAGACAGTAGTGCTGTGTATTTGGGGGGGGGGAAGAGGCATCTTGGAAGTCCTTGATGTAGTGCCACTGGGTGAACACCCAATTGCAGTAAAATAATAATAATAATAATGTAGATGGCATTAAGATGGATATTAATGAAATAGGAAATGGGCTGGATTTATCTGGTACCAGTGATGGACTCTGTATATACAATTATCGGTGTATAGCGGTTGAACCCCAGCTTTATCCCATGAACTTGGTAACACACAGAACTTTTGGTTGAATCATTTTTTAATATGGATATTCGACGAGATACAAGAAAATCACATTTTTCTGTCCTGTACAATTCCCTGTGAGCAGTATACTAGCTGTGAGGACTGGTAAGATTTATATTTGCAATGAACATTGTGCCCAGAATAATGGGGTACTTTTGAGAAATGTCTTTCTGTTCTTCATTGGAAATACAGTTTGTATTTGTTTTATGGTGGATGAGTGTAAGCAGGTGTAAGGCGTGTAACTGCAGAGTAGGCCAAGGTTGGAGAGAAAGTTAAATGTGAAAGTGTCTTTCACTGTAGCTAATGGTTTCCATAGCCACTTATAAGGAGAATCCCTAATGTTAGAGATGCACATAAGAACTGGTGTAACCCAGAGAATGTAAGTCCAGACGTGTCTGTAAGAATGGTAGAGGCTATGTGTAATATTTGTGTTACACAATTCTAAGGAATGTATGATAGAGTAGGACATCTGAGAGGGAGAATAGGGCATTAAACACCACTGGAATGTAGTGGCATTCCCCACTTGCCCGTGTGGAAGGAAAACTTGTCTTAGGAAAAGTTTGAATGCAAGCAGTTGCAATTAAATGCTCAAGTATTGTCAGTAGATGTACCAAATTAGACAGAACTAAAATCATATAACCGTGTACTTCCTGAATGGAGTTGGCTGATGTACTTATCATACGTTTCTGATGGTGGAGTGAATGTAAAGGTGGGAGCAGAGATGATATTCGTTGTGATGTGTTGTGTGTGAAAACTTCCTGTTGCCCATTCCGGGTAGAGTGGTAACCTACAAGATTACCACTGTGTGGTATCTTTGTTATAAGATAACTGCTGGTTGTTAAACCTGTCATATGCTAAATACTGGATACAGCTTCATGCAGCAGATGAAACAGATGCCTTATTGAAAGGCTAATATTTCTCTGCTAGTTGAGAATTTCCCTGTGTTTAATGGTTCTGACTGAAGTACCAAGTAATGTGGCCACAAGAATTTGTCACTGAACCACTTCAATTGATTCTGCAGTCTCTGTCCCTACATCTTTGAGATTCATTTGAATATTCCCCATCTACATTTATTTCTTCCAGGAGGTTTGATTCCTTTAGGTTTCTGATCAAATTGCGGTTATGCTGTTCTGATCTATCCTCCCATTTTATTTAATGATGATAAACACTATCAGGTGACAAGTACAAATTATGAATCTCTTGCTCGTGCCATTATTTTTCTTCCAGCCTCCTCTCTCTTTTGGGCCAAAATTTTCTGAGGACCCTGATCTCAGGCACCCCTAATATATTGTTCTTGGAGGTGCCTGGCTCAACTTTTGAGTGGTTTGCCATCTACACTGGCAGGAACTCCAGGAACATATCCACTGTTGCATGTTTTCGGATGTTTCGTTCTTCTTGGCACTGTAACGTCTGTGCTTGATGCAGTGTTGTTAAATGAGATAGCAGTTAAGCCCTGCCAGTGCTTTGCTTTTCTCACTTACATTATTGGTGATGCCCTGTGTTAAGTCTGATTGTCAGATATAGCTGTTGTGGGCCTGTGTGAGGTGTGGAACTGAGGCTGAAGGCTACGCTTGTTTTGCAGGTTCACGACGTGGCAGGCCTAAGAGAGAGGAGAACCAGGAGGAGAAGCCGAAGGAGGATGGCAGTGAACAGGAGACCACTAATGATGCGGCCAATGATAAGAGCGGTGGGAAGCCCGGTGTAAGTGAACAATCGCAAGGTGTACATGTTGATTCCAATCAGAAGACTGTAGCACAGAACTTGTGTGGTGACATTAGCATAACATGGGGTGACTAGATTCGGGATAGAAATAACTGGGAGACGAGGAGAACCGCCAGTTCCTTGTCCAGGGTATGGTTGTCTCTGTCACAGTATATAGCAGCTAGATCTTGAAAAAAGAAAAAATAACACCCCGATTAAAAAATTGAAGTTTACTTGTGTGGTTTATAAAACAGAATCAGAATTGTGAGTAAGGCGGTATCCAGAAGCTGTGTTGCAACACTGGTTGGTTCACCATAACAGCTGTGCATCTCCTATATGTTGGCAAGGGGCGACAGACTTCGAGAGAGACCTGTTTATGATGTCACAAAGTGGGTTCCCCCTGCCAGAGGTTGGGTGTGGGTGCTTATATTAATGTCCCATCTGAAAGTTTGACTCTTCATGATCTTAATTCCACAGACATGAATGGGACCTAAGAATGCTGTCAACTTAATGACATTTATTTTTTGTATTCACAGTTGGTTCTTGTCATGTTCTTCATCCCAGTTGGAATTTTTAATGTAGATGTTGTAAGTTTTGGGACATGTAGCCCCTCTGGTGCAGTCCCCACATTAAGAAAGAGCCTTTAGTGAAACACTGTGGCAAGTTCTGTTGTGTATGTCTTCACACATTGATTCATAGGCATGCATGCTTTGCCCATATCTGCAGGCTGCGTTTACAAGTTATATCCTGGTTACTGACTACTTATGATGTTCAGTAGTTAGAAGATGGGCTGGATGTGGTGATTGCCGCATGAGGAGTGACAAATCTTTCACAAGTATGGAGAGAAGGCGCAAGCGAATGAGCCAAAGAAATATTTTGAGCATCCATGCAGTCTTTTGTCTTTTATTTCTGTCTAGCCTCTGTTGTCCAGTGTTGCTTGTTGGTGGTGAGCTCAGATTGTTGCTTTGCATGTGTGGATGTGTGAATTGTTGTGGGGCCTGTTTTCGCCCAGGCTGAGGAGATGGAAGAGAAGGACAAGAATACTGAAGGAGGTGATCTGGAGAAGAAGATGGAAGTTGATGAGGATAAAGCGACCCCTGCAGCAGCAGATCAGGACTCAAGCAGTAGTCAGACACAGAAGTCAGAATCAGCTTCTGACGGACCGGAAGGTGCGGTGCCAGTAACTGAAAATGCTGAAAATGCAGAGGTAAGAAGCAATGGGCAGCTCATGTAAGTCTCCATTGTCTGATGAACGCCAACACATCGCTGAGTTAACAGGGGAAAAACAAGTATGTTTTAGACTATAAATCAACAAAAGGTTATGAAGTAAGGTAAAATTTTTCCTGTATTGAATGAAGTACTATGCCATGAAAGCGTATAGGGGAGTGGAAGTATGGGTCCATGTATCTTTAACCTCGGCACGAGGTGGAGGTGAGTGGTCAGCTTCATGCCTCAACCACTGAATGCTGATGGAAGGAGCATAGGATGCAAGGTGCCCCCCCCAAATGTAGTTTGGATAAAATTGAACACCTGTTAGAATTTAAAAGGTGAATCATATGGCTTCATGTACGTTGTACAGAAAACAAGTAGAAGAAAGTGTTGCTGTTGAAATCTTTATTTTTATAGTTGAATTTTGACTGTAACCCATACTAATACTCTTGTGATGAAGCAGCAAGACCAGGTGGATTTTGCTAAGTGTCTGTTAGATGTGCATTGCATTTCTGGGGCCCTGATCAGAGATTCAAAGTGCCTGGGATTGTGATGATTGCAGAGAAATGTTTTGGTTTTGGCTTTGGCTGACCACCATTAAAGCAATTTGGACTGAAATTCTGGCAGTGAGGGAGAGTATTGAGAAAATGATTTGGTTTTGTGATATTTACATACATAAGAGTAGGAACATAGGTAAATGGAAAGTGTATATACAGAAGGGTCTTGAATGTCTAGTGAGAGACAGATTGGGCACCTGACCTAGTAGGTTAGTTAGATTTGCCTAACATGAATGAACATAACTTGTTATTATGTATACATGATGTTGCAGGCCAAAACTCCGGACGGGAACCACGAAGAAGCTGACAAACACCCGTCTCCAGCGAAGGAGACTGCTGATGCCAGTGAGAGACCAGGATCCGTGGCTGAAAACGAAGTGAATGAAGACAAGGCCCCTAGCAGTGAGGACAAGCCTGCCCCGGTCCCAACAATACCGGCACCAGCAACAACAGCAGTAGTCACGCCTACAGCAGATGGGAGCAGTGGTGACCCCAAAAAGCCCGCCATCAGTGTCATACCCCCCACCATTGAAAACAACAAGGTTACTGTGCCCACAACAACAGTGACGGGATTGACAGAAGAAGGGAAACCGGCAGCAGCAGAGTAACAGTCGTCTCTGGGCTTCGTGTACCTGATTTTTATATGATGTAAGTATGCAGTTCCGCGGGCTCCACATTCTGTCTGTCAAAGTTCAGCATGAGTAACAGCCGTTGTTTCTCTTGCAGATCCCTTTTGACGTTGAGGCGTCATATTTTAAATACAGTTTAGAACAAGTTGTACAGAAGATGAGTGAGAGAACGAGCGAGAGGGACTAGAACATTTGCCCTGTAAAAAAACCAAGAAAATGAATTAAAAGATATAATATAAAAATGGGAGTCTACAATAGTGTTACATATGTGTGTGTTTCATCTTATTCTCGACACAGTGAAATGGTTGGTAAGTGCTGCTGGTCACCTCCACCCCACAGGAGTTCCAAATCATCCTGCACAACATTTCTCAGAAACTGGTGTGATGTGTATGTAACAGCATCTCTGGAGTTCAGACATTGTGCATTTCATCATTCAGCTGTTTTTCCTGTGGTTTAGTTTCTTCATCTTCACAGTTTTATAAGATTGTCAGTTCTGTGTGTTACTGAAACCTGTTAGTGGAAGATGCATTTCGTTGTATGTTTAAAATGATTTGCATATTATGTCTTAATTTGAAAGGCAGTATTTTAGGTGGATTTTGGAATATATCTGTTGCTTCAGAATGACCCCAACATGGAGAATGTATTGATGAGGGTCAGTTGGCATATTTTCGTTGGCTAACAGCTGGTTTTCTAATGTATGGATGTTTGTTGCAAAAGTATGCCTCTTTGTGTCATACTTGTGGCTGCATTTTGTTAGCACCAACTCAGGAAATCTAAAAAGAAAGCATAAACTAACTAGTACCTACCTGTTGGCAGTGGCAAGCACAAGTGTGTCACAACTCACCCTCTGCCCCGTTGTCTGAACCTTCCTGAACAAGCGCAGATCTCCAGTGGTCTTCTTTTCATTGTTTTTGTCTCATCTCCTTCTGTACTTCTTCCAGTCTGTGCAATGTATTTGGTGTCTAACCTCAGGCACTCTGGGAAGACAGTAAAATAGGAATTGGGGGGGGAAGGTTTGTATCTAATTTTCAGAGAAACCAGTGTATTGACAATCTATACATATTTAAAGTATATGATGTTTAGAATTAAATGCTTTTCTTTTTCCCTCTCCATCACATAACAGTGCAAAGATAGAAGTTTATGACAGTTGAGGGGGGAGTTCTCAGTTCTAATGTAATTTAAGTTAAACCTGCATGAAGAACAGAACTCTTTTTTTTTTACAGAATGTGGGTTTAGAGTTTATCTTTGTTTCAGTTACTAAAATCTTATAAGTAATCACTCAGTTTTAGGGACTACATTGAATGGTATGTTTTGCCCTTCTGTAAACAGTGTGACAAAACTTCTGTACCATCACTAACTGTTTAAAATTTACATTCTTTGTCATTGTATTACAGTTCTTGTGGAAATTGTTCATACAATTGCTAATTTATTTTATCTTAATTTATTTTTTTGTTCCAAGAATTTTATAGGGTTTAAAAAACTCAGCAGCCCATGAGTGTTGGGCCCTAAGCATTCCTTTGCACTGTCTGTAACTTCAAGTTTGTGTCAGCTGTTGTTTGTTAACTAAGTCAGTGGGCAATCTGGTAAACTAAACCTCTTGAGGGAGGTTTTGAAAATGAGATGTATTTCAGATTTAAAATTCATGCCATATTTTCTCGACCTTATGATGCACTTTGTGATGTAATGGATCTTCCACCAAGATACTGATAATGTTTGGAAACCTGAAATAACATATTTGTTTTTGAAAGTGAATGCAGAAAATTTGTGCATTGATTTTAGCTGGTGGCAGTAAGACGCTGCAGTTTTAAAACAAATCTTATATTGTGGTTTGAAACTTTCTGTTTACAGCAGAAGATTTGACGAGACTGGTATATGAATGTTTTCCTGCATGCACCTTAAGGTTGGAAAATATGGTATGCCCGTGTTTATGTATCAGTTTTATTTACGGACTACAGACTTCAGTTTCTGTAATTTGTTTACTTATGTGTAGCGAGAAGGTGCGATGTCCTGCTGTTAATATTTTCTAAAGAATGTCAATTAACATCAACATGGGATGGGAGTGCAATCTTTGTTTCTTTTTATTTTATATTGATGTGCCATTTCTGCTAATTCCCCCCTCCCATTGACCAGAATTCTGTCGAGGAGTCAGGATGTTGCAGAAAGGGCAAAACTTAACACATTTCACTGCATCCATCCATCCATCCATCTGTAATAGTCATTCATTGTCATCCTCAGATCAACTTGATGTTTGTAATTACTTGAAGTCATTATTTCTTGCTACTATTTTTAGTTAGGTCCCTTTGAGCAGGTCTGTAGCAGATGAATGTGTAGTTTAGGTATCTGTCAGTATGTGAGTAGTAGCATCATCTCTTTCTAGGGACTTGCTGTAGAGAACAAGTTTGTAAAAATTCCATGTAAAGCAGTGGTTTTAACACGGAAAAAATGTTGCCGAAAGTAATCAAAATTGGATTTCTTTTTGATTTGAGGGGGCGAGAAAGACTACTGCTGCCTCATTTAAAATAATAAATAGAACACAAAACTTTGCACAATGTTTTCATTTACAGTGCACTTGTTACCACATACATACCTTCAGACGTTGGGAAACTGGGTGTAGTTACGATGAGAAAAATAAATGATTGTAAGGAGTTGAAACATGAAGTTTGTCGTATTCCAGATGTTTCCAACATGACATTTGCACCCTGAGGAAGACAGTAGGATACATGGGATGCCATGATACAAGGAATTGAGGGGATCAGTGTAGCATGAACTGTTGCGTTGACAACATCTGGGATTGTGGTTTGGAGACTCTCTCTCAAAAGTTTTTACCTCCCAGCATCCTCCAGCTGTCAGACGGGTCACTATGCAAAGCTTATTATTATGTAACGCTACCTAGGGAGGTCAGTATGCCACAGTCACTCAGCCAGTCCTTCCTGTGCATCCCTAGCAAGTGTGGCGTCATTCAGTTTGTAGCTTGTTTGGAGTGTTGTTGCCCCATCAGTTACGTTCACAGTAAGTTAGGATTTGTTACAGACATCGGCTACAAGAGACACTTTTAGCCATGTGTCCTGTTGTCAGGGTTGAGTGTGGGATAAAACCTGTCTCTCTTCTGCTTCCAGCATTTCGTCCATCCAGTGTATTCCCAGTTGTCAGCCAAGTGTCTCTTCATTTCGTTTAAATTTTTCCCTAGGGCTATACCAACCTGGACATAAGGTTGACCACCCTACTGATGTTAGGAATGTGATTATCTGTCCCTTTTTCAGTAATGATGCTTAATTAAGCTGAGACAGAGTGAGTAGGTGACACAGTGTTTCTTTCTATTTTCATTTGGATGAACAGGGCTACATTCTGCTGCTCTATAAAATTGCATAATGAAGTAGTCATGTAGTGAGGTTTATGTGTATACATCCTAATGGAACTTCACCTTTCAGTTTCTTTCAGGAAATGTGAAAATATAATTCAATAGGAATGTAAAGCCTTACGCTGTTATTCCATGCCTAGCCAAGAGAGAGTGCACAGCACAATCTTTTACACATTTTACTACTTTCTTCAAGAAGTCCAGTGGGAAGTGTGTTGAAGGACCAAGCAGTAACAGAGTTGTCAGGAAATGGACTGTGCCAAGGGCTCAAGATCCTGTCTAGTGGCATATGTTGATGTTAGTAGTGTTGCACTTTCACGTTCCGGTGCAGAAAAGCAAGACAGATGTGTTATTTAGTTCAGATTTTTAAACGTTTAAAGTAGTGATTTGTTGTAGTTTCTTGCACAGTGTTTCCATTTGCATAACAGTGAACCGATACACATCACTTCTATTAATGTCAGGCTGATTTAAAGAGACATTAGAATCATGTTATTTGTTTCCACTTAACAGTTTTAGACTGTGACGTTCAGTGTCGCTGTGTGAACTCCGCTGCTTGTTATTGTCCATGAGAATTCTGTTTTTAACAAGGTTCATGCAATTGGTTTTGAATTCAAAGAATGCCTGTGGACACTCGTCTCCATTTGTACATGCAGTATTGATCCATGAAAATGTGAACTGTGGTCCAGATACCGAAACTGACTTTCATGGGCGCCAGTAGAACCACATTGAAATGTCATAGCATGAAGGACCCCCAGTGATTTGTGTATGACATATGTTTGTTTTTAATGTAAGTCTCATCATCAGTTTTATCGGGCTTTTGTATGCTGACTTATACTTTCTCTTGTATTCCGTACCAGGCCTTCATGTTAGTGAATTATATGTGAACATGCGTAACATTTGACACCTCATGAATAAAGGGTAAAGGTACAAAAACTATCCCTGTAACAGGACATGGAGGCCCATAGGTTTGTGAGATGTCTTGGCTCTCACTTTTTCTAGATACGTATAGTTGGCTCACAAATGGCGGTGAGGTTGTCAGCTTTATGTGCTGACCTCCCTTTGCCTCTGGGAAGATTCCCAGTATTTGTTTTGCTACAGGCTGAGTCGACTCCAGGGCCATAGTGCGGCCGGAAGGATTGGGTTAATTGAAAAATCGAATGACCTCATCCGGAATCAAACCTATGACCTTCCAACTTGTAGCATAGTGCCCTCACCCTCTCACATTCATTAGCTAGCACAAATAATCAGTTATTACCTGTTTATATAGTATATAACACTTCACATATCCACATCAAAATATTGTCAGTAGTCGAGACATACATAGGATAACTGCGTCACTTATGTTCATGCAGTATGTTGGTGCTTGTCATTCTGTTGCTGTGGTAACCCAAAGTTGCATAATGACAATGGAAAAATGGCAAACAAGGTTGGGAATGTGAGACTAAAGAAGAATACTGAGTAACAAGTAGAGCCGAGTGGGAGCATTGGGAATGGAGACATGGATAGATGCTGCACATTAAGGAAGAAGATGGTGAAAATGAGTTCAGTTTTGGTCTGCACTTGAGCATTCTGTTTGTAGTGGTACTGAATTGCCTCCTCCTGGAATTTGTCTTTTTCTTGGTTAGCTCTTTCACTGCGTCTCGTTCCAAGTTTCATTACAGTTGGTTAACAAGTTCAAGAACCAGTAACAAGAGAAGAAAATGCTTATGTGGTATGGCGCAATAATGCCTGTAGTTGTAATAATCTTTTATTAGTAGTATTAATATTTATTTAAATTAGAAATGGTTTTGTTTTTACATCAGCATAGAAGAATGTTATGTGATGATAACAGCAGGGATGTCATTATAAAAGCCTTTTATCAAAAGCACAATACAGCAGCAGAAGAGTAAAAAAAAAAGTAAAGCTATCCCTGTAACGGGCCATGAAGGCCCATAGGGTTGTGAGACATTGATGGTCCCACATTATCTAGACAATCAGCTCAGAGATGGTGGTAAGGTTGTCAGCGTTACACGCCGGCCACCCTTTACTCTCCAGGAAAATTATTTAATTAATTCCTGGTACTCATTTCTGTTAGAGGCTGAGTAAACCCCAGGGCCTAGTGCGGCCAGAAGGATTAGGTCATTTGAAAAAAGTCCAATGACCTCATCGGGTCTTGAACCTGCGACCTTCAGTACAGTACAAAAACAAACAGCTCCTGGGAACCAGAGTACCAGGAAGTAATTTTATTTTTAAAGTTGTTACATGTGTTTCTTTATGTGCCATCACAGTGTTAGTTGCTGTCGGTTTCTGTCGTCCGTCTTTTAACTATGCAGGAACTTACCTCTCCCCATTCTAGTCCATGGTTTTAATTATTGGAACTTCATCATCTCTATTCACTAACCAGATGGTCACTCCCTGTTGGTCAGCATTCGGCTCCCTTGTCCATCAAATCAAAGCTTCATCTCCAATGCACTCCCAAATATGAGAGCTCTAAACGTTTCATGTGGCCAGATACAGCACATCTACTCTTGGGGTTAAATCAGGGGGTGCATGAACATCACAGAAGCACAGCATCTTGTTTGTTACCAGGTTGGTTGAGTGTACTGTAGTGCTCGGATTTTGACAGCAAGCAAGGCAAAGATTTTAGAAGTCCTGACGCACATGCCACACAGTAAATATGCCCATTGTTATATTTCCTGGAGCATGTGGATTAGGCCTTTTTTTGGTGGGCTGGGGGCAGTTGTTTAAGTTGCTGCCAGTGACTACACTCTATAGCAGGAAATGATGAATAATGATTTGGAAGGAAGTGGTCATGACTAGTGAGATGCTAGCCTGACATTTGCATGGAGGGAATACCACAAAAACAGCCAGAGTAGCCGGTGTTGCCCCAGTTGCGAGTGACGCTGAGCATATAATTTGAGGTGATTCCAACCCTCTGGGGTGTAGTGGGCCAATTATAGCAGTATGCCATACACTAATTTTAGAACAGTCCAAGTCTTGAAAGAGATTTTTCTGGCTGGTTCATAATGGAGTAAATAAATGAATTGACTCTGCAGCAAGCATTTAGCTCTGGATATGTTGGTGGTGAGAGTAATGTTTCGTGATTTCCTTGAGGTGGATTGAAACCTAATGGACAGACAACAGTCCTTCAAAGTAGGCCAGTCCGTTTCGTTCTAAATTCTTTCATCCAGCTGCCGTTTAGAAACCCGTTTAGCTATGCCAGTTGTGCGGGGAGCATGAGGATAAATCTTTTAAATACGTTTTGAACCTTCTGAATGGAAGTGACTATTCTCCAATGGACCTTTTTTCTACTTTCCGAAGGCCCATATTCCAATCTGATTTCTTTCAGTAAAAATCAGCATGCCTTGGTATTCTGGATAGCACCGTTACCACTTTCAGGTGATGGCACCATTTCACATATGAACTGAGTAGGTGATTTCATAAAAGGAACCCTCTTCACCTAGTGTCACTTGTATGTTACCTATGTGCTAACCCCTCTCGGTCCCTCTTGCGGGCAGGCCGAAACTGACCGGTTGGGTCTGGAATGTAGTATCGGTCCCACACTTGCGCATGTGCAGCTCGGTGACTCCACGGTTTAAAGCGCCCGCTCCAGTGTAATAGCTTGGCACTCTCTATGAACTGCTTTGAGTACCGACTGTTGTAGCTCGCACCTGCATAGAAAGACACTTCGTAAAACATAGTCCGTACATGGCCCTCCCTAATAGTATTTTGGGGGAATATAACTGTCACTGTTATATATATAACGCCGTGTAATTCGGAAAGACTGACGTTTCGGAGGAACATATCGCTTCCATCTTCAGGGTCAAATAGCAGACCGTCTGCTTCTTGTGGGTTTCTTGCTTGGCTCTTTGTTTCCTATTATTCTTTTAAGCAGCATTAACCAGTTGGTCGTTGTTATGGAGAGGCTCTTCTCTATGAAGTAGGAGGAAATGTGAGGCTTAAATTCGTGTCTTCTGGCTGGTGAGGAGCTAGGGAAGCTTTGGACACAGTCCAGATGCATCATGGCAGTCGTACGGACAACTGCATCTGGACTGCCGTTACCTGCAGTTTATTTTGTAAGGCTTGAAAGGGTATAGTCTAGCTCTGTGGAGCAGAATGCTTGATACGCTGATAGTCTCTTATTTGGTAAATAAATTCGCCAAGTACCTAGGACTAATATTAAAAATGTCGTTTATCCAAATTTTCTTAAGCCTTCAGTATACGTGCACTTTACTAAGTAAATGCAATGTTGTCCCTGTGCTTAAATAATTAAGCACCACGCTATGACGATGTATGGGGGAGTGGATGTATAGATCCACGTTTTCTTGACCTCTGCACTAGTTGGAGGTGAGTGGTCAGCTTCACGCTTCGACCGCTTTACCCCCGGGAAAGAGCCCCCAGTATCCATTGGATAGGAGGCTAGGTGGACCTCACAGCCGGTCTGGACAACATGGAAAAAAGAAAATTCTTGATCCTTCCGGGACTCGAACGCCGTCCAGCCCGTAGCCAGTCGCTACTTCACTAGACTTCACTCACCGAGATGTTGAACGTGCCACATCGGATCCAGGACGGTCACATTTCCGTACAGTACAATCAGCATGGCTGCTTCGACCACATCGGCTGTGGTGTGAGTGCCAACGATCTTCTCCCTGAAGAAGACCCGATTGTTATGAGACAGCAAACTCGGTGCAGTAGTACTTGTAAAGCAAGGGTTAGATTACCGTCTGTGGACCGCGAGCCAATGCTGCATTTTCTCCGCGACACGGTGCCACCTCCAGAGCGTCAGGTTGGCCACGAATACCCCCGTCGCGAAGGGGCAGTCGTCCTTGTCCATGTTGGGTGCCCTCAGGTCGCTGTGCCTCAGGTTGACGAAGGCGCCGTAGCGGGGCTTTCTGACCTGTGGCATGTCGGCGGCAGGCCCCACACAGTTCTGCGAGAAGGCTCCGTAGTGGTTGGGTCGGATGTTGGCCGAGAACAGCTCCCAGATGTCGCCTGCGCCAAAGCAGCCCTTTATTAGCCAACTGCACGCAGCAGGCTCCTTGGCAAACTTGCGGTCGCTCAGCTGGCCTAAGAAGTTCCCGTTTGACAACGTGTTCTAAACAAGGCGCCACTGGACCCAGTACTAAGCCAGATTAGTCCAGTGCACTCATATCCTTTAAGATCCATCAGTATGATCATCTAGGTTTACTTAACTGTCTTCTTCCGTTCAGGAATTCCAACCAAAGTATTATAAAGTTTTTTGACCCATTCCTGCTACATGTCCTGCCCACAGGATTTTTTCAAATGATCCACTTAATGTGACATATTCACTCAAAGGAAGAACTGTGGAGCCAGATAGCTCTTGATAGGGAACGGTTCTTAAACAACATTCGTTTCTAGACAACGGCTGCAAAAGGAACAACGGAACGAGGTCCGTTGCTAGGCGGCAGATTCTTAATAAGCAAGAATAGACGGCCGCTGCTGGGGAACTGCTCGGTAAACACGTTCCCGTGGCAACAGGAATACGCGATCCGTGCCGAGATGTTATAAGCAAGGGATAAGATTAGGGCTGGTCAGTCAGTATCAGTGGGTCAGTTGATTGATGGTCTGTGAAGAGGAGCAAGAATTTGCAGTTGGAAGGGAGCCGTCATCCAGAGAGGACTTCAGCCATTGTTTGTTAGAAGCCGCTACCAGGAAACGCCTAGTGAAGACAATGGTGGGCTTGAAAAGAGCGTGTCCTCTATTGATTTGTTAAATGTGTAGAAATCAGCGAGGGCGCTATAATTGAGTGTATTTACGAGCCGTGTATTAACGTATTCAATAAATCCAGTCCAGAAATAAAACGTCGAGAGTCACTCTAACATGTGACAGTGATATTTGGCAGATGCTACAAAGAGTGAAGCTGTACCTTGCACTATGACGTCACAGTCGAGATACACGAGTCGGCCCCCTAGCTCCGGGAACAGCTCCGTGGCTCGTATCTTCACGTGTTGGAGTCCCAAGGCGGGCAGAGCGTGGAGCTCGTACGTCATCTTGTGCAGCTTGGTCGCCTCGATCCACTTCCTGTGGAGCAGTTGCCATGGTTACACAACACGCATCTGCTCTGTTGCTGCCGTCACTTTGTAGCGATATGAATAGTGCAGTGTTGTCCAAAATGTGGTTATGTGAGGTTTTAGGTTCTAATGGCGGTGGCTAAACATTACTGTCTTCTGGGATGTGACTCCGTGTAGTCTGGTAGACAGTTACCAACGTTTCTGAAGAACCTACTGCCTCCCTCTTCAGAGTGTAAGAGTAAACGGCGTGGGGAGAATGGAAGGAGCCAGTCATCTGTAGCCTCCCGGACTTTTGCAAAAAAAAAAAAAAAATCAAAATTGAAAGGGGAAAATAAACCGACCTCTTGAACGGCTTAAACGTAAGTTTCTAAATAGTTTTCCTGGCAGCTCTCGTCTCCCCCTGCCCCCCGATAAAGCTAGGAGATTCATTTTGGAACATCCCCGTTAACGAGCTCATTGACACAGTTTCCGTCTTGCTTTTCCAATATCAGTGACCTTTTCATCATACACTGAAGAAGGGACGCTGTAGCATAGTTGGTTGAGGCACGGTGCTACAAGCCGGAAGGCCGAGGGTTTGATTCCTAATGTTATTGAATTGTTCAATTGACTTAATCCTTTCAGTCGCACTATGGCCCTGGGGTCGACTCAGCCTCTAACAGAAATGAGTACCAGGAATCTTCCTGGTGGTAAAGGGCGGCCGGCGCATAAGGCTGACAACCTCACCGCCATCTGCGAGCCGATTGTCTAGAAAATGTGGGAACCTCGACGTCTCACACCCACTGTGGGCCTCCACGGCCTGTTACAGGGATAGCTTTACCATTATTATTATGACCCTGAAGATGGGTGCAGCAGGTTTCTCCGATAAATATCGGTGTGGATGCACTGCGTCACATTCCAGAAAAGAGTAACCTTCAGAACTTAAGTAGGGCGCACCTGAGATGGGGCAGCTCCTCCGCCGTCGTGACGATGTAGAACTTGACGTCGTGTCGGGTGTGCTGCAGCACACTGTTCACCGCGCTCACCAGTCCGCCCAGGCAGAACCCGTCGCTGGCAATGAGCACCCGGACTGTCGCATCCCGACGCCGACTGACGTCTGTAACGTAGATTTACACAGTCGTACCTCGCCCCAACTAAAGGCTTACTGCTTTTCCGAACGCGGTTCATAACCAGAGTTCATTTTAACATACCACGTATAGGGTTAGGTTCCTGGAACTGAAGCCTCGCACGTCTGTTAGCTAGATATCTATTGTGTTCATTAATAAAGCGAGAGTGGGATATTAAATGTACTTTGAAGGCATTAAGAATAAATAATTAATATTTTGCTATGGACCGGTAAGATTCATCGCTCGAGCCGTCAGAACATTGCAACATCGATCTTTAAAAGTTACGGTTCGACCTGCCCGAGGACTTCCATAGTTTTTAGACAATTTAACATTTTATCAAAGTTTGACATCATCACCTCGTCGAATTCAGACAGCGCTTTGGTTGTGGAAGTTTTTGGGAAGGGGGAGTCGGAATAGTGATCGTTGGGGCTTGTGCTTTCTGACGAAGCTGCCCAACGTCCGAAATTCCAGTTTCGAGTCCTAAGTCCGAAAGGTTTGGAAGATACGTCAAGCTGGTGTTAATTGCGTGGGATCGTTAAGCCGAGAGAGCCGGGAAGCCGTAGACTTGTTGAAGTGACGACTTTCTCAAGGCGGGTTAGTATGAAGTTTTCGGTCTTCTGAGATACGAGGCCTCGTAGCCTTAAATCAATTATATCTGCACGATTGGCAGCTCAGAGAGGCATAGTTCTTTGGGACGATGTTTCATCTCTGAATGACGATATAGGCCAGCGTTATGCCACAACTAAATTCTGTCTTTTATAGAGAACATGGCGGTTGGAAAGTTTTTAAGTTTACTGTTAAGAAAATTGAATGCTGTCCCATAATTTTTGTTTGGAACCCGTAGAAGCTCTGTCAGTGTAGAGATTAGACTACAGGCTGCACGTCCGAGGAATCGTGGCTCTAATGCTCACAGCAGAAGAGTGTTCCAGACTGGCTCTGGAATCCACCCAGCCTCATATCCAGTGGGTGCGTGGGGCTGTTTCCCCGAGGCATAGTGCCCAGGGCATGACGCTAGCTACTCACCTCCGTGTACTGCCGACTTCTCCGTCCTTCATTGCGTGGTATAGGGTCGGTACATTTCTTGTAGGATAGTTGTAGTGTGAAAGAGAAGACAAAGAGCTTACTGCGCATACTCATGTGTGCTGCACGGTTCATACTGGAAGGATGTTTGCTGGATTTGCTTTGTTCCTCTCTGACGGCCTGGAGCCTTCAATAAGATCTTACTGGAGCCACATGCAGGGTCCAGGAGAAACTATGGCTTGTACCGGTGGTCTGTGTTCTGATAGCGGGTAGCGAGGTCATGCTAGAGATGACATGGCCGGCGTGGGGGTGCCGGAAGATGAACGTGGCTGGTACCCACTCTAGCAGGGTCCCCAGGTACAGCACTAGGAGCACCCAGCACAGCATGACCGCCAGGAACCCGCCTGCAGCATGAAGATCCATCTGAATGTGGTTAGGTTCTATCCTTCCGACACGTTACATATTACTCATAAACAAATCATTATGACCCATGGAGGAAGCAAAAAACAAACTTCGTGGTTTCAGTCCGCAAGCGAACTATACCGACCGAGCGACCACCGCTTGTCGGCGAAGTTAGTACCAACTATAGCGGATAGAGGGTGTCGTGTGGTCAGCGCAACGAATCCCCACGGCCGTTAATTTCGGTTTTCTAGACCGGAATAGCTCCTCAATTATCCTCACGAGGCTGAGTGGGCCCCGTTCCAGACCCACTACTTCTCAGAACATTTGGCGGCGCCGTGAATCGAACCAGGACCTCTGGATCTGTAGCCAGGAATTCTGACCACTAGACCACAGAGGCGGTCAGAGGAAGCATAGAGTTTATTTAATTTTCCAGTGGGTACATATCAAACAAAAAATAAGTTGCGATCTTTTTTTTTGGTGTGACGCCGTATAGCCTGATAGGCAGAAGATCTCCGCAAGAACCTCAATCCTAAATAGATGATTAGTCTGACTCAGTACTTTACAAGGGATATGTCTATTATACCGGGTGTTCCCTTTGTCACGGGATTCTTTGAAGTCCTAGCGAACATGAGCGTGGAAGTGCTGGCAACTTGTAATTCCCAAAACTAGGTCTATTCAGAAGATCCCGTATCGAACTCACAACTAATTACATATTTCATTGATTGCATCGTGGCCATGCATACTGTTACATCGAGACTTAGCACTGGAGCTCACACAAATGTTATCCCAATTGGTGCCAGTAATTATTTTCCATCGAAAAACCGGCCGGAGCGTGATATTTGCCATTAACTCTAGATCTGAGGTTTCAAATGCGCGGAGTTTCAGACCGTTTATTCTCTACCTCTTCTATTTGGGCATCTTACTTTCAAATGCAGTTACGATTGTGTGCTCACTGAACACTTCATAGTCTCTTCAAATTATATAAAATAACTAATTAATCAAAATAAAAAGGTACGCGATATAATTGTATATTCGCGCCACAGCGCGCATGCCATTCAAAGTTATCTGAACACACCTACTCACCGAATTTGAACTTCAGACTGCTCATTTCACTTTCAGAATTTGCCTTCGGTTTCCGTTTAATCACCACTGACTGTCAGTACAGAGACACACGTCCTAATTAGAGGCTCTAATTGTCGGCCGTGGACATACTTCAGCTACATTCTGCGACGTCACAATTATAACAACAATGCTAACTACATTCTTAAACCGGACGACTACACACTTCAACGCAGCACGCCTCTAGTAGGCCGTCTGCCGCATTGCATGCTCACTGCATACTCGATTGCCCCCTGTTATTGATTCCTCAAGCAATATGGCCGCCGACCATTCCACTTACGCGACCTCTTTGTTTCATTACGCGTCAACAATTCGTTTTGTTGGCTGTGCTGACGACATTTTTGAGGTGAAATATATTAACTGCCGACTTCTTACCGCGTTTGCTGTAATGTGAGGACGATGAACCGGGAAAATAGCCGTCGCCTGAGTATACGAAGTACTATCCCAGCATTCTGAATCATATGGAGCAGGATCTTTCAGTCGCTGAACTGGTCAAGTAAATAACTTCCCACCGCATATGGAATCCAAAGTTTATTGTCTTGTTTAAATGCGGAGTTTAAGGGCAAGGGTGAGTTTAATGATTCCCCTCGCTCGTCCTCAGATATCAGATATGTGGCACCTGCCCTTCGAGAAACTTAGGCAGGTGCAAAAGTAAGATTCTTGTAACAAATCAATTTTCCTTCTTAGTGCTTGTACTTACGGAATTTTAACGACACCAGCACCTCAGACTGTACATCGGGGAATGGTACGATGCTTGCTGAATAAGGAAGTGGGAAAGATTTGTAATGTGGCCTAAATGCAGGAATTCTTCTGGTTGCAATGTTATATTAGTTGCAACTTTTAAATTCAATGTTTATCTTCTGCTTGAACTGAGGGACACCTCGATAATGTCAGTCATGATAGCAGAGCCAGGGCCCAGTTCACATTATTAGTAGAGATGAAAGTAGGTACTACTAAGAAATTTATGTAGAATGGGCTTACAGGAGAGTATAGACATGACTCTGTTTCGGAAATATTTAATTGAAACAAAAACTTCCTTGTCGGAATTTAGTGATACAAAATGTCTTCCCATTTTGTTCACAGTCCCCGTTTCTGCCCATTTTTTATAAACACGAATTCACACCGTGACTTTCTTTAAAAATACGTGATTAGGAATATCAATATCATCGTTTTCGCTCCAACGCCACCTATTTCACCGCCACTGACTATATTTGTAGAAGTCCGCCACTGGGCTCTGTCCTATGCCAGATGAATTTACTTCTAACCCTCTTACTCTGTCCTTTCTGCCGATCTATTGCAATGGAGTTTTGCATCTTGTACAAACAATATTACGAATGCAGTTTCAAGGATCGTTATACATTACTCCTGCGTAGAATATTCCAGAGAGCCCGTTTCTTCTTTTGTCTGTTTTCTGTAAATTTCTCGCATTTGAGGTTCTCACAGCGGTGGTTATGAAAAGTACTGTCATCTGGGATATAACGCCGTGTACTTCGTTGAAAGTCAACCTACGTTTGTGGAGGGAGGACATGTCGCGATATTGCTGCGTTTCAGATCATAATGCTCTTCCCGTTCTTTAAATGTGATATAGAAGACGGCTGAGCAGTGATAGTGATATATATACTATAGGTAAAATTGTCTGTGCTTAACTAGAAGGACTACGCCATGAAGGCTTGTGACGAGTGGATGTGTATATGTATAGATCAACGTGAGGGAAGTATATATATTCGACTAGAGCCTCACATTGCGCACAAAGCATGATTGATAGCACTTGAAGACTAATGAACGCAACTCATTTTCTTCCTTTTTATCTATAAATACTTGGGGAACAGAACAGTCTTAATTCATGATCATTCGGTGTGCAATAAATTTTGTTCTTTTTCACATTCGCATTGCGGACCGCAGTAGAGTTTAAACGAATTCGGTGCGGTTTGCGAGATTCATTTGTTTCGCTCCACTTCGTTTTGTCGCCGCTGTGCTGCGCTGGTAGCTTGTTGCGCTTGTCACCGTTCATTTGTTTCTTACAACTTGGCGGCATGTGATTGTTCGTTTTACGTTTGAAGTTTATGAAATAATTTGTGTTTTGTTGCTAGCAGAGTGCCTGTGTTTATAATTTGTGGTTTGTTGCAAGAAGGGTGCCTGTGTCTTGGTGGAATTCCATAGGGAAGAATTTTCAACTCATCCAGCAAAAAGTAAGTGACATGATCTTATCTGCGTAGTTGTGATGTAATAATAGTATATCAGTTCGGCTCATTCGTAGGCATGCCTGTGCATATTTTTCAATGTACACGGTTCGTTTAGAGGAAACTAACACGAAAGAAGGTTCCGTAACATCAGTCCTAAAATAGCATTAAGGGCCTTGTCATTCATAAATGTAAAGCGCTGAAGTTTTGATTTGGCGAAATGCACTTCTACACAAATGCAAACCAAATGAGACAGATAGTGACGGAACACTTAACATATTCGAAATGGCTTGTGCATCGCACTGTAGTGTCAAACACCGAATTTCTGTGGTTTTTATTTATATAGATATTAAACCGCTTAGAATAACTTAACTTTACTGCACTGGCTTCTGAACTAATAATTAGTTGCCTATAGCCTAACTTCATGGAGCTCAGCCCTTCTCGAGAAGCCGCTAGTCAAGTAAGTCCCAACTCTTTATGGAACCCGAAGGGTCATTACCATGTTCACAAGAGCCCTCCAATAGTCTCTGTCATGAGCCAGATCAATCCAGCACACACGACCCCATCCTATCTCTCTAAGATCCATTTTATTAATTATTCACCCACTTACTGGACTCTTTCCTTCTCGCTTTCTCACCAATATCCTATATGCATCCCTATTCCCTCCCATTCGTGCTACATGCCCTGCTCATCTCATCCTCTTTGACCTCATCGTTCTGATTATACTTGGAGAAGAGTACAAGTTATGAAGCGCCTCATTATGCAGTTTTCTTCAAACTCCTGTCACTTCATCCCTCTTCGGTCCAAATATTCTCAGCACCCTGTTCTCAGACACCCTGAGTCTATTATTATCAGACAAATGTTTACAAATCTGGACTTTCCTATACGTTTCACTTAAACGCATTGTAATGGGTCCAGCTAGTTTAAAGGGTACCCCAAACTCTATCAGAATATTGTACAGTAGTTCCCTCCTAACTGAATCATAGGCTTTCTTGAAGTCTACGAATAGCTGATGTACTGTCTCATCGTACTCCAATTTTTTCTCTAACATCTGATGAATGCAAATTATCTGATCTGTAGTTGATCTGTTACGTGGAAACCCTCACTGATGATCCCAATAATTTCATCTGTGTGTGGTCTTAACCTTGAGAGCAGAGCATTGGATAAAATTTTGTATAAAGTTCCTTCTGGGTTGGGAACCGCTCTTAAATTAATTTATTCCTCTATGCAGGTCTCTAATGTTCTTGTTCTTACTGTTCGTTGCAAGCTCATCAATTCCCTCTTTTTGTTCCTGAAAAGCCAGGTGGCTTCATGTCTTCTGTTGTTCAGATTGTCCCCGTTTAACGTGCTTGGATCCTGTAACCATTGCAGTTTGGCTTCTTTCCCTTGATCTAATTTTGAGCATCCTTCATCGAACCATGGCTTATGCTTCTTCAATTCATAATAACCTAGAATCTCTTTGGCTGAAATTTTGATATTATCAAGATTTAGGGGTGTGACTGTAGACGTGGTATGTACCGGTGAATGGAGTTATTGACTCATATACGTGTACACCATTCGGAACTACAAATAATTGCAGTCTTGGTGCCGAGCCCCATCTGGTGCTCATGACCATATATTTATTACAGTTTGACAGTTACAATCTTGTTATTGTGGGGCGCCTTCTCTGACGAGAGGACGGGTCTTTTCCCCAATTGTCTTCCTTATAACCGCTTTGCGCCGGACCGAACAGAAGACACCGTTTCCAAGAATTCCTGTATTATGGGCGGTTTTCTAGCCATAGCCCGGATATTTTTGTGTGTGCCGGCCTTTACCAAGCAGCAGCTCTTCGCCTCGCAGTTCCTGCCCAGCAATGTGTCTTTACACCACAGTATTTTCTCTAATGGTTTCCCAGTCTCTATTAATATCAACCTCAGCGTCTGCTCACTGCCAGCCTCTCCCTAACTTTGGCCACCACCAGAAAGCGGTCAGTATCAAAATCTGCTGCCCTGAACGATCGGACATCGAGGTTAGTTTCCAATCACATTTTCTAATTCGTCCATCTTAAAACGAATTTGCCGTATGAAACTTATTTTAAATCATTGAAGAGGAAACGATATCCCACGAGATCGATCAGATTGTGCATTGGTTTCGAAATGTTGCTGCGTTGTGTCGCGAAAGCTGTTTAGGGGAGGACAGTCGCGTCGCGTCGTGCTGGCAGGGAACAGGCAGGGACTTCTGAATAAGAAGAGAGTTTTGTGTATGACGAAATCAGTGCGTATTGTGGTCTCGTTTGTCTCTTACATACTGCTGTTTGGGGTGAAGTGGTGGCAATTAGGGGTAGGTCGTGTGGGGTTTATGAAATTTTACTTGAAGCGACCAGTAAACACGTCTGTATGTCTTTGAAGGCAACTTTAAGTGGGGGAATAGTTTTTCACTTTTCTCTACAGGTAACTTTTAGAAACCCACAAAGCATAAATAACTTGACATCTGATCCAGGCTGATACTTGTATATAGAGCGTCGGGAAATTTACGTAAATTTACGTTAGTCATTCTCTCAGCTGTGTTTCGTAATCAGTGAGTTGTGAGTAGATTTGCTGGATATGAAGTTCTCATGGCGATGGGATGTTACGCCTTGTAATCCTTTATGGACGTTTCGGTAGAATGTATTGCTCCCTACTTCAGGGTCGGAGGGTGAGTCAAGCACGCTGCAAAAAAATCGGTTTAGATGCAGGAATCCAGATAGATGGTCGTCCAGATCGATGGGCTCGTAGCGATAAAGAAAAAGCGGAACTCTTCGCAGCACATTTATCGAAAGTCTTTATGCCAAATGCCAGTCATCCTGATCAAGAGATTGAGAACGATATTACCACATTACCGCCAAATATTCCGACAATAAAAATATTCAGCCCAAAAGAAATCAAAGAAGAAATTGGGTTCTTAAATATCAAAAAAGCACCTGGTATTGACAAAATCACACCGAAAATGATGAAAGAGTTGCCAAAAAAGGGATTAGTCATGC